GTGTTTTAGATTTTGTTGCTTTTAAACACTTATGACCACATGGTTAGCCAATCTCCATATAATAATCAACATACACTGCAGGTGAACCTTGAATTTTAATATGATAAATAATGAGGACAAACTTGCCCATTGAGCAGTAATCACCTACACAGTATGTAAACGTATAGAGCTTAGCTTAGTGAATAGACATTGCCCTATTTGCATATTAATTTGTTTGTATACAATACTTTAGTTATCAATAGACGTCTCAAAGTGACCTTACCCTCCAAAAAGAAAATGTAAAATGCACTGTGGAAGTGAATTGAAATCTAAATATTAAAATGGATTTAGGTTATTAATGAAGCTAGAAAACAAAGTGCCAGGAGTAGACTGAAGAACAAGGAGTTCTTCATGATAAATAAGTTTAAGTAGAAACTGCAAAAAATAGGAGTGGGAAAAGTCTCCAAATCAGACATATTTTCAGTTTGCATATTTTGGCAATTCCTGACCATTTTATTGAATTGCAGTAAGTTAAAAACTGAACTGTACTAATTAGACTAGCTTTGACTATGTCCGAGTTAGAGAATATTTCCAAATCAGTTTATCTAGTATACATCTATCCATCTTTTATATCACTACAATTCACTAGTGAGTAATAGCGCAGGGCTTAATTTTGTAAGATTCTTTTCTTTCAGGAAGTGTTCCGGAGGATTGGAGGAAGGCTGATGTGGTTCCTATATTCAAAAAGGGTTCCAAATCCTTGCCTGGAAATTACAGACCTGTGAGCTTAACTTCTGTGGCTGGGAAAATATTTGAAAGGTTATTAAGGGATAATATTCAAGAATTCCTTGAGAAGAACATGGTTATCAGCAAAAATCAGCATGGTTTTATGAAGCACAGGTCATGTCAAACTAACTTGATTGCATTCTACGAAGAAGTAAGTAGAAGTTTAGATCAGGGTGTTGCAGTGGATATGATCTTTTTGGATTTTGCCAAGGCATTTGATACAGTTCCACACAATAGATTAGTGTTCAAACTCAAGGAAATCGGTCTAGATGAAAATGCTTGTTCTTGGGTAGAACATTGGCTTAAAAACAGAGTACAAAGAGTTGTCCTTAATGGTAAATTTTCAAGCTGGACAGAGGTGGCAAGTGGTGTCCCTCAGGGGTCTGTTCTGGGACCCCTTCTATTTAACATATTTATAAATGATCTTGAAGACAGAATTGAAAGTCATGTTTCAGTGTTTGCAGATAACACAAAACTCTGTAAAATAATACAATGTGAGCAAGATATTACTTTGCTGCAGAGGGATTTAGATAGACTGGGGGACTGGGCACTCAAATGGCAGATGAAATTCAATGTTGAAAAATGCAAAGTTATGCACTTCGCGTAAAGAATACACAAGCAACGTATACCCTTAATAGATGCGAATTAGGGATAACAACACACGAAAAGGACTTGGGAATTGTTATAAACAACAAACTATGCAACAATGTGCAATGTCAATCAGCAGTGGCCAAGGCCAGTAAGGTATTGTCATCAGGGGTCAAGTCCTGGGGGAAAAAGTGTGGGAACTCACCCAAGATTCTCGCCTCCCTCCCCCCCCTTAAAAAAAAAAATTTAAAAAAAATTACACTCCTATGCATATAGTGCAGTGCGTGTATAATGAATGTAGTGTGTTTGTAGTGAATGCAGTGTGAATAATAATTGTAGTGTATTTGTAGTGAGTGCAGAGTGTGTATAGTGAATGTAGTGTGTAGTGAGTGCAGAATGTGCGTAATGAATGCAGAGTGTGTATAGTGAATGCAGAGGGTGTATAGTGAATGTAGTGTGTTTGTAGTGAGAGTGTGTATAATGAATGCAGTGTGTGCGTGTGCTGGATGATGTGTGTGTGCGCGCTGGATGACGTGTGTGTGAGTGCTGGATGATGTGTGTGTGCGTGCTGGATGATGGGTGTGTGTGTGTGCTGGATGATGGGTGTGTGTGCTGGATGATGTGTGTGTGAGTGCTGGATGATGTGTGTGTGAGTGCTGGATGATGGGTGTGTGTGTGCGTGCTGGATGATGTGGTGTGTGTGTGTGCTGGATGATGTGTGTGTGTGTGTGCTGGATGATGTGTGTGTGTGTGTGTGATGTGTGTGTGTGTGCTGGATGATGTGTGTGTGATGATGTGTGTGTGCTGGATGATGTGTGTGAGTGCTGGATGATGTGGTGTGTGTGCTGGATGATGGGTGTGTGAGTGCTGGATGATGGGTGTGTGAGTGCTGGATGATGTGTGTGTGAGTGCTGGATGATGGGTGTGTGAGTGCTGGATGATGGGTGTGTGTGCTGGATGATGTGTGTGTGAGTGCGTGCTGGATGATGTGTGTGTGTGTGTGAGTGCTGGATGATGGGTGTGTGTGCTGGATGATGTGTGTGTGAGTGCTGGGATGATGTGTGTGTGTGTGTGAGTGCTGGATGATGGGTGTGTGAGTGCGTGCTGGATGATGTGTGTGTGAGTGTGAGTGCTGGATGATGTGTGTGGGGGGGGGGAAGCATTTTTTTACTTTATGTATAATATTTATTTTATTCCCCCCTCCCTGCTTCTTACCTTGTCAGGGAGGGGGGAGATCGCCTGGTGGTCCGGTGGAGGGAACCAGCCGCTGTACAGAGGGGCCATCGCACGCTGTGTTCCCTCTCCAGCTCTAACTCTCGCAAGACTCGCCTGTGCGGAGCGTTGCCATGGTAACAGCCGCGGGTCTCGCGAGAGTAATAGCTGGAGATGGAACACAGTGTGTGATGGCCCCTCTGTGCAGGTAGCAGGGCCGGTCCTGCAGGACAGGTAACGGGAACGGCGTTCCTGCTTTAGAAAAAGTGCAGGAACGCCGTTCCCATGCGTTCCTGCAGGACTTGAGCCCTGATTGTCATGCATGAAAAAGGGCATTCATTCTCGGGACGAGAATATCATTTTGCCTCTTTATAAATCACTGGTAAAACCACATATTGCATATGCTGTGCAATTTGGGCACCTGTTCTAAAGAAGGATATTATGGCACTAGAAAAAGTGCAGAGGCGGGCTACAAAATTAATAAAAGGAATGGAACATATCAGCTATGAAGAAAGGTTAACAAATTTAAACCTATTTAGTTTAGAAAAAAGTCGCCTGAGAGGGGATATGATAACATTATACAAATATATTCAGGGCCAATACAAACCATTGTGTGGAAATCTATTCACAAACCGGACTTTACATAGGACACGAGGTCATGCGTTTAGACTGGAAGAAAGAAGATTTTGTCTAAGGCAAAGGAAAGGTCTTTTTACTGTAAGAACAATAAGGATGTGGAATTCTCTGCCTGAAGAAGTGGTTCTATCAGAGTCCATACAGATGTTCAAACAGCTACTAGATGCCTACTTGCAAAAACAGAATATTCAAGGATATACTCTTTCAATGTAGGGTAATAACTGCTTGATCCAAGGATAAATCTGACTGCCATTCTGGGGTCAAGAAGGAATTTTTTTCCTAGCTTCAAACTGTTTTTTTTGCCTTCTTTTGGATCAACAGCAAAAAACAAATGTGAGGAAGGCTGAACTTGATGGACGCAAGTATCATATAAAAAAAAAAAAAAACAACATCTGGGGATCTACCTTTTGGGTTCCCCTTTTTTTAGGCTAAAATAGTCTCCATATCTCTGACTCGTGTCAATAATACGAATTACAAACCAACTACAGATATTGTAGTACAGTAGTGCATGTTAACACTTTGCTTGACCCATATTACATAAATGGCATTACCTTAGTTACACATTCTTCAACTGTTTAATTAGCTTAATTAATTGTGCAAAACAACTTGAATTTACTCTTAAAGGTGTTTAAAGTGGTCTACATTGCATTTGGAGAGGCCATGCCACTACACATATAGAACCTGCAAGATTAAAATAGCAAACAAACAACGCTGCGTGGGTGAATTTTAAAGTTTATTGGCAACGGATGTATATGATGCACCTGTTTGAATGATTTAAGACTCACTGAAATAACACGGGGACACAATTTTGGGTCTGGACTCAGGAGTTAAAAAGTCACTATACTACAAGAAACTTGAGTTACCATCATTTCTTTCATAAGGACCACTAATAAAGAGTTACAAAATCTAAAATGAAACAAAGTCTTATCTATGTCACTGCAGATGTTTGTAAACCAAATTTCCCATGATGCTATATATAGTTCACAAACATCTGCTGCCAAGGGTAGCCTCAGTGTGATATTGGGATGATTGATATTCAACATACTGCACCTACATAATACAAAACCAATTAACCATGCTGCACCTATGCTGCCGCCCATCCCATGTGTTCCCTATTAAGGGTTAATAAGGGGGGTTACTATATATTGGGACTGATGTGTACTGTGGTCGTTGCTGCCGCCCAGGAGTGATGGGAGTGAGCGCAGGACTTATCTTTTTGTATAGTGCGCAACTAACTTATTTTTGGGCTTAGTAAATAAACCACAGTCAGGGTTATTCACTGAAATGTGAATTGCCTGAAATCGCGATGGAAATGCGAGCATTAGACCAAAATAGACAAACTGGAAAAAAAAATCTTGCAATGATCTATCTTTTGAGTTCAGGTATTTTGGTCTAAGATTTAAAATTCTTAGGTGAATACCTGTCAATTCATGGTTTAGTAAATAACTCTGAAAATATTTAGTTAACAATTTGTAAATGCAAGTTTCTTATTTTGAAAGAGATTTTATGAATCTCACATCTTATTAAATCTCCGTTATCCTTTTATTTATAGATCAGTTAAGATTATTTGTGAATTAAAATGCTATTTAGATATGGCACAACTTCTTTGCTCCTTTCGAATACTCATTAATTTTCTTCATTTGCTGCAACAATTACCATAGGGGGGATCTCAAGTGATAAAGGGAAAATGTTTTGTTTTGCACATTCATATCCATCTCTTATGTAATTTGAACCTAAATTCATACGTATTGTGTGTGTGCATTGAAAAGCATAGGAAATGATCAATACAAATAATGCTCTTCTTTTCCGCACAATTTTTATTTGGAAGAAAATATTTACACCATTTCTGAGTGTGATGACAACATGAAATTAGAAATATTAGAAATGATAAATATACAATTTCTTTTTGTTTTAACTGAGCAAAATATTAACTATAAATTTGAATTCTTTTTTTCATTAAAAAAGGTGCTTTATTCCAATTCTGGATTGTTTTTGAAGATATATTCAGCCTGTAAAAGAAAGAAAAAAACAATTAAGATGGAATAAGACAATGTGATATTTCAATCGCTAGTATAATAAAATGTAAAAGAAAAAGGTAATTTGTAAAATGTCTGAACAAATCGATCTGTTTAGGATTTACCTGTGGAGATATTCATTGAATAAGACTCCACAGGTAAGTCCCAGGCAGATGGATTTTGTTGGGTGCAGATTAACAGGCATTTGATTTGTTTGTACCAGCTCAAAAACAATCATGCTCAAGTCTTCCACCTGGCAATCTATGATCTTATTCTTATACTTGCTCAAAATGACTATATCACAAGAATGTCACCATCCAGTCTGCTTTAAATGTTAATTACTTGTCTACTACACCACTGAAATGAGTATGTTTGTTTTTGAGCACCGTGAATGGATTCACTCTTTTTACTCATTTATACTCCCTACTCAAATTTCAAAATTCATTACTGAATTTATTGATGCTATATGCCTGTCACTGTATTAAAAGACACATTCAAATGTAATATAACTATTCTTTTTTTTAACTTTTTATTGAAGGGCTCCAATTCACCTTATTTCAGTCCCAGGAGAGTCTCCTCGCTAAAGCTACAGTCTGCCTACAGTAATATCATCACAGTAATATCATCATTACTGATGACTTGTGTCCAATCAGATGCTTGTTACAGAGAAGCATTAGAACACATGATGCATGTCAGTTTTACACTTCTAATTTCACATCCTCATCAACTGCAATTTTCTCCAGGGCATAAATGTTAAAACTGTGATACCTCCCCTAGAGAAATTCCTTATTATCTCTGCAGCATCAAACGGACAGGCACTTTTATGGTGCTTTGAATAGTCCTTTACCTTCCCCTACATGTATACAATTTTGCATTGCCCATCATGGTGCATATTACATGTACAGAATATGGAGACATCACAGGTGAATCACTGTCTAATTAAATTATTGAAAGAAAAAAAAAAAAACATTCAAAAGAACACAAAGTGGGAGAGTAATGTGTCAAACCGCATAATGTTTTTAAAATCCTCAAATTTACAACTTGTAGGGCAATGGTGGAACTTATTAATAATAAATAATACTTTTTGTATTTTAATCATACGTTCTATTCTAAAAAAGAAAAATGAAGATTGGAATATAATTTAATATTTTGAATCAGCCATGTCAGAGTCCACTGCAAATTATACATCAAAATCTTAATTATATTGCAGGAAAATAAGTACCCAAGCACTCTACGTACTATTATTCTTTCAATTAGTGACCAAATTCTTTAGTGGGAAAAAAGTGCTCTAAAAATATTTCTAATCGTAGCAATTATCTTGTACAGATGTCATGTGTATTAAAATACCTGTTGTTCAATTAGCAATATTTGGACACAAAGGAAGCCTTTTGGCATATTAAAGTAATGAAATTATACTGCTTGTATCTGATGGCCTTTCCTGGCTTTCCCCTCCACTAGTGTAGCTAGTCATCCTGCCCCCTGTGTTAAAGGGACAGTTTAGGATGCTTAACTGTCTAAATGCAGTTGTTTTGGTGCCTGGAGTGCCCCTTTAAAAGGGACACTATAGTTACCTGAACAACTTTAGCTTAATGAAGCAGTTTTGGTGTATAGAACATGCCCCTGCAGCCTCACTGCTCAATCCTCTGCCATTTAGGAGTTAAATCCCTTTGTTTATGAACCCTAGTCACACCTCCCAGCATGTGACTTGCACAGCCTTCCATAAACACTTCCTGTAAAGAGAGCCCTATTTAGGCTTTCTCTATTGCAAGTTCTGTTTAATTAAGATTTTCTTATCCACTGCTATGTTAATAGCTTGCTAGACCCTGCAAGAGCCTCCTGTATGTGATGTGCTTAAAGTTCAATTTAGAGATTGAGATACAATTATTTAAGGTAAATTACATCTGTTTGAAAGTGAAACCAGTTTTTTTTTTCATGCAGGCTCTGACAATCATAGCCAGGGGAGGTGTGGCTAGGGCTGCATAAACAGAAACAACGTGATTTAACTCCTAAATGACAGTTAATTGAGCAGTGCAATTGCAGGGGAATGAAAACTAAAAACTAAAACTGCTTTATTTAACTAAAGTAATTTAGGTGACTATAGTGTTCCTTTAATGTTGTTGTGGGGTGTGTGAATGCAGTTCCAAAGTGCAGTCCCTGGCGATCTATGTCTTTGGTGTTGATCACCTCTCTTTTGTCCTTATACCTCCTATGGAATATTGCATTATTTCAACAAAAACACTGTGATTAAATACAATGTTTCATTAGAACATATTGTTTTATGCAAGTTTAATAAATATATATCTTGCATTGTATGAGATATGCATATGTATTGCATAGAGTTTTAAATTGCAACAGAAACCAATTAATATATGCTTGTTCATGTGAGGGCTTTCTTTACATATTCTGAAAGTTCTGACCATATGTTTGGATCTAACAGTCCTCTGTTTTAGGTGCCTGGTTAATACGATGCTTAATTTCTATTGTAGTAACATTATTGAAGGCAGACTAAAAATGTCACGATTAAACTTCTGTTACTGTATGAAATTTGGTCAGGACCTGCTAGAACTGGGTGCTTCGGTGTATTGAAAAGCTTAACATTTTGCACTCCTGTTATTGTATGACTAAATCACTGTTTTTAATATTCGATTGGCGTTTTATTTAACTTTAATTGATCTATTGCTTGTTCTGAGTTTGCTGATCCCCTACCAATATACTTTGTATTGGAGACCCCTCTTACCATCTCTACCCCATGGCTCTGGTCTATTATAGACTTACATCCCCAGGCTATGATATAATATTCTGGCATCCCTCTGCATGTATAATTGACAATGCTAAAAAGGGAAAAGATAGATTGGTGACAACAGTGATACAGATCCTCTGTTTTATCAGGCACAGACATTGTGGAAAGTGCAATGCCAAGATGCTGGGCCCCCAGGATTACAAGCCCAATCTCAACTTTGCCTCCTGCCATTCTTGTAGTTATAGTAGTGACCATCAAATTGCAAATTAAACACTTTCTCACCAGGTAGTCCACAGGGTCATCAGGTCTCACTTTACAGCACTCATTTAATCCCTGAATCAGGGTGGGCATGACGTTTTTCATTAAATAATTTCTTAAAGGTACAGACTGAGCTTCTAGTAATTCTTGTTCTTGGTGTTTTAATTCCTCATGCTGCTTGTTCTGTAAGAAAAAAAATATTATGGGCTACAATAGGATATAGAAGTTTATATCAGGTTTATCTACTAATGTGAACCATCAGGATGGAAACTGACCAGGGGATTATGAATTTTAGGATAAAACTGCAGAATTGGAATAAAAAAAAATATATAGCTTATCTGTTTTGACTCAAAATTTGCAATTCTCTACATACATTGAGTTTACATATCCCCTATATTTAGCACATTTGTGAAGTGCGAACAATAAAATCATAGAAATTAACACCTCTTCGTCCTGCAATTAGTGCCCCTAATCAATCACTGGTTTTGATTTATTATTTTTGAAAAAGCTTTTCAAATGATTTAATATTTTGAAAAATATTTTGATATACTGATACATTTTTTTATGCATGGTAGATTTTTCTTCACATTTTAATATTTTGAAAAAAAAAGTCATTTTAAAAGTTTAAACAAAAATATTAGATCATTTAAAAAAGCTTATCCAAAAAATACAAGTTGAGGCCATTGTTATACACTCTGTTGTTTGCTCCTAGGAGTCAGCATAGAGAAAGCATACAGAGGACAGGATCCAGGAGGTTATTATTATTATTATTATTATTATTTATATAGCGCCATCAGATTCCGTAGCGCTGTACAATGGGTGGACTAACAGACATGTAATTGTAACCAGACAACTGGACGTACAGGAATAGAGAAGTGGAGTGCCCTGCTCAATGAGCCTACATTCTAGAGGTTATGAATAAAAATTAAAAAAAAAACAAGTGTTGAGCTCTGAAAAGTGATATAAGTGGGGAACAGTCACCACTGAAATGTCTCTCTCTGCTGGTTTTCATGGTGATTGCACCACTTTTAGTGCTTTAGACCACCTTTTAGAACAAACATGCTTAATACATAAGCCCAACGTTTCTATTTATCCTCATTTGTAAAGTGTGGCATGGCTGTGAGTGGTCTGAATTGGGTTGTGATATAATTTACTAATATTTTAATATAATGTAAAAGGAAATGGGGCATCACGAAAAATGGTTAACACATGATAATAGGCAATTTTCAATGTTTTATTAAATGGTGTAGCTGAAGTTGCAGTTCTGCTTTAGGGCTGCACTGTACTAAGATTGCTTGAACACAGCACAGTGAAACATAGCCAACATTGCCTTTAAGGGTGTAATATGGGATCCATGTTAGTAAACCTGCTTAATTTGGCAGATTGCTGAATGTATACCTCCCAGCTATCCTGGGTTCGACAAGACTGTCCCAAATCATGGTTTCTATCTTCCCATCCCAAGTTAGTTTCCTGGTGTCCAGCATATGGGCACAAAGGAAAGTGTTCAAATCAGCATAGTGTGAGTGCGTCAAAAAATGTGCATGCACTAATCAAAATGTTGTCAGGGCATTAAGAAGGCATAAGCCCATGCCCAGAGCACTTCAAAAGCACTCTAAGCATGTGCTGCCATGCATGGGCCTGGCAAGTCAGGCTGACATGCCCCATCTTTGGACAACCTAACCTCCTTTTCAGATAGGATTGCCCTATTTTGGCCTCACAGTGATGCATTGGTATAGTCCCCAGAGTACAGTCCACTCCATCCAAATTTGCAACTATGCGCCTATAATTACCTTACAAAAAATAGATATAAACAAAAATATTAATATGATCAAATAATTTAACCAGAAAATGTGCATTTGTCTTTTATGAATTTCCAAAGTACACCTCTAGGACCTAATGTTAAATATTATTACATTCAATGCTATTCACATACATAGAACCCTTTGAGTGCAGAATACAGAGCGGTAGAGATGGCAAATCATAATTTGACATTTTATTTTAAGGATCTGTCATTATTTATAATCTAAGGATTATCTGTTGAGTTTGTTACCGATGGTTTTGTAACCTCGGCTGGTTCCCTTATTTACCACTATAATGTCTTAAAGCATAGAACTTAGTAGGGCTAACCATACAGATATCTTAGCTATAATTTTATATAGTTAGTGTAAGAGATCCTCTATTTAAAATATATAAATAATTGAGAATACAATATAAAATAAGGATTGTCTTGGAAGCAATAGTTTTGTCTTTCTGGATATTTATTATATAAAAATATAAATATAGACATATAAAATCCATTATAGCAGAGTTTCTAAGATTAAACTAAATGCTTGCAAATATCATTAATAGGTTAACATACCCTTCTGAACATGTCATCATGTCAGCCTCTCTGTCATTTTAAGATGGAGCAGCGTCTGTCTCCAAGTCTCTCCTCTGTGTCTTAACATTTAAAATTACACCTATTTATACCTTAGGTGTCTCCATTTTAGGGTTACCGTAGTTCATATATGAAAAAGTAACACTTCTTTTACTTTATTCATTTTAGGACCTCCCTTAACTTGGCAAACATACAAGGCCATAACTAAAGGGTGTATACGTCATGGAAATTTTCCTGACTTAGTTCAAGATGGCATCTTAAAGTCTGGACATCCTTATCTACTTAAGGTTACCACAGTATATTGTGTACTGAAAGAGTCGTAGCATAGCCTTGAAGCTTGTTTATGCATTATTGTTATTGTAATTCGTCTGGGATAAAATGGCGCAAACATATTATGCACTGAGCTTATTGCTTAAAGAAACAGTTATGAAAAACAATATGTTCCATTTCTAACACCTTGTCAGTTTGCAATATCTCTTAAAGACAAAGTACACAGTTTAAGAAATACAACATTTCATTCTAAAACTTGTAATATTTGCATTTGCCCATAACAGTTTCAATCACAGGATTAATGAATGACGGAAGCAATGGGAGTGGGAATTATTGCAACCCTATTGCATTCCCTTTGAAATCTGGGTACAAAACTGAGTTGGGTCTCTATTTGAGACACATTTAAAACTATTTTCTATATAAAGAAAATAATATCTGAGGTTTGTTTTTTCATATTAGTAGATGGTTTGTCATACCCATTCCTCCCAGCGTGCCTTCTTCTCCGCTGTCTCCTCAGCTTCTCTTCTTTCCAACTCAGCTTTCATCTCTGCTTCTTGAGCCAGGGCCTCCTGGGCTGCCTTCAGTTCTAATTCTGCCCTTTCCTCAGCTGTTAGACCATAGTTCCGTGCTTCACCTACAGCTTTAATAATCTGCTTTAGCACGTCTCTGTACTCAGGATCATCATCTTTAGATATATCTAAAAATAATAGAATGTTAAAAATTACATTTTGACTTATCACTTAATTAATCGTCTTCTGTATGGGGCAGTACAAGCTGGTGCTAAAATGAAAGGTACTCGCAGCAAAATAAAAAATTGGGCTTTAATTATTGCATTTATATGCCCCCACTGTCTGATATTAAAAGAAAAAAAATAACATCCTTTGGACTTCTGTTTGACTTTCACATATTCTTTTAAGCAGTGTGCATGTCTTAAAGGGACATTCCACAGCACAAACATGAAATAAATACAAATCATTGCTTAGTACATATACCCCAAATGAAAACTTAAAAGAATTTAATTATGCATTTTTTACATTGGAGTTATATCTAAAGACAGCTTGTAAAACCTGAAATTCTCGTGTCTGCTGCCTTTGCAAACTCTTCCCTTCTAACCCCGCCCTTTCTGTGGCTATCCAATCAGAGACTTTCCAATTGTGCTCAATGATAAATCTTTCCAAGGTAGGTGCCCTGAGCAATTGCTGCCTCTTGAGTTTAGCTCCACTGAGCTAACCAAACCAAACAGGACCGCTTGTCTGCTTAAAAGTCAACGGGGTGTAAACAGGTTAATATAGAAAAGGGTCGATTTCTATTGCAATCTGCACTTTTTGCAAAATGAAAAAATAGGACACACTCTACAAACACAAAGCTTTTCAGAAAGCTAAAGTGCTTTAGGGGTCTGTAGTGTCCCTTTTACATTTTTATCAGGCGAGCACCAATAGAGTTTATATCACTAGGACACTAATATATTCTAATGACCTACAGTAGATATCACTAGAACACTGATACTACATAACTTCAAATAATTTAACAGTTATATAATTAAATAACTTATAGACTTTAATATAATCTACTGATATAAAGTTTATATCACTAATATATTGTAATAAACTCTAATAACATAAAGTTGTTATCACAAGAGTTCAATGATACTGTACCAGTATAACATCTATATAACTTATGCAGGCCCATAGGGTTATTTACTATACCAATGTGCTGTGGATGGATTTCGGCTTCATCAAAATAGTTAAGAACAGTTTCATCTTCTGTGTTCAAATCACGGAACGTATGCAGAGCTTGAAGGAAACGATCATGGGCATAGTGTGTTCCTGCTACTACGCTTTCTGGAAGATTTATAACTCGATTTTTAAGGAACTCATCTGAGGCATCCAGAGAAATAACATAATCTGTAAATACATGGAAACAGAATATAGACAAAGTGTTTTTTTTTCATTGGAACTACTGTGATACACGTATACAAAATGTATTCCCCATTTGCCATATTTCACCTTAAGTTAATTAAGTAGAATATTCTATAGTAAGGACGCTTTCCCTGGTAACTGATATTAAAATGGACCTGCTATTGAAATCTTAACTTAGAAAAATCTTTTCCAGTTGCAGTTTACAATGTAAAGTAGTAAGTGTACAGCCTGTATGACAGTGTAAATTTGCTGTCCCCTCAGAATAACTCAACACACAGCCATTAATGTCTAAACCGTTGGCAACAAAACTGAGTACACCCTTAAGTGGAAATGTCCAAATTGGGCCCAATTAGCCATTTTCCCTCCCCGGTGTCATGTGACTCGTTAGTGTTACAAGGTCTCAGGTGTGTTAAATTTGGTGTTATCGCTCTCACACTCCCTCATACTGGTCACTGGAAGTTCAACATGGCACCTCATGGCAAAGAACTCTCTGAGGATCTGAAAAAAAGAATTGTTGCTCTACATAAAGATGGCCTAGGCTATAAGAAGATTGCTAAGACCCTGAAATTGAGCTGCAGCATGGTGGGCAAGACCATACAATGGTTTTACAGGACAGGTTCCACTCAGAACAGACCTCGCCATGGTCAAGCAAAGAAGTTGAGTGCACGTGTTTACCGTCATGTCCAGAGGTTGTCTTTTGGGAAATAGACGTATGAGTGCTGCCAGCATTGCAGCAGAGGTTGAAGGGGTAGGAGTTCAGCCTGTCAGTGCTCAGACTATACGCCGCACACTGCGTCAAATTGGTCTACATGGCTGTCGTCCCAAAAGGAAGCCTCTTCTAAAGATGATGCACAAAAAAGCCCGCAAACAGCTTAGTGAAGACAAGCAGACTAAGGACATGGATTACTGGAACATGTCCTGTGGTCCGATGAGACCAAGATAAACTAATTTGGTTCACAAGGTGTCAAGCGTGTGTGGCGGCAACCAGGTGAGGAGTACAAAGACAAGTGTGTCTTGCCTACAGTCAAGCATGGAGCATGGTCTGGGCCTGCATGAGTGCTGCCGGTACTGGGGAGCTACAGTTCATTGAGGGAACCATGAATGCCAACATGTACTGTGACATACTGAAGCAGATTATGATCCACTCCCTTCGGAGACTGGGCCGCAGGGCAGTATTCCAACATGATAACGACCCCAAACACACATCCAAGATGACCACTGCCTTGCTAAAGAAGCTGAAGGTAAAGGTGATGGACTGGCCAAGCATGTGGGGTAGCGCAACCTAACATCCACCAGCTCTGTGATATCGTCATGAATGAGTGGAAGAGGACTCCAGTGGCAAACTGTGAAGCTCTGGTAAACTCCATACCCATGAGGGTTAAGGCAGTGCTGGAAAATAATGGTGGCCACACAAAATATTGAAACTTTGGGCTAAATTTGGACATTTCAACTTAAGGGTGTACGCACATTTGTTGCCAACGGTTTAGACATTAATGGCTGTGTGTTGAGTTATTTTGAGGGGACAGCAAATGTACACTGTTATACATGCATCGTAGCAGAGTGTCATTTCATAGAAACATAGAAACATAGAAACATAGAATGTGACGGCAGATAAGAACCATTCGGCCCATCTAGTCTGCCCAATTTTCTAAATACTTTCATTAGTCCCTGGCCTTATCTTATAGTTAGGATAGCCTTATGCCTATCCCACGCATGCTTAAACTCCTTTACTGTGTTAACCTCTACCACTTCAGCTGGAAGGCTATTCCATGCATCCACTACCCTCTCAGTAAAGTAATACTTCCTGATATTATTTTTAAACCTTTGTCCCTCTAATTTAAGACTATGTCCTCTTGTTGTGGTAGTTTTTCTTCTTTTAAATATAGTCTCCTCCTTTACTGTGTTGATTCCCTTTATATATTTAAATGTTTCTATCATATCCCCCCTGTCTCGTCTTTCCTCCAAGCTATACATGTTAAGATCCTTTAACCTTTCCTGGTAAGTTTTATCCCGTAATCCATGAACCAGTTTAGTAGCCCTTCTCTGAACTCTCTCTAAAGTATCAATATCCTACTGAAGATACGGTCTCCAGTACTGTGTACAATACTCCAAGTGAGGTCTCATCAGTGTTCTGTACAATGGCATGAGCACTTCCCTCTTTCTACTGCTAATACCTCTCCCTATACAACCAAGCATTCTGCTAGCATTTCCTGCTGCTCTATTACATTGTCTGCCTACCTTTAAGTCATCAGAAATAATCACCCCTAAATCCCTTTCCTCAGATGTTGAGGTTAGGACTCTATCAAATATTCTGTACTCTGCCCTTGGGTTTTTACGTCCAAGATGCATTATCTTGCACTTATCCACATTAAATGTCAGTTGCCACAATTCTGACCATTTTTCTAGTTTACCTAAATCATTTGTCATTTGGCTTATCCCTCCTGGAACATCAACCCTGTTACATATCTTAGTATCATCAGCAAAAAGACATACCTTACCATCAAGACCTTCTGCAATATCACTAATAAAAATATTTAAGAGAATGGGTCCAAGTACAGATCCCTGAGGTACCCCACTGGTGACAAGTCCAAGCTTCGAATATATTCCATTAACTACAACCCTCTGTTGCCTGTCACTCAGCCACTGCCTTACCCATTCAACAATATTGGAATCCAAACTTAAAGATTGCAGTTTATTGATAAGCCTTCTATGTGCAACAGTGTCAAAAGCCTTACTGAAATCTAGGTAAGCAATGTCTACTGCACCATCCTGATCTATAATTTTAGTTACCCAATCAAAAAGTGTTGACACATGAAAAGATAATATAAAATATTTACAAAAATGTGAGGACTGTACTCACTTTTGTGAGATACTGTATATGCTAGATATTTGGCTACCATAATGTGTAGATGACATCTGAAGAGAATTTAATTTAATAGAAAGTGGCATGACAGGTATACATTAAATTCTAGGAACCTTAAAGCTCAAAGCCCACACAATATAATGTGCAGACAAGTTTTGGGTGGAATGAAGCTTGGTGGCACATTCCTCAAATCATCTTGGGAATTTGAGTTTGATGTTGCTCATCGATGGGTAATGTTTGACACTTGGCCATTGCTTCATAATGATCAAGGCTCAAAGAAGACTCCCGTCTATTACGTTGTAAGTAACATGAACGCGCAATGCATGTGCACACAAACACACCCATGTTGCAGTTGTTGATTATACAATTCTACCAAAACCATGGAGAGTTCTCCATAGCTTTAGAATTGAGGAACAAATTAAATTTGGACAACTAAATAGGGGGTAAAAAAATTAAGAACATACAAATTGGACAAACTGTATCCCATTTGTAAATCTAGAACAAACCTGGAGTGATGGTTTTATCGAAGTATGGAATTTTTCCCCTGCTTTTTTCCTCCTCTCCCCCTTCTTCTGCTGGAAGACACAAGTAAGAAAAATAAAATTTGACACTGGAACATGATTCTATTATTGCACGGCACATAAACGAAAAGATTCTCTGTACAGTGAAAATACGTACAGCTGAAAAGCTCCTTTGCTTGTTCGTAAGTTTTGGGATAACCATCAAGTACATAGCCCTGGTTCTGGCATGGCATCGATTTCAGCTTGTCCCTGACAAACTTGATCACGTAGCTGTCATCGAGACGCCCTATTCATAAGAATCACAGCAACATTTATCATGTGACATTTAACATTTATATGTCTGAGATTTTTAACTGTAAGCAAGCAGGATTTATCACGAACGCACTGAAAATTAGTAAAGTAAATGACTAATTCTTTCATGATTAATTCTTATTACTATTAATGTATATTTTATTTATACAAAGCTAACAGATGTACTTACTACTTTATAGGTTTAATTTCTGCAGAGGAGGTACAATAAGTACAGTAGGTATATAGGGTATATTTTACTTGTATAGTACTAACAGTACTTAGCACTGTATGGGTACATTACAGTTTATTTCGATATTTCATTTGACTAGAACAGATCTAAAGGTGAGATTTTATAGAGTGGGGTGGAGTCAAATTCCATGAGTTAAAGGGACACTGTAGTCACCAGAACATCTACAGCTTATTGCATTTGTTCTGATGAGTAGCATCATTCCCTTCAGGCTTTTTGCTGTAAAAACTGTCTTTTTAGATAAAATGTAGTGTTTACATTACAGCCTATTGATAACTCCACTGGCCACTCCTCAGATGGCTGCTAGAGGTGCTTCCTGGGGCAGTGCTGCTCAGTGGGCAGCACTGCACCTGGAAGCACAGTGAGCAGCACTGCCATTTAGTGTCTCCATCCTCTGCATGCAGACACTGAACTTTCCTCATAGAGATGCATTAATTCAATTTGTCTCTATGAGGAGATGCTAATTGGCAAGGGCTGTGTTCAAATTGTCCTGGCTCTGCCCTTGATCTGCCACCTTGACAGTCTCAGCCAATCCTATGTGGAAGCATTGTGATTGGCTCAGACCACCACTTCTGATAATGTCAGCAGGCAGCTGGCAGGTCTGAGGCAGACAGGGCTGTGCCAGCAGCTGCAGGCTTGAATACAAGTAAGATTTTACTATATTTAGGGAGGCAAGGGGGAGCCAGGGGGCTAGATAGTGGTTTTAACAGGGTCAGGAATACAGGTTTGTGTTCCTGACCCTATAGTGTTCCTTTAAGTCTAGCTCACTGTTACCTTAAAGGTTTACTAGCCAACACTGAAGGAGAGATGCAGCTGTAAGTGTAGCATAAGTGCAGCAGTTACTAATGCCAAGGGAAAATATTTAAGTATATAGTTAGGGTAGGAGACTTCAGCCTTTTTCGCAACTCCAAAATGAGTATTGCGACTTTGTAATGAATTATACAAAAAAAAAACACTTTTTAAAAAAACAAAAACAAATTATGCTTGAGATTAATATGTATTTTTGAGAACAATGTCCATCTATTCCTCTGATTGTTAGTTAATATTTCTTTTATTTTTATAAAGTGCACATGATTAGAGTTTCCAGTGAGTATCCCATTAACACATAATGACAAATATTCCTGGAGTATTTCAGTACTACACAGAAAAACAACATGTAGATCTGCAAGCAAATAAGCTAAAATTAAAACTGCATAACAATATATATAGGTTCAAACCCTGATCATGGAATACAGTTTTCCTAATCACGTGTGTGCAACCATCTCTGCTAGACACCCAATAAACCAGGAAGCTGAAATACTTAGAAATACTTTCGAAAGTGTACTTTCACTTCAAACTATTGGAGTTTATTCACTAAACACCAACTTGGAGTTAACTGAAAACCAAAATGCCAAAGTTGGGAAAATATAGTTGATTTGGAAAAATTCAACCAACATTGCTATAGTCACAGCTTGCCTGATTTTGCAGTACGGTTTCCGGTTTACTAGAATTGTCACTTTATTACCGCTATCACATTCTCAAATTTTAGGCTGTGCACTTAAAATCTTTCTATTAAAACATCAAGAGGCAAAGATTAAATCTATAATAGCCGTGAATTCACTATGTCATTACAGTGCTATTTTAAAATGTTACGTCTAGATTTGTTTCATTACAGATACTGTGTACTGTCCAACTGACCAAGAGTGCTGGGACTTGCAGCCTACACTCACCAATGTCTATGAGAGTTGATGGAGTGATACACTGCTGTACCACGAAGCTCTAAAGATATGTGAATAGACAAAACTAGAATGGTATTGTAGTGAAAGAAAAAACGATGTGGTAAACCTCGCCAAAAATTGAATGTGTATATAGCAAAACAGTATTTATACATACACTTAGAGAGGTCCAATATTGTGTTAATATACAACCTCAATCAAAACAACCTCAATCAAAACAGAATAGGAAAAGATAATAGTGCAATATATCAAAATGTAAAAACCCAATAAAAGACTAACTCACACTCTTTAGAGCTACCAAGAGCTCTGCTGTTTAGCTTGTGGACGGTATAATATATGGGTACTCCTTGTATTAGGCATCCAATTCTCAACAACTATGTAAGGAGAAAACAAAAGAAAAAGAACCAATGGCACAGTATATTGCTATATTGGTAACAACCCCTGGATGTTGGGCTAAGGTAACATCCCCATTTGTATATATATATATATATATATATATATATATATATATATATAAACAAATGTAGCATAAAGATAAAGTGCTCCAGTCCTCACTTAGCGCGTTTCACTTTGGACCACTAAAGAGTGTGAGTTAGTCTTTTATTGGGTTTTAAAAGTGTTTTAAAACTTATTTGATATATTGCACTATTATCTTTTCCTATTCTGTTTTGAGGTCGTCATATACCAACACAATATCGGACCTCCTTAAGTTTATTTATATATACTATTTTACTATATACACTTTCAATTTTTGGCGCGGTTTACCACATCTTTTTTTCTTTCACGTTTTGTATTTTAGCAAGGGTTGGGAATACTTGCTGGTTCACTGCTGCCTTCTACCCTGTTATTTTAGTGAGCGCCTATTCTGTGTTGTTTTGTGTATACCGGTATTGTAGTGCCACTATAATGACAGTCGCCATTTTAAAGTCAATATATTAATATTGTCAACTTTAAATTGAATTAAAATATACTGTTAAATACGAGAAAAATAAACTAGAAAAATAAGACTCTAAATTCATGCAATAGGTATGCCAGGTTTAAATAAGCAATAAATGTGTTTGTTTTGTCTGAAATATTGCTGCTCACTGCACCCTATTAAAAAAAAATGTGCTCAATTAGTTGAATTGAATACCTCCATTTTGCTCCATGTTCTCTTTGACTCCATCTAATATTTCTTGCCAGTTTTCAGAGCTCTCCTCACCTTCTTCTTCCTCTTCCTCTTCTGGCGCCTTTGAAAGTCTTTCCTAAATACGAAGAGTCAGAGAGACTTTGTTTATCAATAAAACGTGTTTTTTTTTAGAAACAAAAAAGTCAATTAAAAAATTAAATGTGGTTGCTGCCATGGCAGATGAAGAGTTAATGTACAAAGCAAATAATAATCATATATGTGCATTATATTTCTCCAGAACTCACCAGTTTTTCAATGGCTTCCGTAATTACATCTTTTATTTTGATGTGATGCAGTTTGTAATGTTTGCACAATAATTTGGCGACTGTTGTTTTCCCGACTGCTGGTGGACCAAGAACACAAATTCTGACAGGCTGAAAATGGATGGGAAATTTGGTATTCTGACATATTTGTATGTGCATGCTTTTCATTATATAACGTATTTGAAATAATTGTAAATACAGGGAAAACACATGTCGATGTACAAAAAAGTATCAGTGCACTGTTTATATCTAGTGAAGTAGAAAATGGAGGGATAATTCCATGATCAGGTCTGCACAGTCTACAGACCTTGATTTATATATATAAACTTAGAAATGTGTTTCAGGTACTTTTAAGTACATTTATTATTAAGTAACTTCATACACTTGGCTTGCACATTGTATACACAATTTGCCTAAAGAGCCATTGAGCCCCAGTCCCTTCCTCCACTCAGAGACGGAAGCTGCTGCACCTAGTTTCTGAGTGCACCATTGTGCTTAGCTCAATACAGATAACTTATGGCTTTCACGGAGGAAGAGATTGGTGCCTGGCAGACCCCAGTTAAGTCATTAAACCATTTGCTATTTCGATATTATCATTGGGGCGCACCAGGCTACTCAAGGTACCTTAAGCACCTACAGCATCCAATGTAACTAGTGGTTTGTCCAAATGGCAGGCCTGTTCCAAGACATTTTCGGTGACTTTCTAACTTACTGAACAGCAGTTATACAACACAGACTGATTGCTAAATATATTTATTATAATTCAAAGACGCAGAATTGTTTTATTGCTGTAAAGATCTGAAATAAATTCACAAAATAGGCATATCCCTCCTAAATACACTTGTGAGATATAAAGTCAGAATTACCTGAAGGCCTCGAGTATTCTTAAACTCTTTGATCACCAATGCAATGTTCTCCAACAATCCTGTCTGAGCCACCCAAGTAATATTAAAATTCTCCTTCAGAAATACCGCTTCCATCCTCAAATTCACAAACAAGTGGTCGATTTCTAATTGCTGAAAATCAAAGACATGTCCATTACAATGGTAAAACCAAACTGGAGTCCTCAGGCACCATGACATCATTCAGTGGTATGTTTTCAACAGCTTAACAATGAATGAGGATCCCCAGCATCCCACAGCCCAACCTCTCCTGCTGGAGCCATGGGCAAGATAGAGATTACACACTGCCTTAGCCATACCAATCTATACCAGGAATGGTTGTCTGTAATAGGTTGAATGATAAGCTTACGCTCTCAGGATATCACAGGTGCCCATCATTGCTCAGGTTAATGCAGGAGTATTATAACGGTAAAAAAATGCACAGCACAGTGCATAAATATGTGTGTATATATCAACATTAAATCAGTAGCAACAAAAGCAATACTTTTTTTTGCTCTTGTCTGCTTATCTAATATAGTAGCAATTACTTTTTTTATTGGGCTATATTTATCACCCTGGGCACTGACATACACTGTATATTTTTTAGACCAAATTCTAAAATGTTAGTTTATAAACCCATGGTGGGTGAGGTCACAGCCTGCATTGAAACCGTAAAGTATGATGTGACTGACACTATGCAGTGTGGGACCCCTAATCTCAGGGCATTAATGTCCTCACCTGCCTAAGATTAGTGGGAATTACTTTCCATTAAACATCTGCTAATTGCAGCTGCCTCCATCAATTTAGTCCCTTTTTGGTTACTTGATGTATTGGTAGAGGAGATAGCAAATCAGAGAAAGTATGATTCCATTTCCGCAGCTCCTCTCCCGGGATGTCACTAAATTGAGAGTGCTGAATTAATGGAGGCAGCAGTAAACAGCAGCTGCTGCCTGAGAGTGTAACTGTAACTGCTACCAACCATGCAATATAAAAAATTGCATTAAGCCAAAGCATGTAATAGGGGAAAAATAATACCATCTTTCTTTTTATTATGTTGTCTATAAAAACCTTTGATGGTAGTATTTTTCCATAATACAAGCTTCTTTGTTATGTATCATAGAATATACACACATCTATCCACCTATCTATTCATCTATCGATCTTCCTATCTCTCTGTCTATCAATCTTCCTATCCATCTACTTATCGTGGGGCAGAGCCAGCACCCGACCGAGTCGGACGCACACTGCTCGAGCTCTGGTTCAGATTGCCGAGAGGAGTGATCCCCTGCCAGTTACACCCGACTTAAACATTGGGTTCTACCCCTTCTGATACCGATTGGGAAGAAAACAAAAAAGTACCGGGCGGATCCAGACCCGGGATGTCAGACATTCCTGCGCCAGCATGGTAGGCCAGAGAAGGCCAAAATGGCATCAGCAGAGGTCTATAATACTACCTCCTCGGATGAAGATAGCTTACCTGAAACCCTATCTACATTCCCACAGAGGCCTGCTCCAGCACCAGGCCAATCTGACCCTGGGGACACTGCCCCATCCACTAAGGCAGACATTAAAGCCCTGTCACAGAAATTTAGGGCTATGCTCCGAGCTGACATGGCCATGCTGAGGGAAGAGATGACTGGTTTATCTGGACGTGCTAAAGCAGACCTGAAAGCTACAAGGGTGTCACAAACGGCTACGGATGCAGCCCTTAACACCCTACAGAAAAGGAATACTGGCCTAAACAACCGCATGGCTATACTGGAAGATAGAGCCAGAGCAAGAAATGTGCGCATGCGGGGGGTCCCCGAGACCGTCACCAATGAAGAATTGCCCCACTTTATCAGGCGCCTTCTATCTACCCAGCTAACTCCAAAACAAGTGAAAATAAATAGTTAATTTAAACTATTGTCTCAGCTTGCCTAAACCCCCTAAAGCACCGCCGGAGGCTCCTAGGGATATCCTCCTGAAGTTTGTTCAGTACGCTGACAGGGGTGTTTTAATGAGGGCTACCAGAGGCACCACTTCCACGACCTTTGAAGGCTGTCAACTTACCTTTTACAGGGACATATCCCACCAAACCATAGTGTGGTGACAGTCATTCCAACAGGTCATTCAGCTACTTTGTGACCATAAAATAACCTACAAGTGGGGCTCCAGAAGACTACTAGTGGAGAAAGGTGGCAAAACCTACCACGTTACCAACCTCTCGGAGACATCCTCCCTGCTCTGCGACCTGGGGATTCCGTCCGGGCCCTCCCCAGCAGAGCACTGCACTCCGTTGTCTGTAGACCAGATTACTCCATTTGTACCTGCATCGGTGGCGTCGACATCAAGAGACCTACCACCTGGAGCAGCACACCAACGCACTGCCGGTGTACGCCATATTAGTGCACGCAGCTCAAACGTTATTCTGTTCCGTTGTACGTTTATGTTTTCTTTATTTACCTGGCTCCATAAGCTCAAGATAAGCTTATAATAACTAGATGTCTCCCCCCACCCCTCACAACCACGCATGTCACCAGCAGATCTCGCAGATTGAACATGACATGTACTAGCGAATTACTCTTTTCGTTATATGCATTTAAGGTTGAGGCAGTTTACGTCAGTATGTGCCTTTCATTTTAGTTTAAAAAAAAAAAAATGGTGCTGAACCTGTGGTGTAATTGAGTAACTTACCGATCTTTTGATCTACCTATCTATCTATCCTTAAAAGTTACTCGCCACTGCAAGTCGGCAGGGTTCATGACACATTCACCTTTTTGAGATATAGAAATAGGTGTGTATACACATATACACATATGTATATGATATCAAGCAACAAACATTATAATGTACTGTACGTACTTTTAAATCTTTTTGTAGGAATGCAGTTTCTTTGGGAACCTTGTGAACTTTTCCTGGTCCAAGGTGCTCGCTGATACACTGCCAAGTGATAACATAACATGTTAACAATTAAACAAATAGGCATCAAACAGGCAATTTTTCGCGATATTAAGAGAGACAACTCAGCTTACAAGCCATTTTTAATTTAGCTGAAGATGACCTCTTTACATTGGGACTCTAAACACTGTCTAGCTTGTAACTAATGAGGAAGATGCCCATTTACCTTAATGATTTCCTCTTGGGTGTGTAATGCATCATCAACTGCTATCAAGTAGTGAGTCCTCGGCCGTTGGTCTGCAATGTTTTGTAACACACTGAAATGAAGAATGTAAAAGGTCATCAGATGAAAGGCTCTCAATCAGATCCAAACCAAAACTTGCAGAGGTCTTTGGTTAAAGGTATGTTCCAGACAGCCACTAGAGTTCTTACTCTACAGTGTCCTAAAACTCGGTCATGTGAGGTTGCAGCTCACCGGAAAGTATTGAATTCAATACTTTTCTACGAGATGCATCTGGATGCACATGTGGTACTCTATGAGAGAGATTTGATTGGCCTTCGGCAAAAGAGTCAGATGACTTTGCAGGAGGTCGGGCAACCAGCAGCGGCAAGGAAGTAAAAAACTTTTTTTTCAGGTTTTTTACTGAGCGGGGACCTAAAGCTGATCCGTAACTAGGACACTCTACAGCTAGGAATATAGATTTATATTCATAAATTTGTAGTGCTCTAGTGTTCCTGTGAAATAAGTGAAGACCTTTAGCAAAGTTTCAGTTTCATTTTACACAGAGAGTGAATGTTATGTATGTATGTATGTGCATCTGTGTGTCAGAGTATGCATCGGTGTGTGTTTGTCAGTGTGTGTACATGTATTATAATGTGTGCATGTGTCAGTGTTTGTGTGTGTCACGGTGCATGTATCTGTGTGCCAGGGTGTGCCTTTGTGTTTTCTTTATATGTTGGTGTATGCGTGTGTCAAGGTGTATGTATGTGTCAATGAATGTGTCAATGTTTATATGAATTTGTGTGTATGTGTCAGTGTATTTATATGTATCTGTGTGTTAATGTAAGTATGCATATATTTCTGTGCATTCATCCAAGTAATCAAACACCAAACTCCTGCAATCAAACACAAATATTACAAACACACCAATGAATTAAAACTCCAAAATTATATTTAACCACAACCGTTCACTCAAACACCATTACTACACACAAATGAACATCAAATGCAAACACTATATTTGTACAATCAAATGCAAAAATTACGTACAAACACACTCCAGTAATAAAAACACTAAAATTATATACAAGCACCCCATTTAATCAAACACCAACACTATACATTATACTATCACGCCAGTATATGCCACAGATGTACAGATATACAGAACTTTGTTTTAACTTGGGGCACCTTGAAAAAAATATTGAAATATTGAAATATTAAGTGTGCCTTGAACCTAAAAAGTTTGGCAACCATTGTGTTAACCCATATAACCTGCAAACGGTACTACTATTACTTCTGTAATTCTATTGTGTAATTTTAGATTTTCTGTCATATCACATTTTGGTTTATTTACAAAAAACATGAATTGTGGAGAATTGGCAAGTGAATGGCACATTTTGATGCAAAACTCTTCTATTCAGTTATTTTTTCCATTGAATTTTTGAAGCCTAATTCTACAATTCCCATGTCAATTTGCCTTAGTTCCAAGATAAACGAATAAACAAGATTTTAATTGTTTATATGCTATTCAATAAGAGTGATATAATCCATTTATTTTCAGACTTTTGGGAGTCTGGGCTGTTGACACTAATAATCTAGGTGTATTATATCACGGGATGCTAATCAGATTACACAGATTAACTGAGTTAGTTGCTTAATATATCAATGTTTATTTTATATATATGTAACATTTGCATTTTGCTTTTCCTTATCCCTTCTTAATTGGTGAAATGAATTGTGATTTTAATTGCCAAAGATGGCTGTTTTCTTTTAGTAGTTGAATCTTGTACTTATCCCTACCTTACCCTCCATTTCTCTTCTGCACCCCCACCTTGTTTGTTGTTTTAAAGACAATGAATATATATTCAAATATTAAAAAAGGATCTGTTTTGAACTACTGTGAAACTACAAAATGTTAATTATTAATTTGTATATAATGCCAGAGGAAATGCCTGAGCGTCTCGAACCCTAAATCTACGAGGTCAATTAAAGGTGCTCGACTCCAGAGGATGGCTGTGATAAAACTACTACTATTTTTATAATTATGCAGGCTTCAGATTGGAAAAGCATCATGAGGGTTGCAGTTCTTCATCAGCTGGAGGTCACTGAAAGTCTAATTTATGGCCACCCGAGCTATATGTTACCTGTTTGTAACATTAAGTTTTATGTACTACTAGGAGAACAGCACTCTGCATACAGTGCACAGTAGACATGTGCAATTCGTTTCGGGCCGAATATGAATTCGGATGAATTTCGGGCAATTCGGACATTCAGGTACTTCCGAAAGTCCGAATAGCCGAAGTGCCGAATTACCGAGGTCCCGAAGTTCCGAAATGACCAAATTTCCGAAGTACAGTATTGTCTAAGTACTAATATACTTACCCAGTGGAAGAAGAAGAATGTTACACTGTATACAATTTTAAATAAAAAGTATACAAACATAGGCAGGATTCAGCTGTAAGCATTTGCAACACTTACAACAATCAAGTAACACATTCATATAAAATGTAAGTTACTTGGCCAGTCAGTGTAATGACAGGCATGAATAAGTAGATAACTCCCTAATTCCCACGGCATTAGGGAACTATCTACTAAAAGGCTGAAAGACCTGAATTGGTCTTTCAGCCAAATTTACTAATACTAAGTAAAGATTACTTAGTATTAGTAAATTATGCCCCTACTCGCTATACTACGAGTAGGGGCATGTCTATTAAACAGTGAGCAGCCTGTGACTGCTCTATGTAAAAAAATAAATAAAAAAAAAGTCCCACCTCCACCTCCTAATCTTAAGGGGGACCTATTGCACCCCTGAACGGCGGGTGGGGCCCTAAATTAAAATAAGGGGGGGGGGACCTATTGTCCTCCACCTGGCCCCCACCCATGAGCGGCGGCCCTAAAGTAAAGTAATGGGGGGGTACCTACTGTCCTCCCCCTAGCCCCCACCCCAAACGGTGGGTGGGGGCCCTAAATACTAATTAGGGGGGGACCTAATATCCTCCACCCTGGCCCCCACCCCTGAGCGGTGGGTGGGGGGCCTAAATTAGAATGAGGGGGGAGGACCTCATGTCCTCCCCCCTGGCCCCCACCCCTGATCGGTGGGTGGGGGACCTAAAATACTAATGGGGGGGGGACCTAATGTCCTCCCCCCTGGCCCCCACCCCTGAGCAGTGGGTGGGGACCCTAAATTAGAATGAGGGGGGAGGACCTAAGGTCCTCCCCCGTTGCCCCCAACCCCGAGCGGTGGGTGGGGGCCCTAAAATACTAATTGGGGGAGGACCTAATGTCCTCCCCTCTGGCCCCCCACACCTGAGCGGTGGGTGGGGGCCCTAAATAAAAAAAATAACCCCCCATCCCCTGGGTGACTAGGGGTCCCCAAACCCCTAGTAACCCCCCAAAAAATTAACCCCCTACCTTCCCCCCTCACCCTAAAAATAATGAGGGGGGACCATTTAACTAAGTACCTGAAAAAAAAAACTAAAAAATAAAACTTACCATTTGATGTTTTCTTTCTTCTAAAATCTCCTTTTTTCAACCCAAAAAAAGGCAAAATAAAAAGCCATACTAACCGACGCACTTAAAAAAAAAAAAAAAAAACGAGAGCAAAAAAAAAAAAATTATCTATCTTCACCCGGCGAGGGCTCCACGCAGACTGAGTAAAGCCTTATAAAGCCTTGTCACGCCCTGCAATTAGGCTCAGAGCACTCTCTGATTGGTGGGTTTAAGCCATCCAAAATGAGTGCTCTGACAGGTAAACAAAGAGACTGACAGGTAAGTCTCTACATTTACCTGTCACAGCACTCTGATGGGTTGGTTTGAAATCCAGCAATCAGAGTGCTCTGTGTCATTTTAGTTCTTTGGAATTTTCCCATGCTGTGTAATTTGACTCATAACACTCTGATTGATGGATTAAGTAACCAATCAGAGTGTTATGAGTCAAATTACACAGCGTGGGAACCAACCCATCAGAGTGCTGTGACAGGTAAATGTAGAGGCTTAAACCCACCAGAGTGCTCTGAGCCTAATTGCAGGGCGGGGCAAGGCTTTATAGGTCGCCCTCCCCCCCATTCTAATTTAGGACCCCCACCCACCGCTCAGGGGTGGGGGCTGGGGGGAGGACAATAGGTCCCCCCCCCATTATTTTACTTTAGGGCCCCCACCCCCCGCTCAGGGATGGGGGTCGGGGGGGGGGGAGGACAATAGGTCCCCCCCATTATTTTACTTCAGGGCACCCACCCGCCACTCAAGGATGGGGGCCGGGGGGAGGACAATAGGTCCCCCCCATTATTTTACTTTAGGGCCCCCACCCGCCGCACAGGGGTGGGGGCCGGGGAGGGCAATAGGTCCCCCCATTATTTTACTTTAGGGACCCCACCCGCCGCTCAGGGCAATAGCCCCCCCTTTAGTTTAAAAGCCCCCATTCGCATGTCGCGGGTGGGGGCTTGGGAGGGGGGACCCATTTTTGAATATTTTTTTTTTCTTTTTTTTAACTGGCTGCTCACTGTTTAATAGACATGCCCCTACTCGCGGTATACTAGCGAGTAGGGGCACAATTTACTAATACTAAGTAATTTTTACTTAGTATTAGTAAATTTGGCTGGAAGACCAATTTAGGTCTTTCAGCCTTTTGGTAGATATCTCCCTAATACCGTGGGAATTAGAGAGTTATCTACCAAGCGGCTGCAAGAGACGTTCCGAAATTCCGAAGTCCCGAAGTGCCTAGGTCCCGAAGTTCTGAAATTACAGAATTTCCAAAGGGTCGAAGTCACGAATTGAAAATTTTTCCCATGCACATGCCTAGTGCACAGGGTGACATGTTTGCAGCTGAGACTAGTTATCTGACTAATTAGCACATTTTGAGGACCGCCAAGGCTGTTTCCCCCTCATTTGATTTTTTTTTATAAACGCTATCGGATTTTGCTTTGTTCAGTAACTTTCCTATGGTCACAATGGTATAGTAATTCATAACCTCCCAGTAGTAATAAAAGAGGGTTAAAAAACAGGATACAATGTCAAATTCATAACGCAGAAGCAAATAATCTAGCAATTGGGGAAAGGAAAAACATCAGGTTGATTATTCATTCTGTTCAAAACAAATATTCAGTATCTAGCTCTTCGGTTACAATCTAAGGATATCCTCTTAATATTATTTTTGCATATTTATTAGACCAATGTTTCCCAAATCAGTCGTCAAGACCCACCAACAGTCCAGGTTTTATAGAAACATAGAATGTGACGGCAGATAAGAACCATTCGGCCCATCTAGTCTGCCCAATTTTTTAAAATACTTTCATTAGTCCCTGGCCTTATCTTATAGTTAGGATACTTAAACTCCATTACTGTGTTAACCTCTACCACTTCAGCTGTAAGGCTATTCCATGCATCCACTACCCTCTCAGTCAAGTAATGCTTCCGGATATTATTTTTAAACCTTTGCCCCACTAATTTAAGACTATGTCTTCTTGTTGAGGTAGCTTTTCTTCTTTTAAATATAGTCTCCTCCTTTACTGTGTTGATTCCCTTTATGTATTTAAATGTTTCTATCATATCCCCCCTGACAACAGGTTTTGTCAGTATCTACACTGGAATAAAATATGGAAATACATATATCCTGGACTTTTGGTAGGCCATGAGAACTGCTTTGGAAACTACTGTATTAGACTATTTCGTCTGGCAAGTGAAATTTATAAATACATTTTGTAGATAAGAAATAAGAAGAAAATATGGGCCAACTGGATTGAACTGCAGCTGTACTCCAGACCAAAGTTCACTTACATATATACATTTTTTTTAAAAGAGTGTGTGCTCTTAGCAATAAACAAGTCCCTGGGACAGTGGGGAAATTGCCACTCCTCCCATATGAAACAATTGGACACACTTTAACACATTTATCAAAATAAAATTATCACCTTGCCAAATCAGTGATGTGAATTAATGGGATATAATTTGATCCATCTCCAAAGATTGCTAATTCAGGAGTTTTTCCAAGCCAAGCTTCCTGAAAAAGATATATATGACTGTTAATTGTGTTTTAATACTTCCTAAAATGTAGTATAGTGAATAGAAGAATATCCTGTCTGATTGAATGTGAAAGTTGTAAAATGTGTGGTATTGTTCATCACTAGTGGCTGTAAATGACTTTACATATTAAATCAAATATCTTTATGAACCATTAGGAGATAATAAGATATTCTGATGCAAGGATTTTCATGGTGATTGCCCTCTCCCCTTCTCATCCCCTAGTTAGCAATATAATTTTTGCGCAACTTTTGGGAATAGGAATATGAGGGTTTTACTATAGTAAAAGCACATCATAGTACCTAAAGGGAGCATGATATGGCGATACTGATTTTTAGGACATCTGTCTCCATATTTGTTATCGGTATACTCTTTTTCATTTATATACATGTTTAATTTACCATTAACACTTTTGATTATTGAATTTGCTGTGGTCATGACTCACCTTGAAAAATGTATGCAGGATGCCTTCCTCTGCCCCATATGGAATCGCTGAAGCAATTACATAGGTTGAGAATAATCCTTTGTTCTTCAAAAAGCAAATCATTGTTTTAGATTAAATGTAAAAATAAACAAAAAAGAAAATCAAATTATTTCAAATTACATTTTAGTCATCTTGCCAACACTTTGTGGGCATTTGGGGAAGCCAGTGCTGGTTTCAAAGGAAGATGTACCATACAATGCCCATTTATAGAGGTGAGATTTGGGCATCATTATAGCCACTCCATTTTATTTTATGGTTGTTCTCCAAACTACGTATGAATTAAAATCCCGACTTGATGGAGTGTGAATTTTGGTGTATGATGCCTCCTGCATGAAAGGTTGTGACGGGTTTTCTTTATACTTTGAGTTTAAAGGACTTTCCTGCTTTTACAGATTGCTTTTTCTTATGGTTTCCCTCATCTTTGTCCATTGCACGGTTAAATTGAGCAAGGCTAGTTGCAAGTTTGGCAGCACATTTACTCTTAAAGGGGCAATATAGGCACCTAGACCTGGTGGACAGCCACTAGAGGTGCTTTCGGGAGTTTAGCAGACTCTAGGTCTCCTAAATGATGCTGGACATCCTTACGCTCTGCATGCGGACATCCAGCGTAAGTGAAATCTCCATAGAAAAATATTGAATCAGTGCTTTCTTTTGGTGACAGCCTAATGTGCATGCATCCAGGGTGACCATATCCACCATGTTTTCTGGGACACATATAACATGTACATATTGATGGGCAGAACATGAAAAGGGTAGCCTGTAGTATGTAGATTTCAGAAGAACGTGTATTAGATTAAGCAATTAGGCAGTGGGCAATAATATAGAATATACATTATACACGCTGCAGGGCAACCCTTTTCATGTGTTTTCATAAATATGAGAAACATTTATGTATCCCTATAAACTTGGTGGATCTGGTCATCCTGCCCCCACTTGATGACGTCAGAGGCGGACCGCTGACCAGCACCGAGGGAGGTCGGGGTTGAAATCGGGGACCGCTGACCAGCACCGAGGGAGGTCGGGGCTGAAATCGGGTAAATAAATGAAGGTTTTAAAGTCTTTATTAGCCATGGATGGGGGGGGGTGGGTGGGGTGGGAGAGGGTAGGGAGTGTATAAGGTAGGGAGAACCAGAGGGCACAATATTATTAGGAATCCAATACTGAAATCCTTTAAAGGAGATGGAAAACAGGCACCAAACAAAAAACAAACTCATGATGCAACAATTAAGGATTTTAACCATCACAAGGATGAAGATTTTGTAAACATATTCTGTTGGATATTTTAAATAGATTATATAAGTATTGCTATAATTTTCGATTTGGAATTAAATGTATTGATCTTTTAAAAAGTTAACAATGGTCTTGTGGAAACTTGTGCCACAATCAATGTAAACTCTTCACTCACAGATTTTCCAAGCTTAATCACAAGCTTTTCAACGCTGAGGTGATCTTTAAAATTCATGTGACATCTTCTTCTTCGGTAATCATCTTCGGTAAAAGGAAGTTCGGGATCATCCTTAAGAAGGAAAACATAAGCTTGTTTACAGGCATAAAAGGATAATGTAAGATAATTTCAACAGATTTCCCAACCAACAATGCTTTAAAATAAATTATATAAATCCATTGTCACTAAATCAATTATAAAAAATACACATAAGTATTTTAATTCAAGCAGGCCAAAAGAGACAAATCCACTTCACTCCAAACAGCTAATTGTACATTTTGCAACATTACTAACAAATATATTTATTTCAAATATAGTGTAACAGGGCAAAAATGTTATATATGTTATACATTTTGAGATGATATTTGTTAGCATGAGGTGTAATGTACAGTAAGTGGTTAAGGCTGAGAAAATTAAAGGAAAGGGTTGGAGAACATCTTAAAAAAAGTAGGCAATTTTACAACTTTGTATTGTGGAAGTTGTTATTGTGCCTGCAGTCCAGCCCCCTTCTCCCATCCTACCGTAAAAAACAACAACATTAAACTAATTAGAAGGCTTGGAAGCGCAGCTTCAAGTCACAACTCCAAGCCTTCTTGGATTGAGAACCGTGAATCTTACTCCCCGGCTCTCATAACGTCATCCCCTGGAGGCATGCTCCCAGGATGACGCAACCTGAGGAGGAGGTTGCGACAACGCCAAGGGAGACATTGTGCTGGATAAAAGGTGAGTTATTTTAATTATTTATTTTACTCTGAGGGAGCTAAGTGATAAGGGGCATCAGGGCTGTAGTGTTAGGAATACAGATATGTACTCCTAATGCTATAGTGCTTCTTTTAATAATATAGAGTTAGATCATAAAAGAACTACAGTAAGTAGACTTTATTAAGGAACATGAAAGGGATGCATCTTGTTTAAGATTTTTAGGACTTGATAGGCAAGTTGATCCTAAGAGGATGTGGGAGATCTCACACAGATTCCTATCTAAGAGAGAAATTGTATGAATTATTATTTTGAGGACTAGAATCCCTCTTGGACTGAAAGTATAGTCGGATCTCTCTGTCCCCCCCAAAAAATGTCTTCCAAGTTTATTGAGTGTTTAGGGCTATGCAACAGTGATTGTTTTTCCATCCATGTGGTGTACATTTTATTGTACAGAGTATTTCAATATATTGCATGTTGTATAATATGGTGATAATTCTGCTCTTTTGTGAATTACAGTAATTTTGTTTCTTTTTAATTTAGTTTTTATTGATCTTATAGTTGCAAAATGAAGGTATGGTAAAAGAGTCTGAATGCATTCTTTTGCAGTGGAGTTCACCAATGTAATATCAGAGTGCATGGTTATTTATATTTCACTTCATTCATTTTTTTAAGTCCGGCCTTTCACAGTCCAGACATGCATATTACTTTGCAACTTTAAATTTATATGCTTTTCATCTCCGAGGTCTGGTGTAGTTCTGGTAGCTGGTTGTAGAGTGGCATGGCAGAGAGAGATAAGGGAGTGTTATCTGACCTCTTCTTTTTCTATATAAATTGGAATAAACACACTAGTTTGTCTTGAAAATGTTTCATTATAAAACACTCACAGGGTTATGCACTAAAGTGAGAATTAAAAATTAAGGACACAGTAAAAGAAATGGGAAAACGCTCTGCTTTTAGTTACTTTGATCTAACATTTTAAATTGTCTTTGAATTCACATTAGTGAATAACCCTGATAGGCACCTTGGTTTCCTAGTGACTAAGCTGATTTTATAGCTTTAGTTTAGAGTATGGATGACAGCAAATAATGTTGTTATGAATGCTTTTTATATCTCTAAGGGGTGAATAAACATTTTATTATTTTATTATTTGTTTCTGGCACATCATATACTTACCTTCACAAATACCCAGGTGGGGGATCATTCCCTGGATCAACCTACTCAATATTATATCTCTTGTGGGGATCATACCACTCAAACGATAATATTTGAGCGGTGCTACTGCTCGATTAAATGTGTGTAGACCATATTTCCTTTGACATGTTACTGTATGTGTCACAGAGAGCACTATTGTCTGCTTTTTATATTTTTTTATATATACACATCTGTATGCCAACGGAGCCACATATTCTTCAATGGGGATTGTACCGCTGTATGTTCACTCACAGCTGGTTTAAAGTTCTATCAAATGTGAGTGCTATATCACATATATGTTTGTTTTGTGTCCTGCATCCAGTACTAGATATTCTACACTATCACTGATTATTTTCTGTTTTATTGCATATATTTTCAACTATTCAAAGTCTGAACAGCCATCAGCAAGCAAACTCTCAAACAGATGTAAACTTTATATTTTGTGCAACCTGTATTCTTTGTTTTGTACTGTTTTTGCTTTCTCTTAAGAGGTTAAGGGAACCCTTACTATCAATTTTTGCGCTCGCTCTCTCTCTCTCTCTCTCTCTCTAAAATATATATATTTTAGAGCTTTGGCCCTTGGCCCATTCTTAGGATAAAATTACATAATTTAGGCCAAAACACTTGAAACTAGAAAGAAATTCAAGTACAGCTATTTTTACAGTTCAGCTACTTTAGCATAAAATGTAAACGTGGCCCCAACAGTCTGTGTCACAGGGAGTACAGTCAAGCTGCCAATATATGCTATCTAATGCTACACATATGTTGCAGTGGCCAAGTTCAATGTGTATGCTCTGCATTTTATCTGAAGAAAGCAAAGATCATATCATCTGACTTTTACCGCAATGGTTAACTTTACAACATTTAATTTGTACATGCTAGACATTTACTTCCATTTTTAGATTTGATATTGCCGAAAATGTACTCTGCCAAATTCAGCTGGAATGATCAATTTAAGAATATCTGTAGCACTATATTTACTGTTCATACCGGATCAAGAGATTTGCTTCGAGCCCAGGTCATAATGGTAGAAATTAGTATGAACATTTTGGGGTGCTGAAATTGCTCCAACTCAGTGTGAAGTGCTGAAAGGAGAAAGAAACAACATTTCATTAATGGACATTTGCTGTTAATGATACGCGTAATATTTGGAATCTCAACAATGCTAGACAGTGTATGGGGTATCTATGATACCACTTTTTACAATAAAGTGCTTTATCTCTTTTACCAGATCATGCAGGGAACAGTTCAAATGTCACAGACTGCAGTGTTTGCTATGCGGCACTTCAGTCATGTTGCTTTTATCTATTTTATGTTAAAATAAAAAATCAGAAAAGAGAAAATCAGAAGTGATATAAAGCAGAGCTTCTTCAAAAATGGCACTCACCAGACACTGCCCATGAAGCCTCATCAATCTGAGAAGCATCCTCGGTAATGTTGTAAATAATTATATCACACTCCAGAAGGTGACTCAATAGCTCATCCCTGCTTGAACTCTGACAAGAAAAATATTAGTGGAAAAATCTATTATGCAATGTTAGTAGGACACCCCCCTTTGCCCTGTACATATCATGCGTTGTCATTTACCCTGAAAAAAACAACACTGGTCCAGTCCCATACCCAAATTCTATTGTCAAGCACACTCATACAGTCCATGCAAATTTACTTCTCAGATGCACTTATGCAAGCATATTAACTGCTGTCCTGCTCCTTACATTTTAAATAAAATAAGACGCAAAATCTATTAAATGCCTGACAATGTTTTGTGTGTTATAGTACTATAAAGGTAATACAGACTAGTAATAAAATACATTCAAACACTTGTTGGTAATGAGCTGTCATCTTCACCTGGTTTCTCTATTTGTTTGGTGACTCTGGGCAGGTGATGATACAGTTACTGGGTTAATGACGGTATGTGGAGGATGGTGGCATATACAGTTATATTGCGAACTTGAGGCACGGGGGGAGGGTTGTGGATAGTGGCCTCCCACCTGATGCCCATCGATGAGGGCAGCGTGTGTAAGCTACTAGCAACTAGGCAGCATTAGTCTGTTTAACATACATGCCCCCCACTCACTGCATTTCGAGGTATAAAATCTGAAACCGATCCCTATGTCTAAGGAACAGTAGGTCTAAAACGTGTTAGGTGTTTATTGTGGTCTTTGTCGATTTTTGTTTTATGCAGATTAAACCTCCTGTGGACTTTAAGCGCTTGCAGTGGCGTTATTTTAATCTTTTACTGAGGTATAAAACCTCCCTAGCACTAATGTAGGGGTCATTGTAAACCCACAAGCATGTTTTAACTGTTTTCCCACTGACATCATGTGTCAATTCACTAAGCTGGGAATTGTAACATTTTTACATAAGTAGCTGATTCAGCGTTTTCCAACTCAAATATTTCTCCAGCTCCAGAGGTCTACAATGTGCAATTGCCTTGTCAGTTACCCACTATTCACAGTTCAAAGAATAAATCTCTACATGTCGGATGCTTCTTGGCCATTAAGAAGAATTTCCATACACATTAATTAAAAAAAATATAATATTTGACAGCTGAGTTTCCTATTAAACTTTTCATGTAAATATATTGTTACCGTGTAAGTTTCCATGGCGAAATTCAGTTTTTTTGAATTGGGGTCAGAAAGAGAACCAACGATTTGGAAAAGTCCTCCTTTTGGTTTATTCGATAAGTCTGCATCTTGGACTGATACGTTTTCTACTTCCTCTTGCTCCTCACCAGCTTCCTCAAGTGAGGCTCCTACCACACAGCCAGAAAGATACTGAAGGAACAAGTACATATGCTAAGATTAGAACGGAGGTCAATAAGTTTGCATATTTAAAGCAGCTTTCACATCTCATAAAAAAAAAAAAAAATGATTTCATAAAGATTGAATCTTTATAAAATGATTAGATTTGCTATTTTTAGGTTTTATTTAAATTACAGCACAGTCAAAAGATATCATAAAACAAAGTAGGGAATTACTTTGTCTTTTGGTAAAGCCTGAGGTTGACAGAACTTGACAAAAACTAGAGGAGCTTCAATCGTCAAGTTCTGTGAAATTCCCTACTGATCACTAGCGACATCTTTGAGAATCAGGCTAATTTTCATGGATTACGAGACTTATTCTATTGAGGCTCCTGCGGGATCCTCTATAGATATCAGTGTTGTACTCTTGTGCATGTGCCACAACTGTCAATAGCTCGGCAGTGACAGTTCCAGTATAGCAATTCTTTATTTGTCATATAGCATATCAAATAAATAAAATAAGGTGTGAGTTTGTTTTAGTCAAGAGGCTTTGGATTGGTGCTCATTGAAGCCAGATCAGTTTAGTTCCTAACTGATCTTAACATGTATAGCTTGGAGGAAAGACGAGACGGGGAATATGATAGGAACATTTAAATACATAAAGGGAATCCACACAGTAAAGGAGGAGACTATATTTAAAAGAAGAAAAACTACCTCAACAAGAGGACATAGTCTTAAATTAGAGGGGCAAATGTTTAAAAATAATAATTTCAGGAAGTATTACGTTACTGAGAGGGTAGTGGACACATGAAATAGCCTTCCAGCAGAAGTGGTAGAGGTTAACACCATGAGGGAGTAAAGTAGTTAGAAAATTGGGCAGACTAGATGGGCCGAATGGTTCTTATTTGCAATCACATTCTATGTTTCTATGTCATTGGTCTTTATGACCGATATAAAACTCTGTTCTGGGATAGTTCTCATTTCCCCCAAAGAGTCTGCCTGACTGGCAAAACTCTCGTCAGGGCTTGGCTCAGTACTATTCCTCTACAGCCTTAGATATTTGATACTCACTTAGTAATCCTTTGGTGCTATTTAGACAATTAGTATAATATCTGTCTGATTGCTGTATATATGTATATATGTGTGTGTATATATATATATATATGTATATATATATATATATTGTTGCTAAAACTTTTGAGGGATTACTGAGCCATTATATATAGATCGTTTTCAAAGACGGAAACTCTTTAGGAGATTAGCTATTTTAGCTCTACAATCGAGACTAGATGCCCTCGAAGGCACAGTTTAACATTCTACTAATCTGATAAGTAATTCCAACTGTATCTATATCCCTGCAAGATTTATCTTTACCAATCACCTACTTTTCTTTCTCATGACGTTTACGTACAGCTTGCTCAATATTAGACACTAATATATACTCTCTTTATGTGTCTCTTTGATGGTTCTTTGCTAGAGTTTGTTACTATTTGTTTCTCTTTGTATCAGTCTTCGGGTAATTGTTAGATTTAGCATATTGCTACATTCCCTATACGAGCTTTCACCATGACATCACAAGTTCTTCCGGGTAGCAAAAGCCGATGGCACCACTAGTAGGAGCGGGAGTCTGCCCCCTCACACCGCAGACACCGACCGCTCATAACATACAAACTGATGAAGGCAGCCCGGCATCCCTGTGCCCCAGCTCACTGCACGGACCGAGAGAAAGAGAACCGAGCAGGCTTTTAGAGGAGAGATGGGGCCCCAACGATATGTGCACCGGCCCCTTCATAGCATCTTACATGGAGTAGAGGGGCCCCCTTACTGGCCAAGCCTGGGGCCTCAATGGCATCTCACAGGGAGTGGAGGTCCCCTAAGTGGCAGAGTTGGGGGGCATCTCAGAAAGAGTGGGGGAACCAATCTGCGGGCCCTCATGGCATCTTCTCTTTGTCTGCATGTGAGCATGTCGGTGAGAGACTACAGCTCCCATCATGCTCTCTCAGCCTGGGGTACGGGGGGGGGGGAAGAGTATGGGCTAAGGCAGCAGCAGAGATATGAGTCCTAACTGACCGGCACATTGCAGCATTCAGGCTGATATAGAGCAAGCCGCTCGCATTCTGCCACCTGGACGTATCTTGGTGCCTATTGTTTACAAATATTCTGAAATGCCGTTTACTACAGATATGATTTACTGAGAACCTTCAGTTATTTTTCATATTTTAGACAGCATGGCGAGCTGTCCACTGTTGTGCAATTTAGTTTAGAACTTCAAGCAGTGATTTTTTTTCTCTCCTTTGCATATACTTTTTTGGATTAATGTGTGTTATACCTTTTTAGACTATACTAGTCCATGGTATTTTTAATTATCTATATTAAATGTTGAGTTTTAGCTTATTTCAAGTTTAGACATGGATTTCGATCAAGGCAAGTTCTCGTTTTTTCTGTATAATTTCAATTTAGTATTACCAACCTTTTCCCATGCCAGGGACCACAGATTAGGTAGCTCCCCTCCGCTTTTTGAATTTTTAAATGACTATAAAAAGATTGCAGAGTGAGCAGGGTTAAATCCCTGCTTCCCCAGATATCAATTGGTACCTGGGGCTCCCTCTGTCAGTTGGGTCCAGTGCTACATACAGCTCTTTAAGTCCATTCCTAACACTGAGCAATCACACTCAACTGCAGTGTTTCTTGGCTGCAAGCTTGTGAAGTGACACCCCCTTTGGCTTTGAAGAGACCTGGGTAGGGTCTCCCTTCCTGTCCCTAAGCAGATTCTGATTGGTGCTGGGCTTTGTCAGCTGTCCACCTTCGATCACAGTGTAATCGTCTAGGAAGCAGGCTCCATTTATAATTCCATAGCATGTTATTCTGGAAACAGCCAGTAGATGGCGGTCACCACTTTCTATTGTTTTAACTAGAAAACCCATCTCTGATATCAGAATTAATATTAGCAGAGGGTTTACTTAGGGTTAATGGTCGGATTAGAATTAGTGCAGTGTTAGTTGTAAAGTTTGTAGGGTTAGTGTTACAGCAAGGAAAGAGTTAATGGTGTTTGGGGTTAGGGATAGTGTAGGGTTACATTAAAGGGAAAGATTAGGGTAAGTATACCATTCTAGTTAGTGTAAGCATTGAGATAAGGGGTATGGTTGGTATAGTGTTAGGGTAAGTATACCATTCTAGTTAGTGTAAGCATTGGGATAAGGTCTATGGCTGGTATAGTGTTAGTGTGGAGGTTGGTATAGGCATAGCAGTAACTACCAAAAATGTATTTAGATCATAGACATATTAGCTTTAACAATCAGTACAAATATATGTAAAAAAATAATCATAGTCGTGTGCAGCAAATTTCATTAGGGTGTGCATCTGGGAATATTTTTTTAGAAGGCTGTGTGTGAGAGGTTACTATGTATTGTGTAGGTGTGGGAAAACTGTGAGTGGAAGTGATAGGAGGATAGGGAGAGAGGGTAGTATGTGTTGGAAATCATAGGTATATAGGAGAAATGGCGGGATGGCTGTGTGTGATAGGAAGAGGGAGGGAGAGATGGTTGGGTATAATAAGATTAACAAATAGAGAAAGGGATATGTTTGGAGAGGTAGGAGGATGGGGTTAGAGAGATCGAGTAGGGAGAGGAGAATGGGGTGAGAGAAAGGGATGGGTGGAAGTTATAGAAGGGTTGGATAGAATTGATTGGAGGATGTGAAATAGAGAAAGTGATAAGTGGGAGTGAAAGGAGAATGGGGAGAAAGTGATAGAAAACGAGGAGGGATAAGCGTGGTAATATGAGTATGGGGTCTGCCATGCCCTGGGTAAAGATAGCCTTTTCCAAACTTGCTAGCCATGCCCTGGGTATAGACTGCCTTTCCTACCCTGCAAGTTATGCCCCAGGTACAGATAGTCTTTCCTACCCTAGCTATACGCACGGTACAGATAGCCTATCCTGCTAGTCGTCCCCTTTCCTAAACTGCTAGCGATTGTCCTGGGTACAGATTGGCTTTTCCTACCCTGCTAGCCATGCCCTGGGTACTGAAAGCCTTTCCTACCCTGCTAGCCATGCCCTGGGTACTGATAGCCTTTCCTACCATGCTAGCCATGCCCTGGGTACTGATAGCCTTTCCTACCCAGCTAGCCATGCCCTGGGTACTGATAGCCTTTCCTACCCAGCTAGCCATGCCCTGGGTACTGATAGCCTTTCCTACCCTGTTAGCCATGCCCTGGGTACAGATTGGCTTTTCCTACCCTGCTAGCCATGCCCTGGGTACTGATAGCCTTTCATACCCTGCTAGTTATGCCCTAGGTACAGATAGTCTTTCCTACCCTAGCTATACGCACGGTACAGATAGCCTATCCTGCTAGTCGTCCCCTTTCCTAAACTGCTAGCGATTGTCCTGGGTACAGATTGGCTTTTCCTACCCTGCTAGCAATGCCCTGGGTACTGAAAGCCTTTCCTACCCTGCTAGCCATGCCCTGGGTACTGATAGCCTTTCCTACCATGCTAGCCATGCCCTGGGTACTGATAGCCTTTCCTACCCTGCTAGCCATGCCCTGGGTACTGATAGCCTTTCCTACCCTGCTAGCCTTGCCCTGGGTACTGAAAGCCTTTCCTACCCTGCTAGCCATGCCCTGGGTACAGGTAACCTTTTCTTACCCTGCTTGCCATTCCCTGGGCACAAACAGCCTTTCCTACCCTGATAACCTTCCCTACTGATAACCCTACCATGATAAGCTTCCCTACTGATAACCTTTCCTACCCTGCTAGCCATGCCCTGGGCACTGATATTATTTCCTACCCTGCCAGCCATGTCCTGGGTACAGATATTATTTCCTACCCTGCTAGCCATGCCCTGGGTACAGATATTATTTCCTACCCTGCCAGCCATGCCCTTGGTACAGATATTATTTCCTATCCTGTTAGCCATGCCCTGGGTACAGATATTATTTCCTACCCTGCCAGCCATGCCCTGGGTACAGATATTATTTCCTATCCTGTTAGCCATGCCCTGGGTACAGATATTATTTCCTACCATGCTAGCCATGCCCTGGGTACTGATATTATTTCCTACCCTGCTAGCCATGCCCTGGGTACAGATATTATTTCCTACCCTGCTAGCCATGCCCTGGGTACAGATATTTTCCTACCCTGCTAGCCATGCCCTGGGTACAGATATTATTTCCTACCCTGCTAGCCATGCCCTGGGTACAGATATTATTTCCTACCCTGCTAGCCATGCCCTGGGTACTGATATTATTTCCTACCCTGCTAGCCATGCCCTGGGTACAGATATTCTGTCCTACCCTGCTAGCCATGCCCTGGGTACAGATATTATTTCCCACCCTGCTAGCCATGCCCTGGGTACAGATATTATTTCCTACCCTGCTAGCCATGTCCTGGGTACAGATATTATTTCCTACCCTGCTAGCCATGCCCTGGGTACAGATATTATTTCCTACCCTGCTAGCCATGCCCTGGGTACAGATATTATTTCCTACCCTGCCAGCCATGCCCTTGGTACAGATATTATTTCCTACCCTGCCAGCCATGCCCTGGGTACAGATATTATTTCCTACCCTGCCAGCCATGCCCTGGGTACTGATATTATTTCCTACCCTGCTAGCCATGCCCTGGGTACTGATATTATTTCCTACCCTGCTAGCCATGCCCTGGGTACAGATATTATTTCCTACCCTGCTAGCCATGCCCTGGGTACAGATATTATTTCCTACCCTGCTAGCCATGCCCTGGGTACAGATATTATTTCCTACCCTGCTAGCCATGCCCTGGGTACAGATATTATTTCCTACCCTGCTAGCCATGCCCTGGGTACAGATATTATTTCCTACCCTGCTAGCCATGCCCTGGGTACTGATATTATTTCCTACCCTGCTAGCCATGCCCTGGGTACTGATATTATTTCCTACCCTGCTAGCCATGCCCTGGGTACAGATATTATTTCCTACCCTGCTAGCCATGCCCTGGGTACAGATATTATTTCCTACCCTGCTAGCCATGCCCTGGGTACAGATATTATTTCCTACCCTGCTAGCCATGCCCTGGGTACAGATATTATTTCCTACCCTGCTAGCCATGCCCTGGGTACAGATATTATTTCCTACCCTGCTAGCCATGCCCTGGGTACAGATATTATTTCCTACCCTGCTAGCCATGCCCTGGGTACTGATATTATTTCCTACCCTGCTAGCCATGCCCTGGGTACTGATATTATTTCCTACCCTGCTAGCCATGTCCCATGTACAGACAGCCCTTCCTTACTATGACAGTCAGTCCCGGGGTGCAAACCGTCTTTTCTCACCTTGCCAATGTTTTTGGCAACGAATGAATCAACGTGGTTAATATATATGCGTTTGGGTCTCGGTCTTTTCGCTGTTTCTTCGGCCATGGTGCGGTCTGTCTCCTGGCTCACACAGTTGCTGTAGAGACGCTGACTGGTTGCTATGGTGGGTCCTTCCTAGCCAGAGCGCAAACAGGCAGTGCGATGGACACCTCTCACCATCAGTCCCGATGGACAGCTCTGAGACAGGCAGTGCGATGGACACCTCTCCCCATCAGTCCTGACGGACAGCTCTGAGACTAAGCTCCTATTTGTGTATTACTTTACTACACTTGTCTAGTCACTAGAGGTCGCCACATCAACCACATGTGATATATGTATATATCCAAAGCAATGTTTATAATAGCAAAACAGTGTCAAAACCAAACAAAAAGAGAGGAAATCTCCCCCCACACCCCCATCTTAGTTTTAGACGTATTTTAGTAATCTTAATGTGTTTTAGTCGACTAAATATCCAAAATTTTAGCCGACTATATCAGACGATGCAGTGGTGTATTCTTATTTTGTGCTGCCCTAGACACGACAAAACTCATGCACCCCCTTCCAAATTTATCTTCCTGACAGACACACGCCCTTACTAACGAATGCACTGACATACACTCACAGATACACAGTCATTGTCACACACACGGTTTAACCAACACACACTTTCACAAGCATACACACTCACTCACAGTTATACACACACACACACTCACAGACAAGACAAACATGCATACTCACAGTGTCTCTCACACACTCACAGACACTGGGGCACACATATACTCACTGACAGGCATATATACATTCAGTGTCAGACACACATTCACTGATAGACACACACTCAGTGACCAACACATATACACTCTCAGTGACTGACCGACACACACTCACAAACAGACACACTAACACACTCACAATTATTTTGCTTTCATTTTGGATTTTTCCCTGTGGTCCAGTGGGGCTGGGCTGGCAGACGGTTATGGAGCCAGGAGCATAGTTCAGACGGGCGGCAAGGGAGCTCTGATCCTTCTGCTCAATTCCCTCGTGCCTCTCAGTGATGCCAGAGTGACATCATATTCCAGCTCTGGCATCACTGAGGTGTGCGCCCCCCTTGGGGGGCCCTGAGGTGGCCAGCCAGCCAGCTCTCTGGTCTCTAAGGGCAAGAGGCTGGCAAGGCGGCTTTTTTTGCCGCCCAAGGTAAATGTCTTGTCAGCCTCGCGCTAAATACAAAACTTGGATGATGTGTGTATCAGGGCTCGACATATCTTCGGTGATAGGTCACCATGGCAACTAGAAATTTTGTCCAGGGCCTGGGTATTTGTCAGCCCGTTCCCCCTGGGGTGGATGGCCTTGCAGAATGGGGGCAGCAGCAGGGGAGATGTAATCTTCAAGCTCTTCTTGCTCCCTTAGTGATGCTGTGAGTCGAAACATGATGTCCCTTTAGCCTCGGCATCACTCAAGAGCACACGAGTAAGCAGAGCAAGAAGACCATGTCTGTGAGTGCGTGTCTTTTAGTGAGTATGTGTGTCAGTGATTGTGTGGTCTGTTTAGGTAACCAGCCCCCCTCCAATCATATGGGAAAAGTGTTTTTACCCGCTTTTGTTCCCCACACTGTGTCAATCTTGCAGCGGCATCTCCGCCTCCATGGCTGAGATCATCAGTCTTAATGATCTCTGCCAATCCAATTCTGTCTCATAGTAAAGCATTGGTAGCTATTGCACATGTGCAGCAAAACACTGCCCTAAATCAGCATCTCCTCATACAGATGCATTAAAGGGACACTATAGTTACCTGAACAACTACAGCTTAATGTAGTTGTTCAGGTGAGATCTATAGCTCCCTGCAGGCAATCTAATGTAAACACTGTATTTTTTTCATAAATCTGCAGTAGAGAGAAGGCACTGTGTGCGCGCCTTCTCTCTCCTGTCTGTCAGCTCAGCTCGCGGCCGCGCGCTCTGGACTTCAGAGGGCGGCCTGAATGCAGCCCACTGAAGTATGGAAGCGTCTGATTGCTCCCTGCTCGCCTATTTCGTCATTTTGACGAAATAGGGGGCGCGGCTTCACAAGGCTCTCGGCGCTGGAATCAGGTGAGTAAAACGGGTTTGTTGGAGAGTCCCTTTAAATCAAAGCATCTCTATGGGGAATGTTCAGCACCTCCATACAGAGTGTGCAAAGTGGCTAAGTGTAACTCCTTCATAATCATTTCATCAACAGGGAGGAGCTGCAGGCACCCAGTAACTTTGAATCATTCACAATAAATAAATACATTTACGGTGCATTCATCGTAGCTAAGAAAATTTGCCAATACTCAGGCTAACAGAAAATAGGAGGGGGAAAAAAAAATTATACATGCATAAATCTATCACTCCCTAGAAATCTCAAGGCTTATCTGAAAACGTGTGAAGTGGACACAATTAGACATTTCATTCTTTCACAAAAAAAACAACTTTGCATAAATATATTTATTTGCAACTTAGCACGGGATACATTTATATTTTTAAAAACAAACCATTGCAAAATGCTTATTATAGTTAAACATTGTAAAAGAGATGAGCTTAAATATGGGACTGCAATGCAAAAAACAAAATTACAAAAACAATAGAGTTAACTGTAAAGTGTACAGTGATATTTGGTAGGAAAAAATTACATTTTTTATAATGTTATACTTAAGAGGAAATCTCTTACTTCTCTGGAAATCGCATGTCAATGAAATATGCAAATCACCAATAACTTGTTTTTCATATGATTCTGTGTTTGCTTTTAAAATGTATTTAATTATTTAGCAACTCACACAAATTAGTCAGGTTCAGTGCTGGTACCAGTATGGCACACAATGCAAATGAGGAGGAGAGCAGAAAGAGTTTCTGTATCTCCTCTTCCACTATGTTCAATGGCAGAAAAGGTCAACATCTATGATGATCCAACAAGATCAAAGGAGATGCTCACTTCCAATACAGAGATGAATACAGTAGTGTGGATTTTTACATTTCATTTTAATTTTCAGGCTTGAAATACATATTTGCAAAAATAGGGGGATAAATATAAACATAATAATATAGGGGATAAACATATTAAAAATCACAGGGAGAGACATTTCCCTTTCATTACAGTATGGTTCTGTTCAAATGAAAGCTCATTAAATGCACTTATTAAGGATTTAAAGAGACATTATAGTCACCAGAACAACTACAGCTTAATGTAGTGCTCTGGTATCTATAGCCTCTCCCTGCAGGCTTTTCAGAGAAAAGGCAGTGTTTACATTACAGTCTAGTAAAACCTCAAGTAGCAGTCACTCAGACAGCCACTAGAGGTGCTTCCTGTGTCAGAGCTGCATGCAGACACTGAATGTTCCCCATAGAGATGCATTGATTCAGTGAATCTCTATAAGATGCTGCTGATTGGCGCAGCGTGGTGTTTTGCCAAGCATGCACAATAGCCTCCAGATGCTTTCCTATTTGAAAGCATTGGATTTGCAGAGATTGATGATCTCAGCCCCAGAGGCGGAGCAAAGGGGGGCCAGCCATAGTGAGACTAGTGCGGCATGAAAAAAAAAGTTTACCAAAACCACTTTTTAGGAGCAATCTGAGGGGGGGGGGGCAGGGAAAGGGATGTATACAGCCACACAGGCACTATAGTGTCAGGAATATGTGTTTGTATTCCTGACACTAGTGTTCGTTTAAATTTAAAGATGATTGAAACACTAGCAGAGGTTAAAGGGAAACTCCAGTGCCAGGAAAACAATCAGTTTTCCTGGCACTGCAGGTCCCCTCTCCCTCCCACCCCCCCAGTTGCTGAAGGGGCAAAAACCCCTTCAGTAACTTACCAGGGGCAATGACATGTCCCACTTTGCTGCTTCTTCCTCCACCGCCGCTCCTCCCAGTGATTGCGTCGGCCGGTGGGCGAGACTGAACCAGCCCACCGGCCGGGGAGACCTAATGCAGGAAAGCATTGAAAATGCTTTTCAATGCTTTCCTATGGAGAAATGAGCGACGCTGGAGGTCCTCGCATAGCGTAAGGACGTCCAGCGGCGCTCACCTGTGCTAGGGACACGGAAGTGCCCTCTAGTGGCTGTCTAGTAGACAGCCACTAGAGGTGGAGTTAACCCTGCAAGGTAATTATTGCAGTTTATAAAAAACTGCAATAATTACACTTGCAGGGATAAGAGTAGTGGGAGTTGGCACCCAGACCACTCCAATGGGCAGAAGTGGTCTGGGTGCCTGGAGTGTCCCTTTAATTAGTAAAGTGAATCCAAAGTGAGTTTAAAAGAAATGCTAGAGCTAAAAGTTTTTCCACTTTGGCTAATTTGGACTCAAATTTGAAAACCACTTTGAAATTTCACTTAAGTGATTAACCCTGCATGTTTATTGTTCCACACACAGACCATCAAGTTTGATGATGTTTGGACCCTTTATAAATACAAGGACCACAAAGTCCCAGGTTTCATATGTGTTAATGAACTAAAGATGCCATAATAATGCACCAGAACAGAGCATTTTGAGTGTAATCTGCAAAACAGCATTATAAACTACAATGGAAACTTGCTTCACTGCGGGGCCACAGTGGTGAACCATTTGCCCTGAAAGATATATTACTGATAAATAAATTTTGACATACTAAATTATGGAAGAATGATATATATTCAACATCAAATAAAGTTCTCTATAGAATAAGATCAGATATGACAGTTTTAGAATAAAATAAAAATGAGAACTCCCTCCCACCCCCCCAAAAAAAAGACAATTAATGCTCTGAAGACCAGAAAGTAGAATGTATGCACAATTAAGAATACTGAACTGAATTTACTCCCATTCCACAGCCCAAAAAGGAGTCTTCAGAATACCAGCAGAACCATGTAAATATTATAAACAGTGCAAACACTGAGGCAGATTTTTTTTTTACAAACTTAATATATACTACTGAGAAAAAGAACAGTAAAATCTGTACAAAAACATAAGCATATATTAAAAGATAAAGATATCACCATGCACACAATCTGTAAAACAGCAAGGAGTTGTGTTTACAGTATTTTTACAGCACAAAATGCTCAGTACTGTAATGTGTTAGTAGTGCAGTAGCATGCTATAATGTCCTCCGCACAGAGCGTTTCCTGCACACTTCATTCATAATCTGCAAACTTTTTTAAAGGGAACTATAGTCACCAGAACAACTACAGCTTAATGTAATAATCACAGAAAAGGCAGTGTTTACATTGCCCCTAGGGACACCTCCAAGTGGCCACACCACAGATGGCCACTAGAGGGGCTTAATGGCTCAGTGCTGCACAGTAAGCAGCAGAGCCGTTGAGCGTCTCCACGCTCTGCGTGGGGACGCTGAATTTTCTTCATAGAGATGCATTGATTCAATGCATCTCTATGAGGAGGTGCCGACTGGCCAAAACAGTGTTCGGCCCTGACCCTTTGCCGATGGGAAAGCATTGGATTGACTAAAAATCTGCAATTCTGATAACGTCACCAAGAGGGCAGGGCAAGGAAATAAGGTGAGTTTTATTGACTTTTAAGGGGGCTAGGGTGGGGGGGGGGGGCAGTCCACCTAAATGGTGGGTTTTGCACTAAAGGGTCAGGAATACATGTTCGTGTTCCTGACCCTATAGTATTCTTTTAAGTCTAGAAAGCAGTAAATACGAAATGCATTACCAAGTTCACCAGTACAGATTGCTATACTGTAGTTAGTCCACATTAAATGCTGCAAAGCCAAATACACAATATACTTTGTTAGCAACCAAAAAGCTGCTTTTGTTGTTTTTTATGTTTTAAACAAAGAATATAACAATTTAGATGGAGCTTGGTTATTTTATTAAACTGTATAGTACTTTTGAGGGTTAAAACCATATGGTACATGCCTCTGCATATTAGTTTTCAGAACATAATTTTGTCCCATGCAACAAGGATGGTGCCATTAAGATTTCATTGATGAATACATGGGGAAAAAAAATAGGTCGGTGAGCACTCTTATGGGTTTTATTGACTAACAAATTGTGGTGAATTACCAAGGGTATTGCAACACAAAAAGTGAGAAATACTCCTAATTCAAATATGTTGGCATACAATTTGAAATTCCTATTTTAATTTACTACAATTCATTATATAGTGAATACGCCTTCCCAATTTATATGTGCACTGACTGACTTTCCCCTCTAAGAGCTGTTTAAGGAATGCTACAGTATGTCAATTACTCAAACAGTGCTTCTCAAAAACAAAAATACCTGAAAATGTGAACTTAATAACCCACTAAGGAGGAGCAAATCATTATTTGGTTCAATGATCCAATGGATATCTTTTGGGTTTCTGCAACATGTTGGGTGATTTAAAATGTAATTCAAGATTTTCTAGAATAAAGGCAATTTGCATTGCAATTAGTTTTTTTTTTTTTCCTGAAGCCGAAATTTGCCGCTCTGGAATGTTTCAAAGAAGCCTGTGCCGGGAGATGACACAAAGAAAATATAAAACAATAAGGGCTGTTTTGAACCGAGATGGTGGCATGACTTGGTAATCAAGAGTCAGACTGGCCATCACTTTTCAATGCTTCAAGTCGTCGCATCAGTGCATTTCCAAATGCTTCTCGGTATGCAGGACTGAGGGAATCAAGCAAAGAGTAGATTGTCTCATGGTACTGGCTGTGGGTCTCTTCATCTATACGGTCATAGGCATAACCAACAACCTACAAAAATACAAAATTATTATTATTACATTTTGAAGAAAAAAAAAAAATATATATATTAATGCACAACACAGTTGAATGGCTATTTTTAACAGGAAAAGGCTGCTCACAAAATCGTAGTGCAATAAAAACGCATTTATTTAAAAAAAAAAAATAAATCCTTAAAAACCAGCCACTAGAGGGACTTCCTGGATGTGGTCCTGCAAAGATTAACTTAATGCATCTCCATGATAAGATGTTGACTGGCGCAATGAGGCGCACTAGCCTCACAATGCTTCCATACTGGACTGATGATGTCAACCACCAGAGGCGGGGCAGAGCACAAGTAAAATGCTTTAAAGGATCACTACAGTGTCAGGAAAACAAAGCGGTTTTCCTGACACTATAGTGCCCTGAGGGTGCCCCTACCCTCAGGATCCCCTCCCAAGGCGCTGAAGGGGTTAAAACCCCTTCAGCAGCTTACCCTAATCCAGCGCCGGGCTCCCTTGGCTCTGGTGACCTCTCCTCCCCCGCCGACATCTGCTCCCGAGTGAAGCCGTATGTGCATGCGAGGCAAGTGCCGTGCGCACATTCAAACAGTCCATAGGAAAGCATTTCTCAATGAATGGACGCTCTGCGCAATGGATGTGAAATTCGCATCCAGCATCGCAGATGCGCCTCTAGCGGCTGTCAGGAAGACAGCCACTAGAGGTTGGCTTAACCCTGCAATATAAACATAGCAGTTTCTCTGAAACTGCTATGTTTACATGTAAAGGGTTAAAACCTGAGGGACAGTGCACCCAGACCACTTCATTGAGCTGAAGTGGTCTGGGTGACTATAGTGTCCCTTTAATGGATATAAGGGCATTTTAACAACCCTTTCAGATTTTTCTTTAAAAATTTCAGGGAGCTTGCAGTAACACATTATAAAAGGTATAGAAAGTAGATTCACAAATTATTATTTTTTTTTCTTTTTGAGAGGAATATATTGCATAGAAGTGTAATAAAAAAAAATATATATATATAAGTTTTTGAGAAATTGCAATGATTACATAACAGGACTAAGACTGGTGGACTTCCTGGTGGTTAAGGGACTTTTGGTTGCCTAACGGACGCTAAACGTCCTCACACTCTGCATGAGGAAAACATCCAGAGTCAATTAAATCCCCATAGTAATGCTTTCCTATAAGGAGGGCCTAATGGGCTTGCTGCGCATGCAATTAGCCCCCTCGCCCCGTCAGATGATGCTGGAGGCTGAATCCCTTTAAAGGAACACTCTAGTGTCAGTCAGGGCTTGACAAATCCTAGCCGCCAGGGATTTGAAGCCCGTTAGCCACCCTGGGTTTCCTGCAGGTGGCTGGCTCAGGGATCATGGACTGTGGCAGCAGGCGAGGGAGCAGTGATCTTTCTGCAGCTCCTCTCTACTCCCTTGCGCTGTATAGTGATGCTGGGAGCCGGAATATAACGTAAATCCGGCCCCGGCATCCCTACAGCAAACAGAGAGGATCTGCAGATAGATTACTGCTCCCTCGCACACAGGATAAGCAAGCAGCCCCACTGGTTCTCAGGGTAAGATCCACTTGGCTCTCCCAAAGGTAGGAAGGCTGGGTGGATTAAAATTAAAAATTTCAATTTGCGTGTGTGTGTGTGTGTCTGTCAGTGTGTCTTTCTGTGTCTGTTTAGGTACCTGAACCCCTCCGATCACGAGAGAGGTGTTTTTACTCATCTTCTATCCAACGCCGTGCCGGTTTCGCCACTGCTTGTCCTGCCTTCATGGCTGAGATAAATCAGTCTTTAAGATCTTAGCTATACCAATGCTTTCCTATAGGAAAGCATTGTGAGGATATTGCACATGTTCTCTATAGGTAACATTCAACACCTCCATGCAGAGCATGGAGATGCTGAACAAAGGTGCTGCACACTGTACAGCACTGACACAGGGCTCTCTAGTGCCGTCTGAGTGACTGTCACTAGAGGGGTTACTGGTCAGCAATGTAAACACTGCCTTTTCTCTGACCTTTGAAAATAGGAAATTGTTCTGGTGGCTGACTGCCACTAGAGGCATGCCTTCAGGCAAATGTAAACAATTATATTGGAAATGGCAATGTTTTATATTGGCTGAGAAAAGGGACAACATTCGTTGATTCAATGCATCTAATGCAGCGTTTTGCTGTGCATTCGCAGGTGGGAAAGCATTGGATTGGCTGATATCAAGATTGAAAAAGTAAAATAACTTTTTCATTAAACAGGAAGCTAAATATAAATAGACTCTCCAGCATTTATATTGAAAAGGATACAAGCACCAGAACAACTACATTAAACTGTACTGGTTCTGATGACTACAGTGTCCCTTTAAGAATTGTATATTTCTCGTAAATTAAACTTAGCTAGTTTTAGAAAAACTGGCTCCTAACACCACAGTACTGGAGAGTCTATTTATATTTAGCTTCCTGCTTAATGAAAAAGTTTTTTTACTTACCTTTTCAATCTTGATATCAGCCAATCCAATGCTTTCCCACCTGCGCATGCACAGCAAAACACTGCATCAGATGCATTGAATCAACGGATCTCTGTGGGGAATGTTCAGCTTCTCCACGCAGAGGGTAAAGAAGATGAACTTAACTAGGTAGCATCTCTAGTGGCCGTCTGAGTGACTACCACTAGAGGTGTTGCTAAGCAGCAATGTAAACGCTGGAGGGACATGCTATAGACACCAGAACGACTACGTTATGCTGTAATGGTTCTGGAGAACATAGTGTCTCTTTAACATCTCAGGATCCTTAAAGTAGTAGCTTATTTGCAGGATAGGAGCAGCTTCCTGTAGGGTCCTACTGGTTTAGGAACAGTTCACCATCATCCTCACTTTAATAAGGTTTAGATATACGCTTACTGCCTCTGAAAATATCTACGTAAAAAATTGTCTAAATGCTACAATTACCCTTAGCCCAGCATCGGTTAGTTCAAGACAGAATCTGGTCCCTTCTTTTATCTCCACATTGATATAGGCCACATCCTCAGCGCAAGGTAAGTTCTTGGAAACAAACATGTTTCCAACAGCAAACAAAACATCGTTAACAACTGCTTCAGCTTCAAGCCTCATGTCCTTCACATCAGCCCCTTCCAAATCTCTGAATTCACTATCTTGGTCGTAAATTATATTAATAGGTACGTCCACTGGATTGTAGTCAACTTCCATTTCTAAAATGAAGGGAAAAAAACAAAAAAGAATTTCAGATTAGGCAAGTAAAATTCACTGGGCTTTTGCAATTGATGAGCAAAATAACAATGAACACTTTAGGGACACAACACAAGCTGGAGTGGGTATCCCACTCTGTTCTCAGTTACAATCTGGTAAACCTACAATTTTTTTTCAGCCTAATCCAAAACATCTTAAAGCAGCACTACACTGACCCCACTCTGGGTATTTTTTTTAAAAAGACATCAAACTAACTCAGAATCTAATGTCAAGACAGCATCCTCTTTATGGCCCAACCTGCCTTCAGAAAGGTCACCACTGAGGGCAGATTTAGAGCTGCAATGAAAACATTGCAGTTCTGTAGAACTGCAATGTGTTACATTGCAGCCCTAAGTGCAAAAGGTTCACAGCACCCAGACCACTTCAATTAGCTGAAGTGGTCTGGGTGCCTACAGTGTCCCTTTAAATATAAAATTCACCTTGATTTCCTGACAATTCTCACTACAGTGAATAACCATGTAAATGTTTAGACCAGGGTTAAGCCACTTTTGGCACTCTAATGCCATAATGCTGGCAACGCATCAAGGGAGATATAGTCCACAAAGTTACCTACCCCTGGTTTAGACCTTTGAAAATAGGAAATGGTTCTGGTGGCTGACTGCCACTAGAGGAATGTCTTCAGGCAAATGTAAACAATTATATTGGAAATGGCAATGTTTTATATTGGCTGAGAAAAGGGACAACACATTAAGACGTAGTGGTTTTGGCGATTACCGTGGCTCTTTAAGGAAATTTCAAATGCTTGGCATGTGTAAACTTGGAAATATCAGAGTTCAATGGTTCCTTTCTACTGGTATATTTGTATTTTCCAAATACCCAATGTTGTGGACTATGAGCTATATATATTGTACATACTAAATAATAATAACATTTGTAGCCATGTTAATTATGACACCTAGCGCCCCTGCTTATTTGCCCTTCACCTTTCCTGTTGTATACAAGCAATAGAGATACTCAAGAGAGCGATGGAGTGATAAAGTGTTCATTTACATAATTGTTATGCACCCCACACTCTAAGAATCTGTCCATTTAAAATGCAGCAAAACCCATCAAAAAATATGAATTCTGAAAATCAAATCTATAATAAATATATGCATACAGGAAGGCATTTCTAGAGGCAACCATTGATACATTATAATTGATAGGGGTTCATAAGAAGAGTTGTCACCAAGTCACAATCCTGGACACAAAATGGCAAATTAATAAGCGCCAATAAAGCAATCAACTAAATAACCACACAGGTATACCAGGGGTGGCCAAAACGTAGATCCCAGGATATTGTAGAACTACAACTCCCCTGATGCTTTGCAGATCTTTCGAATGGCAAAGCATCATGGAAGCTGTAGTTTTAAAGCATCTTGGGGTCTACCTTTTGGGAACCTCTGGCGCAGACTGATTGTTTACATACTGCATGGCAGTATGCAGATCAGGCCACTCTTACTAGAGAGCTGTGCTGGAGCTCGAATGATGTAAATGAAGGTTCACTGCCATGTCTGTGTTTGGAGTTATACAACCATCCAGGGTTATTGGCCTCTCTCTATCAGGGTCCCTTTAACTCATGCCTATCCCTTACCTGGCAGTAGCCAGCAGGTGCCCTATCGTCTGACGCAGAAACACACAACTCGCAGCACCAAACTAAACAATGACGTCACTTCTGGTATCCGCCTCAATGCGCCTTCGCAGCCGAGTTCTAATTTCTAGAGACACTAACATTCATAACTTCCGGTCTCCAGTATAGGCTGTTGGCGGACATGTTGGTGGAGTTGAAAGGGGTGGTGAACCTCGAGTCACGTGATCCACCATCTCTGTGCATGTACCCTGGTCCTGCTATGGGGACACTTTGTTACAGCCGACCTTAGAACTCGCTTAATAAGTTAGAGCCAGATAGCTCTGTCTGAGCATTGGACTGGCCTCCGAAAGTCCAGTCCTGATAAATGTATAATGTCTGTTTGTTAATCATTACTGTACCCACTACTATTGCTACAATAAAACGACCTCAGTGGAAGCAAGTAACAGTTAGAAACACATTGGCCAGTTAAAAATGTACAGTCAAACCATAGAATCAGTTTATAGTTATGGTTCAACACTTGCAGGTAGCCCACTTGCATTTTATTTATAGCCATTATTGCAAAATACATCATGTTTTTCATGGCATATGTGACATATTTATGTTGTGAAGCAGTACAGGAAAACAGCTAGAGACTATCATGTGAAAACAGTCACATTGGGTTTACTTCTTGAGCAATTAAAATTATTACATACAAAACAGGGCAGCATTTTTTCCCCTGCACTATCCACGCTAATAACGACTTATATTTGTCTAGAAAATAATGACCCAAAACATTTATTGGGTAATTCACTAAAGTGAGATTTCAAGTTTAAGTCAAAACAGCTGAACTGAAAACATTCTCTAAGTCAGTTTGGCTATGCTGATCTTAAATGTGAAAAGTGAATTCTCACTTTAGTAAATAACCCTGAAAATGTACTACAAGGACTTGCCAGTATCCAAGATGGCGCTTGTTGCCCGGTCACATGCTTTTTGCCAGGGAGCTGACGTCATTGTTTATGTCTGGAGCCCGCAGAAGCAGATGAGCCGGTACTAAGGGGCACATTTGGGCATCTGTGCTATGGGAACCCCCAAATATCCCAACACCCTTCAGCACTGCCATGAAGATGGGACAGCCTGAGCCATAATGCCAGGAGAAATACCCAGCTAGGCCCACAAGTGAGTGACAGAGTGAGGGGGACACAGTGTCAACCATGCCTTGGCCCTTCTCAGATTCCATCAAGAAGAGGGCCTGCAGGTACCTGCTGCAGAGATACCTGGGCCACTTCCTGCAGGAGAAGCTCAGCCTGGAACAGCTCTCATTGGACTTATACCAGGGCACTGGCTCCCTGTCACAGGTGCCCCTTGATAAATGGGTAAGCTTTGCACCATTTTGGGTTTTGGGCTTGTCACATAGGTCCTGGCATGGGTCTGGGGGTCTTCAGCCCATAGGTAGGTCTGGGTTTGGAGGTCTTCAGATGATGGCTGAGGATACTATGATTATATATTGCAAGAATGCCACTCAACGCTAAATGGAAATCATGCAACAGCAGGTAAAGGACTAACATGTGAGGTTTGCATTTGTTTACTCTTGTGAGTACAGGAGGGAGTGTTTAATGACATGTACAGTGGGGTTTGGTTTAGACTTAGTCCTGTAATAGTTGTTAACCCTTGGAGCAACATCTGTCCGTGGCTATAGTCTTTTTTTTTTTTTGTTGTGCCACACCTGCCACTGCATGGACACAGCATTTGCCCAAAGTTAACCATCGTGAAACTAGTCAATGCTATCTCTGGATTACCCCTTGGTTGGTGAAGCTTTTCAGTTTATAGCTTCCATTGCAGATTCAAGCTAATAGAATCATGCTGTTAACATAGTATTTATGTATTATTGTAACTCTTTTGTAGTTAGTAGTATTTCTATAAATTTTGCATTTATTTTTACTCATATTCCAGTTGCTTGCATGTGCATTCAAGTATTTTTATTTCTTTAATTCTGCTTTGATTGCTAGGGGCTCTTTTATTGTAAACTAAATTTCATAGTTGGTCCCATTTATGTGGTCAATTTTCAATTTAGCAAATCCTTTCGTGGTAAATTGGTAGAATTTCTGTTAGGGCTAGTAATCAGCAAGTAAACGTAATTAGAATTTAATAATATTATTTATTAGACTTCATTGTTTATGTGATGGCCAATACCTTTAACTAATTGGGAAATTAGAGATATTGACGGTATTGGTGCTTAACATCTTACTTAACACCTCTATTTCTTCTTTTGGTAGATTAATTTTGTTTGGGATGCAAGGATATTTGAGTGTATTAACTAAATCAAAAATTTGGAGAATTTACAAATTAATGGGAAATTTTGAGTAGCTGAAAGATTATCCGTTTGGAGAATTTTAACCTACAATGTGCAGTGCCTTTGTCAATTCTCCTCAATTTCTATTTTAGTAAATAAACTGAGATGTACAAAATTGAGATGGATGACAGTGCACCCACATCAGTCCCCTCCTGCTAACATACTTTTCTTTGGCTGGCAGTAACCAATGGATCACTTTTCAGAAAGCAGATATTTATAGAGTCGTGTTTGTTTACATACTTGTTTTTGATTTATTAAGTACTGCTATTTGTAGCAATCAAAGTATATATAGCATATTTCCAATATTATATTCAATATATAAAGTTTTTGCATCATGTGTGTGGATTTTATAAACCAATATAATCTTTTTAACAGTGTTTGCTTCTTCATGCAGAATATTATTGTGTTAAATTTCCTGTAGCTTGCTTCCGAATCTCCAGTCTGCTGCAGTGGATGCATGCGTTTTAGTGCAAGGTTGTTTACTTTGCGGTGTATTTCGGTTCACCTTTACCCTTTCTGAATGAACCCACCAAAGTTACTATACGTCATTCCTGCTTCATTCAATTCGTATACAAATTAAAGGGACACTCTTAGCACCATCAATGCTTCATTCAATTTGTATACAAATTAAAGGGACACTCTTAGCACCATCATTGCTGGATGGAGTATTATTGCCCTTAAAATCTGGACTTATTTGTATAGATGATGTGGAAATTAAACTAATGAATTACTTGTGCAGTTTCAGAGAGGATGGGGTTTGGGTTCTGAGTAACCTTGTTGCCCCTCACTTTGCAATTATTCACATGACTTGACAGAAAACAGCATTGAAAGTATTCCTGCAACATCATCTACAATAAGCTGTATGTTTTGTTGCTTAGACTAGAGTATACCTTTTAAAGGAGCACTCCAATGGAAACATTTTTATTTCTTTTAACAAATTAGTAGACATACCCACAATGAAAATATTTATGCATTTTTTGGGGGGAGTATATCTAAAAACTGCTTACAAACGTAGCAGGTCTCTTCTATGCAACTTTTGAAAACTCTAACAGGTGTGTGGACTTTTTTTTATTTTTTATTTATTTGTCCAAGGGACTAAATAGGTAGCCCAATCTACTCGTCCTGACGCAAGATAGTTTTAATCTTTTTTAAAATAAGTTTTGTAATATAAAAAGAGGAAACACTTTTAAAATTTTTAAAGCTATAGTGCTATACGTGTGTGGATTGTCCCTTTTAAAGAGTGAAAACCAATGGCCTTTATATAATAATATTAATATTAAAGGAATGTAAGATCCATTTTATTTAGTTAGTTAAATGATGACTGTAGAGTCATCAAAAGACTACTTATAAGAATATTCCAATCACCCTAACCACTACAACATTCTTTGATTGGAGACAGAGCCCAATGGTCTGGATCTTCTAACACCACTCTGGATATCATCTGTCCAAGGCCCTGGAGACTGAGGTCAGGCCAACGGCAGGATGAAACCCATATCTAAATATGCTTTAGAATTTAGTGTACATCCTTTTATCCACTTTAACTCTTGGCATTCTTAAATATGCTTACCCACATTGTTACTATCTTAAGATCACTTTAGCACCTGGCTGCTGGCCACCTCGCCCATTTCAAGGTATATAATTGGTGTTATCTTTCAAGAAAGGTTTGCATTTGCTATCTTTACTAATGTTTTATGTAGATCTTAAGATAACCAACTTCCTACCTTTTTTTTTAAATGTTAATAGTTGTTCTCTTTTACCAATTAATAGAGCCTTAATGAGCTAATGGAGTCAGCAGATGTACCACTGGAAGTTACAGAAGGCTTCATACAGACCATTTCTCTGTTCATTCCGTGGGGCTCCTTATTGTATGAAAACTGTGCACTAGAGGTTAAAGGTTTAGAAATGGTATTCCGGCCCAGACCTAGGCCACGTAAGTAATTTGTAATCTTTGTTACTTTGTTTAGAGCCATTAGGCTCATAAAACTTTCATAATAGAGGATATACATAATGACTTGTTGTCCTTGGCATTGAAAGCAAGAATGTTATTATTGCATGCGCAGTAGCTGGACAAGAGACATGCTAGGTCATTTTGACACATAAGATATTGTCAAAGGAACCCCCCCAAGCACCATAATCTCTACAACATGCTGTTATGCTTCTTAACTGGCACTTCTTAACTGTAAGTAGTTTAACTGTTTCAGAACAATTTGACTTCTTAACTGAGATGCTCTGGGAGCTGGGCCTACCTCCACTACTGCCGACAAAGCTGTAAGAGCTGAAAATTCTTTGTCTGAGCTAAGCCAAGCAGTGCAGCCCTTATCTCATTGACTGAACGTGATAAACTGATGCTCCCAGCCAGTGGACCAGCCCTTCTTTGCAGGGCTTAGCTCAGGAGAGCTAATGGAAACTCCTAAGCAGACTTCCTGTTCCTTGTCAGCTATAGTAGAGTCGTGTAGTGTTGCCAGGCAGACCCCAGTTAAGAAGTCAAACCATTATAAAACGGGATGAGTACCTACAATACGGGGGCCACCGAGGCAGTCCTGGCTCTATAATCACTACAGCGCTATGTAGTGGTTATGGTATTTGGACTGTTCCTTTAAAAGACATGGGAACTGTAGTTCCATAAAACTTAGAGTACAAAGATAAGCAGATTTGACAGGATGTAAAACACTAAATAAATCATTTTTAGTTGTAAGAGTTTGACAACCACATCGTATCTACAGTAAATTGTTGGCCAATATCCAACTTTTGTGATTTCTAGATCTTTGTTTCAACGAATAAAACCCTTAAAGGACCACTATAGTGCCAGGAAAACATACTCGTTTTCCTGGCACTATAGGGTCTCTAGGTCCCCACCCTTAGGGTCCCCTTCCCGCCGGGCTCTAGGGTGAGGAAGGGGTTAAACACATACCTTTTCTCCACCGCCGGGCTCCCTCGGCGGTGGGGACTCTCCGCCTCCTTTCCCCGTCATCGGCTGAATGCGCATGCACGGCAAGAGCCGCGCGCGCATTCAGCCAGTCCATAGGAAAGCATTCTCAATGCTTTCCTATGGACGCTGGGTCTTCTCACTGTGAAAATCACAGTGAAAAGCTCGGAAGCGCCTCTAGCGGCTGTCAATGAGACAGCCACTAGAGGCTGGATTAACCCATAGGTAAACATAATAGTTTCTCTGAAACTGCTATGTTTACAGCAGAAAGGGTTAATCCTAGATGGACCTGGCTCCCAGACCACTTCATTGAGCTTAAGTGGTCTGGGTGCTTATAGTGGTCCTTTAATTACCTTTAAATATATTTTTCTGGTTTAAATGCTTTTTTATATTTCAGAGAACCCATGAAATAATCCTGTTTTGGGAGCTGGTTGTAATCCGCCACCTTTAGTCTCTGAAACTGGCTATAGTGGCAGAGCTTTCAATCTCTGGAATTTACTATAAATGTCCAGCTTTCAGAGTATTGAAATGGATCTAATATAGTCCAACTTTCAATCTCTTTAGCTACAATGATCCAGCTTTCAGTTTCTGAAACAAGCTAAGCTATAATGTTATCAATCAATCTATTGAGCTGGATCTAATGATGCTGAAACTCTGAAGCTGGCTATAATGTTCCCAGTGAATGTTTATTCACTGTGTCTAGCTATACTGTTATAATTTTCCTTCTGTGAATCTGGCAATATGATGTATACAGTCTATTTTGGTTATCTCACTTAGTTGTCTTAGTATTACAAAGTTTTTCCAGTATATATGTGTATTCAATTATTGTGTGATATAACTGAGTGACGTGTCCAGGGAGATATAATATTGATTTGTTTTGTCTGCCATTCAGGTTCTGGCTCTGAGCCAATGTACTGGTCCAGTTTCATGACCAGCAGTATGCAACTTGCTAAGGAGTGTCTAAGCCACAAACTAACTGATGAACAAGAAGCATCACAGCCATTTGAAGGTCTGGAAAAGTTTGCAGAAACAATTGAAACTGGTAAGACTGTCGACTTTTATTGAAATGTAATAAATGCAATGACCCTTAAAGGGACATTCTGGGTACCAGCACAATTTAAAAGAATATTGAAGACACCAACCCAACTTGCATTTAACTGATTTTGGTGTCATATTTATTCTTTGTTTTTCTCTACATTCAAATCTATTTAAAGGGTACCTGTTGTGGTATGTTATACTTGCCTTAACTGACATCCTCTTCAGATTTAATCTATACATTGTGCTAGCCAAATCGTGAGCAAATGTATAGATTTCTGTAATGATCGCAGCTTAATTTGCCCTTCCTCTCTCTCTCTCTCTCTCTCTGACAAAAAGACTGTCGGCCTAGCTGTGCCGATGTCTGTCTGCCTATGTACATGGCTATAGACATCAGCGTCATCAGTGGGGCTGTGCCAGGCTTGGGAAAGCTACGGTAGGCATCCTAATCATAGGCAGTACAAAGGACATATATCATGCCCATGAAGGTGGGCAAATATGAAACAAAAGGAACATGTTGAAGGACATTTGGAATTTCACCAATAGGTTCACTTTTTCATGTTTCTGCAGCGTAACCCCACCCCCTGAGCCACACCTCCCCTTTTCACAAAATGTTTCCCTGATTGAAGACAATGCTCGAAATATGGACTAAGCTCAGCCAATGAGAGATCAGTATGAGCTCAGTATATGATATACCTGCACCACACAGTCAGTCATTGTCCTCTTTATTATTTGTTCTGTTTCCCCTTAGCACTGTGAAATTGGCTTTAGCATCATTCTTCCAGGGAATAGTAAATTGTTTTTGCTTTTGCTGGAAATAGAAAACTGAAATCCAAAATGCTTTATAATGTCATTATTATTATTATTGCTATTATTCTTACATTATTCTTACATTACAGTGCATAGACTAGGTCTACCTTTTGGTACCTGTTAATTTATGTCTCTCTTTGTTAGAATACAGAGACAAGGGACAAGACATTTTTGTGTTTTATAGAAATCAGTGCACTTAGTAGCATGCAAATATCTTGCTGACTCCATGCATGGTATTCTATCTGCAATCTTTTTGCAACTTGGGTATCTGCATTTTCCCTTTAACTCCTTAAGGACACATGACATGTGTGACATGTCATGATTCCCTTTTATTCCAGAAGTCTGGTCCTTAAGGGGTTAAAGATGATCACTTTAGTATTAAAGGGGCAGTGTGAGCATGATGTCCACTACATGCCATTATAATAGTTATGGCGTTAGTGGGTTGCTGTGACCATCCCCTGTCTCTGGATAAAACAGTTTTTGAACGGTTTACTTTAAACTGTGGATCTTGCTGCCTGACCTCCTCTCACTTTAAACTGTATTTAAACAGGTAGTAAGAGTATCTGAGAGCTTACAGAGATTCCCTGTTTTAGTCAAACTGCTCGAAAAAAAAGTTTCACCAGGCCTTGCCATGGTGGTTGTAGATTACTAGCACCATAACCATTGCAAAGGTATGTTTTGGTTACTTATAGTGCTCAGACTGAACCTTTTAAATATAATGATAAGTTAAAAGATATACTTCCTACGTGACATTTGCTCCCAACCCCTGAATGCCTTAGGTCCTACATAGGCTGCAGCCCAATTGACAAATTCTACACAGCCTTGCCTTAAAATGCCTCACGTGCATATAAATCCATTGTATTCAGTTTTCAGCTTTTATCGTCAAGGTTGATCAGAAATGTTTCTATGTATTTGCAAATAATTTGGTTGCACAATGAAGACATAAGATGCTATTGTTCTACTGTATCTGCATGAAAAGTTATATTTGCCTGCCTTCAAAATGTATTTTTCTATGGTAAATGAAAAGTAATTCTTTTTATGTTATATATCCGATTTTATTTAGTCTTAAGGCGGGTCAGAGTAACATTTGTCGACACAGTGTTTCGAATAGAAAACATACCTGAAAATTCCAAAACAGGAACAGCTCTTGAAATTCGAATCAGCAGGTAAGGGCATAACTTCTTTGGGAATGCACATTTGGATTATAAAGTAACATTTAGCTTAGAGGTAATGAACATAGAGCTTTGCAACTGCATTAGAAGTACTGTAACGTCCGGCAATCACAGTAAAAGACAGAGTTTGTAGCTGTCTGAACATTGCAGGAGTTATAGCTCCCCAGTTGTCTAATCTGTTGCACTTTTAAAAAAAAAAAATACAAAAATATTGAATTAGTTAATTTTGTAACTTTTTTTTTTCATTTGCATTATTTTTGCTCAGCCAAAATACAATGCAAATGCAATTAATCCCAATGGAGTATTGCCTTAGCGTGCAATGGCATGTGCATCTCTTTGGAAAAAATGCCCAAGGACAGATGCCCTCATACAATTTCTTTCCAAACAGGTGCCTGAGTGCACATAAGTATACATCAAGCACCAGGGGTTGACGACTTCAAATGGCATGAAGGAATGTGTCTTTTATGCTTCTCTCCTCTGCACTTCTACAATAATAAGTCTTTTAATTGCATTTACTGTGGTGAGGGAATAAGGAAGTGTCACTATTGTAGATGTGATGCTGAATGAGCTTTATGAGGTATGAAGTTCAGCAACATCTGGGGTACCAAATGTAACCATCACTAATCTAAATTCACAGCCTTAACTTTGTAAAATAGACAAAGATTGAAGTGTTACCAAATGAAGCTTGCCTTTTACAATTGCATATTTTTCCACCTAGAACTGTATATTCTGATGAGACGGCGGATGAAAACTCTGGCATTAACGTCCACCAGCCTTCCGCATTCGCTCATAAAGCTCTGAATCTCAGTGGAGTTTCTTTATTTTGGGATGAATTTCCGGCCTCTGCAAAGTCCTCCCCTGTTTGTGAAACTTCACGTGTGGTAAGGAAGAATTAAGATAGAATTAAGATACTTAAAGGAAGAAGCTTTGCACATTGTAATTAATTTAAATAGACTGATTACATGACCTAGTAAATTAGCGCTCAACCTATTAAAATAACTCATTATTAATTATATTTGTTGCAGTCTTATGTTGTGAATTTAATTATGCTTCGGGCACTTTTTTGCACTTTTCTAAACTTCTGGTGAGCATAATCATTCCCTTCAAGCTTTTTGCAGTAAACACTGTCTTTTCAGAGAAAAGGCAGTGTTTACATTACAGCCTAGGGACACCTCCAGTGGTCACTCCTCAAATGGCTACTAGAGGTGATTCTTGGGGCAGTGCTGCATAGTGAGCAGCACTGCCATCCAGTGTCTCCACCCTCTGCATGCAGACACTGAACTTTACTCATAGAAATGCATTGATTCAGTTCATCTTTATGAGGAAATGCTGATTGGCCAGGTCTGTGTAATGGCTTGTGCTGGCTCTGCCCCTGGTCTGTCGCCTTGACAAGTTCAGCTAGTTCTATGCCTTCCTATGGGAAAGCATTGTGATAGGCTCAGATCACCACTCCTGATGATGTCAGCCAAGGAGGTCGATCAATGGCAGAGCCAGCTGCAGCAGACTAAAATAAAGGCAAGATTTTACTATGTGTAAGGAGGCAAAGGGAAGGGGGAGGGGGGGATGGGGGGATGGGCTAGATGGTGTTTTAATATTTGTGTTCTTTTAAAAGAGACAATTGATAAGCAGCAACGTTGAACAAGCATAACTGTTGATTTACCATTTGATGTTTCTTTTTGTTACCTGTTTTAGCTAACATCTAACCTTTTGAAATACACATCAGATGTGTCACTTTGTATCTTAATACTACACATCAGTGACACTCAAATAGAAAGCAAGTTTAGACATTTGTGTATCCACTGTCACAACAAAGACTTTTATTTCTCATTCTTTTGTAACAATATGTTACGGTAAGGTCACTGGATTGTGTCAAAGGCAAAATTATATACTATATTTTCCTATAATTCGTACCTGTTGAAAATTCTCTATAAACATTTTTGAGTAGAAAAAAAATAGAGGCAATTGACTTGACCTCATTAAACATGTTTTTATTTTGTTTTTTTTCCATTTTTGTGGCAACATATTTTAATCTGGAGTTTGTACTTGAAGCTTAAAATTGCATTAGCGTATGTTGAACCAACAGTGTATATATTGTTTTATTTTTTTTCAGATTTATTTATATAGTTTACCATTTGCTCAACTTAAAAAATTAAACAAAAATACAAGCCTTTCTATAAGACCATATCAATTTAATGTAAAAATGTCTTTCATTTTTTTCTGCAGGAAACTGAGCCAAAACTCTCTCCTAGCTGGAACCCCAAACCTGTGTTTGAACCGCATCCTCAGTTTTCAAGAACTATACCCGAGGTGGAACCCTCAGACCCTGTGCAAATAGCGACCTTGGTTGGGAAAATTGAGCTGGGACTAATTCTTAAGCAGAATGATGTCCTTCCTGGAGCAAAGGTCAGGATTTTCAGCCATTAATTCATTTGCACTATCAGTAAATGTGAGGGTTAATAAAAGCCAGAAAAACTAATTTTATTTTTGTGTTTGCCCTAAAAAAATCAAACCTATTTGCAAATCTCACCATTTTCAATAAGGCAATCTTTTGTGTCCCTTTAAATGCCATAGCTATATTTTACTATTACCTTTTTAGTGTGAATCAATAAATCTTAATGTTGTAAGTTTTTTTATTTTTTTTATTTTCTCTCTCTCTCTTGTTTTCTGTATTCTCTAGCTTGATGTAGATGGACACATTGACTCCTTCCACTTTTTCCTCTCTCCCCGACAAGTCCACCTGCTGCTGGACTTGTTTGCAGCAATAGCAGCACCAGGTAAGACGTTTTTAATTAACAGTTCTTTCGTGAATTCCCAAAAATCCATTGTTAATAGCAGAAATGGGGCATTCATGTTAAAATGACAATCTATTCTTTAGAACACGGTGGAATTTTAGGATCAGCCATAACAATGGGCATCAGTCAAGCTTGGGCTGATGCATTTTAACTTCACATTTCTAAAGCAAAACAGGAGATGATGTAGACTGCAATTAAATTCAATGGTTTTAGTCTGCCCACTGTATCTTAGGGTGATTTTTATTTGCAAATCATTTTTCTTAAAACACATTGTGTGGGATACTATATAAGGTACAAAATGTAAAATATACGTTATGCTACCCAAATTGCTAAAACATGAATAGACAAATCTCATCGTACAGCCTGTAGTAATTTAAAGGGAAACATCAGGTATAATACATTAAATGTAAGATATTATAAAATAAAGAAGTATTAAAATAACACTATAGGGCCAGGAACACAAATATGTATTCCTGACCCTATAGTGTTAAAAACACAATATAGCCCCTCTTCCCCCTAAATAAAGTACAATTTTACCTTTATTCCAATCTGCTGGAACTAGCTTGCTCTGCCCCTGGTCTGCCTACTTGGAAGAAGTGATGATCTCATCCAATCACAATGCTTTCCCATAGGAAAGCATCGGATTGGCTGAAATCATCAATTCTGATGATCTCAGCCATGGTGGGGGGCTGAGGGTGGGACTAAACGCCACCCTTGCCAATCAACACAAGCCAAACACAGACCTGGTCAATGAGCCTCTCTTCATAGAGATGCATTGAATCAGTGAATCTCTATGAGGAAAGTTCATTGTCTCCATGCAGAGTGTCCCTTTAAAAAAAATAAAATAAAAATACCTATACTTGCTTCCAATTTCTTGCAGTGAGCTCTTCTTAGCATAGGGAGTAGCTAATACCTGTCAGTTAATACTGACCTTGCTTTCAATAAGCGCTGAGCATATCCCATAAATGTGTACTTAGTAAGGGATATTGGTATATGTAGCTCAGTACTTGGCAGCTGTTCTATTCATCAGAAAATATCAATGGAATAGCTGTCAAAGCTGATAGTTCCCTTCACTCTTATGTGAATGGCTCTATGGCTGTGGCTGCAGCTTTGTCTCCTTCACAGACTATGTGAGTGTTAAAGAAGGTTGGGGATATGTATATCCGCATTTTGTACGCGTACATGGACAGGCTGCTCCCTCCTTGATGTATTTGAGTGAGTTGTTAGGTTTATCGCTACAAATTGTATCCACAAATCACAGCTGTAATAAGCAGTTGGGTGCCATGACAGTGGGACAGGAGCCCTGTCTGCACCCTTACCATCATGTGATAGCACTATACAATACTGGTGATGTTTGCTGTTTTCAGAAAGTGCAAGCAGAGTTACCATGTCTGACAAAGATAGAAAAAACCGCCCTATGCAACAAGAAGATGAGTTTCGCATTCAGATGGAGTTGAAGCGCTATTTAAAAAAGGAGACCATGTCTGGAGGACCATCTGCTGAACATAGTTTCTATGAAACAGACACTGCAAAAACTCCTTCTAGTCATGGTATGTTTAACAGTATACATAGATTTTACAACCCTGTGTGAGTGATGTTTGTGACTTATATTTTCATATTTTAGTGTTTTGGAATGGGTGCAAATTGAATTTTTTTTTCAAAAGAGCAGACGTGATGAGACAGAATGTGATATGCCTTTTTATCTTTGTCTTTTTAATTCTCATTTGGCTTTGTCAAAATCTTATGGAAAGAAAATGAAAGTATTTGTCAATAGAAAATACGGTGAGCCTCGTGATATTAGCTACAAGTTGTTCATGAATTGTCCCACAGAATTTGAGATCGCTGTTAATTTATTGCAGTTATTGAAAATTGCAAGTGAATAAGAAAATAAGATCATATGATGTGCTTCACTGTGTTGGGTTTAACCCACCTTAGTGCAGTGCACACTTGAAGGACTTGAATAAAATGTATCTTGGTCAATGGAGGAAATTTATCAAAGTGTTCTACTCAAAACAAAAATGTGAAAAAATGTCAAAGGGGCAGCCACAAATGAAATTCTCCACCTCTTTCCACTGGTTTCCATGGAGATTTCCCTATAGACCATTATAAAGAACTGAACACTTTGACAAAGCTGCTTTGTGTTTTAAAATCTGTTGCAATTATGAAGGCAGAATTCTTTACTCAGGCACTGTATCGTCACAGTGGAGCTCTATTTGGAGGGGAACACAATTTCTTGATATATCATTGTTGAATACATCTGTATAAAGATGAACATAAAATGCTTTTGTTATGTTTGGGGGTGGGAGAGATGGGGAAGGTCACAACAAAACACATTATATTTGTATCTTCATGAAACCTTAAAGGGACACTGTATGGACTACATGCAATACATGTTGTTGTACCGATTATGACACAAGGAGTATTTTTTTTTTTTTTTTTTGCATGCTTTGCTAAGCTGTCTCCTGCACTCAAAGCCTTTCACTATTGTCCAGCCTTGGATAGCTTTGGACAGCTAATGCAGAAGTAAAACTTCCACATTATCTGAGCTGAAGCAGAGGTTTTGTTATCTGGTTGCATGGATAGTTTTAGACAGACTACCTAACACTTTTTTATAAATCAGAGAGGACACCATTCTATACCATAACCACTACAAAAATCTGTAGTGTTATTGCTTTATGTTAATAAAGTTGTTTTTCTAGCTGTGCCTGTAACAAATTGCACGGCATGGGCACTAAACCTATGGAAAATTATTTCTGGTGTCAGTTTTATACTTGAATATCTAAATTTATACTCTATCCATTCAAAGGATACTCCATACCAAAATACCCCAAAAAATAAAAAAAATGTAAAAAAAACACTATTTAGTAGATATACACCTCTCCCTTCCTCCCCTACCCAAAAAAAAAACATGCCTGCATTTAATTATGCGTTTTCATTGGGGTATTTCTAAAACAGCTTGCAAAAACTGCAAGTCTCTTGTCTGCAGCCTTTGCAAGTCCTTTCCTTCTTCCTAACCCAGACTTTCTGTGTCTGTCCAATCAAAGGCTTCTCAATGCATCTCATAGAGAATATTTTCCAAAGTAGGTGCTCTGGGAATTACCTGCCTCTTGAGTTTAGCTCCACTGAGCTAAACGACCAGGAAGTAACATAACTGATTGACAGCTAAAGGGGTGTAACAAGTTTAAATTATAAAGGTGCCAATTTCTATTAAAATCCTCTTTTTTTTTTTTTTAAATAAAATAAGAAAAGAGGGACATACTCTTCAAACATAAAGCACTTCAGCAAGCTAAATTGCTATAGGTGTTTGGGGTGTTTCTTTAATTATCATGTAAATAAGTCAGTGTCTTCTTGTACAATGGATTTTAATGTTCTTTATTTAGATTTAAAAAAATGTATGCCCACATTTTGCATTCATTTAACCTTTTGAATCTCACAATGCACTGGTAAGTCAATCTTAGCTGCATGCAATATTAAGTGAAGTGCAGTTGATCAAAGCGAGCATATAAAATGAAATGAAAGTTGCGGAATATGTTTAATTTTCTTTTAATTTATCCAAGAAATCCGATATTACAGGCAGGGTTGCTGGCATGAAATGATCATCTTTGTATGTTTCTGGTTAGTGACCCGATAGCCATTCAGCAAACCTCTTCTATAGATTCCACTGGGTGCCAACGTCTAAATCTGGTTTGGCGTATTTTATTTGCTGAACACAAAATGTATTTGGTGAAATGTAGTTGTCATTTATAGTTAAAGCTATTTCTCTTCCCACCTAGATGAAGAAGTTTTCTTCTCAATGGCAGATATGGACATGTCTCACAGTCTCTCTTCTCTTCCCCCCCTTGGAGATCCGCAGAGCGTGGATTTAGACCTGTCTCTTACTAGCACCTACACCGAATCTCCAGCAGGTTCTCCAGTGGGATCTACTGGGGTATGATCACTTGTTTACAGCAATTGTTATTGATATTGTAGTGTTCTTCGTTCTTCTACTTTTCCAGTAACTGTAAAACAAGGATGGCCAAAAGCTGTTGCAGAACTAAAACTCACACAATGTTAAGGCTTGCAAAAGCTGGGAATCTAACATATGGACAATACGTCTTTAAAATAGATTATTTCATGATTGCCAGAGGTTATGATCATTTATTGCGAATACATATATTGGGTTCCTATATTTATCTAGTCAAAAGGTGAGAATAAATATTAACTTCATATGACTGTGAAAGACACACTCTAAACAGAAGCAGGGCTCACATGGCATTCATCCTGCTGCCGTAGAGATAAGAAATGTAATTTCTCATTGACCATCCATATTGCATATAATTGATAGGCTGTAAGCACTGTCTGGGGCCCAGTCTATCAATTAAAGCCTATCAATGCCTGCCAGTAGTGTTTCTGGGTGACAAAGATACTAGGGTCTCCAGCACAAGGGTAAATTGTATGGCCCACTTCAATATACTGACATAAGCCCCCCACCAAACTCCCACCCTATACTCCTGAGAAGTTCTTTGAATCACATTATGACTTTAAATCTTTGAATAAGTACTATGTAAACCTATATTTATAAACCCTGAAAATATAAATATACATTAAATCTGCACCCACTGCATTGAAATCTTACCCCCACAACAATACCCAAAACTCAAAACTATACTGTAGAATGAACATCAAGATGGTGCATTAAGGTACCATCACACAGTATATAATTGGAGGTGTATTTTCCCTCTCAGGGGACTCAGAGCTAACAATCAAAGGGTGCCAAAATCAGAAACTGGGCTTTTAAGGACCCCACTTGGGGCTTCAGCCAGGTCACTTGCCTAGCAACGCTTCTAATGCCACCCAGATTTGTATGGATATGTATGAATATTGCAGAGGTAAAACGTATCTTGGCAGCAGCAGAGAGGTTGGACATGAAGTGCAATGAGTGTGTGTTTTTTTTCCTACTGCTACCAAATGGTTTAAAAAAAAAAATGGATTGACTGCATTCAAGGCATCTTGCAATCATTTTTGTAAATTCTTTCCTTTGCCACTGGTAGTCTGTAAAGAAAAAGCATATAGAGAAAAAAATAAAAATGTAATTCACCCCCCCTCCCCCTCCCTCTCCCCTCCACAAAATAAGAGTGTTTCAATTTCTACTCTTCATTTCCAATGTTTTTACTGGCTTTGCCAAGTCTGAAATTTTAAATATTTAATATAAATAAAACAAAAAAGGTTCACAAAAATCACAAACAAGTTACTACAAGATATGGTTGGTTTTCACTGTTTTATTCAGTGGTGTATTTCCAGAGAAGTGACAGTTTTCTTTTATGAAACATTTACCTTACATTTTTATCCTCTATGGCGAGTACAGTGATTTGCATGCTTCCTTTCCCAATGCTAAATATGACTTCCCACAATGCGTAGCAAGCGGCCACATTTGAATATTTTCTCTCTCTGCTAATGTAGATGTTGAGATGTAAAATGCTTTTCTATTCCTGTGTATGAATTAAAATTGTTTCCCCACAAGGTGCCACATTGTAACCTTTGGCTTATGGATTAATTTTTATTAGGTAAAATAGACTCCTTGCAGCGCAGCAGAGGTATTTGTGATTGAAATATGGATTTTCTCTAAGCTTTTAATGCTAGAGCTGACTTGCACAGAATAATAATTTTGGGCTTTTTTTTTTTTTTTTTTGGCTGATTATCCTCCTGCAAGTCAACTTTTTATATATGAATTGCATTTCATGTACCATGCAGATACAAACCTGCAACCGCCCTTTAGCGCACTAAGTTCCACTGAGTAACAATATATACAAATTGACTGTTTGGAAATTTAGTAAACCTTTCTATAAGCATCACCTGTAATAGGGCCACTTCAAAGTTCCCTGTAAGATAAAGTTGAAACTCACGATGCTACAGAGGAGACTCAGAAGGGCAAGCTTGATCTGACCATAATGTCTTAGCTTTACAGTGATAAAAAGTGATAGATATGACAGTACTCTATTTTTCAGCAGTTTGATTCTCAATGTATTATTGCAGATGATACTGAAGGTTGTTTTGGTGGTTTTACTCATAGATCACACATTTAGCTAGGAAGAGGGAAAAGGTAGACTATTTTCTCAATTCTTTGGTTAAGTGCAGTGCATGGATCATGTGTGCTGTTTTTTTCTTGTATTTTGTTGTAGAGTGATTTTTGTTCTGTGTGCTGCAATGTTGATTTGTGTATCTGTGATAACTGTAATGAGGATAAAAAACTGTATATAAACCATACCATGCCACACCAGAGGCAGTGGAAACAGCTCAGCAAAGAATTGACAGCACTGGCAACCAGACTGAGCAGAAACACTAAAGAAGCGGAGGCTAGAGAGAAACAAATAAATGCAGTTTGCCAAAAAAAAACATCCAAGGTGTATGCACAGCTGCAGGGTAACCACAATATCCACCCAAGACCCAGATTCAAAGAGCCTTCATCAAGAACTTGATATGCAACTGGAAAACAACTCTAGAATCCAATTCCAGGATGATAACACAAGTAAACATCAAATGTGACATGTACCACGGTGATGCACTATCACCAATACTGTTCTGCACAGACCTAAACCATCTTGCCAGATCACCATGCAGAGTGGATATGGATACAGGTTCAAGAATGGAGCTACCATCAACCAGTTACTCAGCATGGACGACATAAAGATGTATGCCAAGAGTGAGTGGGACATTGATTCACTGATCCACCTAACTAGGATATACATAATAGGAGGTCGGGGCCTGATGAATGTCAAGGTCACAGTCCTGGATAAAACACAGAGCATCCGCAAGTACATAAGGAAGACAGCTCTCAAAGATGAACTGCCAAGATAACAACAGATGGAGAAGGTTCCATGGCAAGACAAACATCTCCATGGGGTGTACCACTAGCAGATAGTAGATGGAAAATTCAGAAATGAAAGACAGTAGTGAGGCACTAATCCTGGCAGTATTGGAACAGGCACTGAGCACCACATCAGTAGTAGCCAGGGTCTACTACACCAGACAGGACCAAAGGTGCAGATTTGCAAAGATGCCTCTGAGACAATCCAGCACATAGTAGATAGGTGCAAGATGTTAGAAGGGACATCATACTCTGAGAGGCACAACCATGTTACTGGGATTGTGCACCAAAATATCTGCACAGAATATGGGATGGACCTGCCTAAGTCCAGATGGAAGATACCACAAATGGTAGTTGAGAATGATAGTGCTAAGATCCTGTGGGACTTTCAGATCCAGACAGACAAGCAATTAGTGACCAACCAACCTGGTATTGTGGTGGTAGACAAGAAACGGAAGACTGCAGTGGTGGTGGATGTGGCAATACCAAGTGACCATAACCTCAGGATGAAGGAGCATGAGAAGGTGGACAAATATCAAGGACTGAAAGAGGAGCTAGAATGGATGTGGAAAGTGAAGGCAGTTGTCCCAGTTGTGAAAGGAGAACTCAGGGCTGTGAACAATAAGTTGAGGCAGTGGTTTCAGCAGATTCCAGTTGGGACATATGAGATCGCTGTTGAAAAGAGTGCCATTCTTGAAACAGCTAAGATATTGTGCAGGCCTCTGGTAGACCCAAGAATGAGGAATACACAAAAATATACCACCCGGAGGGGTGAGAAAGTCCAATCATTTTATATATGTTTAGATGTTCACATGTATTCACTGTCTGTATTTGTTAGAGAGTTGTTTTTCATTTAATGATGTACATAACAGTGTTTTATAGAATATCTGACGATGAAAAGTAAACCAGAACCCCATTTTTTTTTTCTTAGCTGCTGCCGACTTGGGGTGATTATCATGATTCTGATAAAGTAGGGGAACACTTATCAAGAGGTGTTCCATTGAGACCTTCCTTTGGTCAGCAGAGCACCATACGGAGGACACGTGAGTAACATACTGATTGGCATTTTAATTAGTAGCTGTACTTATAATATAGAATACCAGGGCTGCTGAAGTCCAGCTTGATGTTCAATATTTTGATGAATTAATCTTCTCATTGACATTGATTTACTTTTAACACAGGTTACTAACACCTGAGGAGACACTGTTGTAGAAATACAGTCCAGCAGGTGGACGGCATAATGCCATGTAACAATAAAGGATAATTTATATCTGGTTAAATGTGAAAGATTTACATGTCCATTATTTAGAACTTGGCCTAAAACCTTCCATCACGTCATCTACTTTGATTTAATGTTCAGTGTTCTATGTTCTGTTCTTTTGTAGAGCTGCCTTCACGCTCCATATCTGTGGATGAATCCAGACCTGAACTGATATTCAGAATGGTCTTGGGATCTTTGTCAATCTCTGTACTTCATATCGATCCATTGGCTCCAGCAGAATCCACTTCAAGCCCCAACCCTCTCACTCTCATGTCTTCTGATTTCTTCAGTCACGTTGAAAAAGCTGATCCACTAACGTTTGCAAAAGATGACTTTGCCAGCTTCCGAAGTGTTTTTGCTCAAGCATGTTCTCATGACCACCTTAGGTAGATGGATTTAAAAACTCTTTAACTATGTTGAATTCATGGATGATAAAATATTCCCTTTGCATGAAATGACATTGAATTTTTATCTTTCTTTGATTCCCCTTGACAGATTTGTGGGTATGGGAATTAAAATTTCCCATGAGCAACGTCAGAGGTCTAGCTTGCGTAGTTTCAACACTGATGTGTGTATTGGACAAACCGAACTTCTAGAGTGCCTTTTCCCTGGTGATTCTCAGACCATTCCACCACAATTCACAGAGGTATAGAAATTATTGTACCTGTGCTATCAACATCAAACTAGTCTGCTAGAAACAGCAAAGCTTCCGCATTCGGCATATTCATAAAATTGAGGTGGCTGGTGTTTATGGGTTGGCTTAAGAACTACTGGATCTAAAATGACTGTCTATGTAAATTGTGACAGTATTTTCTTTTAATGCATTAAAAAAAACTGCAGACAAATTGAATAAAACTATTTAAAACAAATAAAGTCAATCCTCTTTTAAAGTGCCTTGCTTATTTGGGTCTTCTGCAGCTGCTTAGGAACACCTGATTTTGCTCTGAGAGGGCTAATCTCACGAATTATAGAAAGAAATAGTGTTTCCAGTTCCAATCATCACGTAGGATGAGTTTAACTGCTGAATGAATCGATAGCAGACTGCTGTGGTTTACTACCAGGAAAGTTGCAGACACAATTGGGCCAAAATTGACATTGACAACTAGTACAAATTGTTGACACTATAAACTACTCTCACTAATAATGCAAAGTGCTTATATGGATCCTTGGTGCAATAAAATTTCTTCATCCAGTGATATTATGATGTCGAACATTGCAATGCACATAGTTTAAAATACGCTTTGTGTTTATCCAGATGTTTAATTTTTTAATTGTTTTGCTTTCCTCACTCTTTTTCATTTTTCTCTCTTCTACAAAAAAGCTGCTAAAATTTGAGAATGATAAATCAACTGACTTGCCCTCCTCTCCATCTATTCATCTTCAATATAAACATTCAGAGACTAGAGGACCCCAGGTAATGACAATGTTTTAATAGTAGGTTATGATAATTGAATGGTTGTGTTATTTAAAATGTGCTTGTGTTTACTAATTCTCATTGCTATTTTGTGCTGCATAATCACACACTGTGAAGAGCTATCACTTAAAGAAAATACAATGAGAAAGCACTTTATGGAACTCTATTGTACCTCTGCATAGTATTTTTTCCATCAGTTACAGCAAAGACAAGTATCCAAAGTAATTATCCAGCTGCCCATCCCATGTGATAGGAATCAGCAGCACAGAAACAGTTTGATCTGTTATACCAATGGTGCCCAAAAGGTAGATGTTTTTAAAACTACAACTTCCATGATGCTTTGTAATTCTTAAAGCATTCTGAAGGCATGCAAAGCTTCATGGGAGTTGTAGTTCTACAACATATGAGGAATCTATTTTTTGGGCGCCCCTGTTCAGGACTATCAGAAAACATATGAATAAAATTACAAATGCTTTCTAAGCCCTAAAACATAGCTTTTATCAGCTATTTAAATAGCCTTTGCAGCTAATGAAGATCCACCTACTTTTAGTCCAGTACTTAATTCCATGTTGGTGTTGGACATTGTTCAGTCAAATGCTTCTCACAAAGAAGCATTAAGGACAAATCTCCAGTCAAAAGCTTCTCATAGAAATTGGTTGTTTTACTGAAATCTTGTGACTTGTATCATACTTTAGGGCTGTATTAGATCAATGACATTTTAAGTATTTAATTTTATGTGTCCATTTAAATACTGTCTTGATTAATAAAGCTAATATGGGATAGAGTTCTTATCAGGCTCAGCCAACCACTGTATGTGGTTGATTTAAGTTATTTTGTGCATAAGCTGTTCAGTAAGTTGTTTTAACTTTTTTCTTTTTTACATTACACCTATTTTTTTTTTAAAACACACAGCAGCATCAGCCAGATTATCACAGAGCACGATAGGATTTGTAGTCCTGCATGGACAGACAAATTGTTGCAAATTTGAGGCATGCAATCCCAAGAGTAGATGATTTTTTTTTTTTCATATCCAACTGGGAAGGAAGATATTTAAAAGAGAGAGAGGGAGGAAGTAAGGTAGCAAGAATTAATTACATGAATAGTGTAGAAAATGAAATATAACTTTTATTACTTTTCATTTGTTATTTTAAAACACCTCACAAGCGGTCTCTTCGTACTCAAAATTGTATTAGGTAACGTCTGGTTGATTACTATAACTTCCTTCTACTTGTTCTTCTGCAACACTCTATTATTCCATTTCAGCAAATCCAAAATGCTACTGCCTGCAAACACCTTAACATGCCCCATTCTGCTCTTGCTTGACACTCTTTAAAAGCTCAACTGGCTTCTGGTACACCATCAGTCTCTCTTCAAATGTCTTACTCTTAAGTGAGACATCACCTTCCATAACTTTGCTCCTCCCTACCCCTCCTCACTCATCTTTTGCTACACTCCAAACTGTCCTCTCCACTCCCTCAACTCCATCTCTCTTATTCAACATCTACATCTATCTATTCTTTCACGATTCTGCTTAATCTCCCTCTTAGCCCCCTACTATTGGATCGCGTTCCCTCCTCACATACAATCTGCCATCTCTCTTGACACATTTATTCACTGAAGCCTTTCAGGTCACTTCCTAAAACAATCTCTCAATCACCCCACACAGCTCAACATGTCTGACCTTCTCATCCTCCCATTATTCCTTTATCCTCAACAGTGCAGCTTTCATCCAAGCTTTTTTCTGTAACCTCCCCAGAATTCCCAGAAAGAAACATTTTTAAATAGAAAAGTTGCAGAGAAAGGTTGTCTACACCAAAACCATTTGAGTTGGACACGTGGTTATGGTGCTTAGAGCAACCTTATAATTAACAATTTTATTCCTTGGTTCAGAAGCCTTTAATTATGTATGCAACACCCCTTTTGTGCATTTGGTTACACAATACATGATAGTTTACTTCTGCCAAATGCCTAATATTACCAACTGCTAATATTAAAGTGGTTGTGTCAATTAAATTTTATTTTAGCAAACTCTATTTTAAAGGGTTACTCCAAGTACCTTCCTGGCCTGATCTGCAAGCTTGAGTGCTGAGCTGATAAATTGGTCCAATTACTGGTGTCTATATCCGAAACTCGTTTTCCTGACACTATAGCATCCTTAGGATCCCCCCCCATCCCTCTGTTTACCCCTCTTTTGGCGCCGAAGAGGTTAAATACCCTTCAGTTACTTACTTTAATCCAGCGCCGTGCTTCCTCGGCGCTGGTGATCTCTCTTCCCCCGCCGACGTCCGCTCCCGAGTGGAGCCGAATACAAACAGTCCATAGGAAAGCATTTCTCAATGAAACTCTGAAGGGTAAATTTAGGTCACATTTAAGGACACAGCCAACAATAAATTAAAAAATATACAAAGAAACATAAAATAAAAGAAGCAGGGTTTTGATCATTCTGTTCTCGATCATCTTTGATCACTTTGTGTTGTAGATTTTGCATTTTTCTGCATAGTGATTTAAGGCTGAGATGAGAGATATTTTATTTATAAAATTATTTTCATTTTCAGGGTAGTTCAGGAAGACTAAGCTCTGTTCCACAGAGATCAGAACTCCAAGTGAAACTGTCACCTGCGTCCTGCGAGTTGGATATTAGCATTGTAGACAGATTAAACTCACTGCTTCAGGCTCAGAAACTGGGCCCTGTGGAAATGATGACGTCACACCTGTACACCTCTTACAACAAGCATATCAGTCTGGTAAGTAGCATAGAAACAGATGGAATGGATATACCTGCATAATAGATGCATGTATTATTTAATGATTATGTAATTTAGGGAGGTGGGGCACTTAGGTTAAATATACAGTCTCTTCTTTCCTACTGAGTGTAGGGTTAAATAACAATCCAGTTTCCTTTCCCCTTGCCTGCACTAAAATCTCTTAATAGTTATAGAAAATTGGCAGCACTCAAGGATTAATGCAATATCAATAGTTGTGATTCCTTTAGAATACAAAGAGAATGTGTAAAATCAGAACCATAATTTATTATAAGGATACAATTACTATCCAAAACCATTATAATTTTTAACAGTGTCCTCAAAGTAATCGAAAGTGATTAGTTCACTGTTTACTGTAGATTTTAATAACATTTTCTGCAACCTCCAAACAGGATCCCATTTCACCTGTAGGTTTTCACTCAAACTCACAGTACAAACGCCAAGAGATCCATGTAACACTACATAGTAAACAAAACGATAAATTATAATAATCATAAAGGAGCAAATTCAATCTTCACAGTGTTTGATTTCGATGCTTATTTCTAAGACTCATATCACCCAATACATTAAAAGCCTGTTACAGAGTAATGATAGTCTTTTATTTTAATGGCTGCACAGAGCTGGTTTGGGTACTGATTCAGTCTTTCTCTGATCTCACAGTGTTGTGTAGGTTGATGATCAAATTTCATTGGCTGTGCTAAATATATTTTGATGCTGATTCAATTTATAGTTGAGCACACCTTGTTCTGTCTCAATGCTTTACATACCCCACAAGAAATTGCACAGCATCTGTTTTCCTCTTTACAGTCTGTATAACTATATAATCCCCTTAAAACTAATGTGCATTTAAATCCTCCAATCTCATCAATGATTGGAAATCTGATCTAGGGCTGCCAACAGTGCTCATAAAGCAAAGGCCAGGGATGGAATCACTCTAAATACAGCCAAACTGGTTTCACACTCAAAGAAAACCAAGATCAGCTCCTCAAAGAACATTTTGGGAGTCTGTAAATGAATTGAAAATAATGTGCCCTCCATGCACTTTATAAAGATTTAGCTGGAATAATGCATTGTTTACATTTGTTTTTCACATCTGTATTGCAGTTGCACTTCTAAGTATGTATTCTGGAAAAACTTGTTTATTCCAGCCTAAGTTTTCCTCTTTTGCTCATTCTCCAGCACAAAGCATTTGCCGAAGTTTTTTTGGATGATTCTCGCTATCCAGCCAGCACTCGTCTGTCCGTACTGATCTCGGCACCTGCACTGAATTTAGCTGTACGATTCCCAATTCCTGACCTCCGCTCAGACCTAGAGAGGGGCCCATGGTTTAAAAAATCTCTCCAGAAAGAAATTCTGCACTTACAGGTCTCAGATCTAGAGTTTAAAACTGAGATCTTTGGCGGTTCTTCCCCAGAACAAATTAAGCTGGAACTTATCTTCAAAGAATTGACAGGTAGCTTTACAATGTAGAATATACTGCATGTTACATCATATTAGAAGGAATTCTCAACTATTCCTCTATGCTGTTTTCATTAGGAGCCTTCCAGGAAGATACTGATGAATCACCCATCAGGTTCCTTCAAGTATGCAGAGTCCAGGATGGAGATATGATGACATCTGACAATTTTGATTGGCCAAGGTTTATATTTAATCTCATATTTGCAGTAAAATGTCCATTATTAGTATACTTTATAAAAATAACTGCTAGATGTTGCTTTCATCCTAATTTGTTCCTTAAAAAATAGTAATGGTAGTTCAGGTAAATCTTGCAGTTGGTAAATGACTGGGTCGTTGGAGTAGGATTTTTAAAGAATATTTTTTTGAGGACATAGATAGTCATTGTTGTTTATGTAAGTAATATTTTATATAGTAAATAATGCAACATGGAATGGGTTTAAATCCACCAAGAAATGGGGAGAATGCTTAGCTTGTTGCAGGTCTTCAATGCAACTGGAAATGTATAACACAAGTATCATCTAAGCCATAAGTCCACATAAAACACACAGTTTTTTTAAACTAAAGTATGAAATCAGTGAGTATTCAAACTATGCACCTCCCATGTTGCCCATAGGGAAACATTAGGGGGCTAGTGTACATGCGCGACTGTTGCTGTTCTGTGCCAAAACAACATCTTCTCAAATAAATGCATTGGGTAAATACATCATTGTAGGGAGTGTTGTAATGCAGAGCCTTAAGATGTCAATGTTGGTGCATAAAAGATTGCAGGACACACCAGGAAGGGCCTCTAGTGGTTGCCTAAGTGAAAAGCTACTAGAAATGTCCTTAGAGACAAATGTAGACACTGCCTTTTTTTAGGAAAAGTCAGTGTTTACAATTGTCCGCTAATACAACTTTAATGCACTTGAAACCTTTTGACCTCATTTAATATGCTGTATGCATGTTCAAAGCTTTATAGTTTTTGCATTAAAAAAAAATAAATATATTTTCCAGATAAATTTAAAAAAAACAAGTCCTGCGCTCACTCCCATCACTCCCATCACTCTTGGGTGGCAGCAACGACCACAGTACACATCAGCCTCAATATATACAGTAAAAACCAAAGAAAAAGTTACCTGCGCTCTCTCCTAAATCCCTGTGTATATTTAAACAAATGGAGGTCATTTAGTTACTCCAATGGCCATTGAAGGGAATGCCTGCCTGTCAACGTTAAGACAGACCCCCTTAGGTTGGTCCTACACTGACCTTTCACCCTGCTTCCTCCATTTGTTTAAATATACATAGGGATTTAGGAGAGAGCGAAGGTAACTTTTTCTTTGGTTTATACAGTATGTATTGGGGCTAATGTGTACTGTGGTCGTTGCTGCCGCCCAGGAGTGATGGGAGTGAGCACAGGACTTGTTTTTTTTTATATTTGTATTAACTTTTTGTATCACACAGCTATGTTACAATGCTGCCGCCCATCCCATGTGTTTCCTATTAAGGGTTAATAAGTATATAGGGGTGTATATAAAAAATACCCATCTTTTTCTCATTAGAGATATCTTTGCCAGAGGCTCAAGCAAGCAAGGTGAAAGGTCAGGGGGTCTGCCTTGAGGTTGGCAGATGGGCATTCCCTCCAATGGCCATTGGAGTAACTAAATGACCTCCATTTGTTTAGATGTACATAGATATTTTGCAGATAAGACTATTTCCTTAGCCAAACCTCCTCTTGCCAGAAAGACCTCCTTATGAATTGTGTGCACCTTGAGTGAGCTGCTTTTAATTCACAACTTAGCTGCCGACAGTCAGAGAAAATATAGCAGTGATATCCTTACAATATTTCTCCCTGGGCGTCCTCTCCTTCTAATGCAGGTTGATTTGTAGTTTAGATCACTCAGTGCTATCAGTGGCTGAGCTATATATATTAGTTTGATAAGAAAGTATTTTTCTGTAGTGAGGGTTCATGGCTATTTTTTTTTGTTGCAAAAATTATAAAGATTTGAGCATGCACAAAATACAGTATGTTAATGAGGCAAAACCTATCAAGTGCATTGATGTTGTGTTGGTGTTCGGAGTAACCTTTAATGTAATGGCTCTGGTGCTTAGAGTGTCCCTTTAATGCTGATGGAAGGCTGTAGAAAGAGAATTAGTTACTAACATCTGGTCTCCAGTTTTACTCTCAAAAACAACATCTTTTATTATTATTATTATTACTATGTTATTATTTATATAACGCCAACAAATTCCGCAGCGCTTTACAGTGGGAGGACGAACAAACATGTAGTTGTAACCAGACAAGTTTGACACAGGAACAGAGGGATGGAGGACCCTGCTCAATGAGTTTACATGCATTACATTACTTACATTATTATTAGGCCTTCCTGCATTGCAAAGTGGTAAATTATTTTGTATTGGTGTAAAATGTGACTCTTTAAACATTAAGTGGGTGATCGTGATATTTTTCCTTTTTTCCTTTATAGAATTGTGCTTAAAATCAATCCCGTAACTGTGCACTCTATCTTGGAGCGCATTGCACCCGAGGAGGATGATGAAGGTCATTTTCAGGAAGATGAAGATGGTGCACCTCACTCCCTGAAAGATGTCTGTGATTTCAAACGCCCGGAGCCATCTCCTTTTTCATCTCGAAGAGTAATGTTTGAAAATGAGGAGGTAATAAAAATGTCTAGATACTTTGTCTGCTTTGGATAGAACAGATGAAATTAGTATTGTGTGTTACCTTTTTTACTGGACTCTGGGTAGGAGCTTGTGAGGACACTAAATCCTGCTGGTTTAGAAGTTGTATTAGAGCTCCTTCCAGCCATCTATCAGCGATTTCTGACTATGGGTCCCCCATCTGTAATAAAAAAAAATACCCCCACCCTTTGTCTATGGGTAGAGGCTGGGAATGGCATTATGTCCTCCCATATATTTTAATAAGAGCCTGCACCTGCTGACTGTATCAGGGGAGGGGAAGGGGGCACTAAGTTCCCTCCATTTATTAGTTCATCAGTTGGCTCCACCATGGGGCGTAGAGGACACTAAGATGTCCCCTCCTCCATTTTTGATGTAATAGCTCTAATACGCTGGCAACGGAAGGCGGCATGAGCTGCAATTGTTGACCAGTCGCTAGTCTCTTATTACAGCAAGCAGCGACTGGAGGCACGCTGTTTAGCTGACATGCCCTCAATTTATCGCTCTCCCACAGTCCCGATCCATGCTATACAACAAGACTCATATCACAGTAACGTTCATGTTATTTATTCTTATTAATATATGACGCTTTCTTCTCCCAGATGGTAATGCCTGGAGATGCCATAGAAATGACTGAGTTCCAAGAGAAAGCAATCAGCAATTCTCATTATATATTAGAGCTGACCTTGCCTACTATGTACCTAATGCTTCCCAACAAATCCTTCTATGAAAAACTCTATAACAGGTGAGTGGGCTTCAGAGTGCACATACTTTATGAGACCGACAGAAACCTAATTTTTCTGTGCCTACGATACCTACTGCTGCATTAGATGCTAGAATATTGAATGGGTGTAAAAATTATGATAGAAATATGTGGAACAAAAAATCCAGGTAGAAATGTCCAACCCAATGTGTACACATTTAGAACAATGCAAAGATTTAATCATGTGTTGTTCAGTTTGTGCACGAATGGACCTGGTTCCTTTAAGTCTTTAAGTGTTAATGGGTCTATCGTAAGATGACCATAGACAATTACTATATAAGCCCTGTTGCTCTTTTCATTCATCATTATTCCACCATACATGAATGAAACTTGTCTCTTTTTAGAATGGAAGTTTTCATTGTCACTAGCACAAAAATGGAAATAAATAGATCTGGAACTCTATTTACAAAGCAAACATTGTTTAATACAGTGATATTTTCCAATGCTCTCGGGGAGGGAGCCTAGTTTTTTTATTTAGATGAAAGATATCAACATGCATCCCTTAGCAAAATAATCTTTTAATAGGATTTGGAAAATTAAAGTGCACTTGTCATGCAAATAACATGAGGTGGTAAAATCTAGAGAATTATATTTTATGCACATTTCACTAAAGAGACACTATAGTGTCAGGAATACAAATGTGTGCCTGTGTTGCTGTTTAGGTACCTGGCGCCCCTTAGATCATTCTGAAAAGGTGATTTTTTTTTTCATTTTTATAATATGAGCAGGCTAGGTTAGTTATATCATTAAGCATTAACATTGAGTGAGGTTATAATGTAAGCAGGCTTAATCAGTTATGTCGTTAAAGCATCAGCATTACTAGTGCGTTTATATTGTAAACAGGCTTAGTTAGTTATGTTATTAAAGCATCAGCATCAATGCTAAAGGCATCAGAACATGGTGCCATTAATGCCCAGGGGTGCTGAAGTAGGAATTATTTGTATAAGGTCCTGCAGGCAGTCAAGCACGATAGGCATAATATGGCAAACATACGAGAGCATTAACTTTGCTTGGACGCCATGGGTTTACTCACATGGATGCTGAGTAAAGTAATACGTATTAATGTAAAGCATTATACTGTTTGAAAACGTGCAGGATGAAATTCACTAAAGTAAACTGAAATAAAATAACCACTGGGCTGCGCCCCCATAACAATTAGAACAGAGGGATAATCTAGGTTAGTAGAGCTGTTGTCTATGGTAGAGCGGCAGATCAAGTTGTCTCAAGCCCTTAAACTAAAGCTTGTCGCTAAGGGGCCTGCATAAGGCTGTTTAACCGATGCTTAACTGTGGCAGGCCGCCAACCTTGGAAGGCATGAGTCCACTCTTACACATGCTTGGGCACCACCAGTCCCATGAGGAGATGTGCTCCTGTGTCACGCTGGCAGGACAAAAGCCATCCACAGGACCAGTGTCTCTCTGTGCTTGTGGTCGGTGTAGGCGAGTGTGTGTCATGCCACTCTGCGGCCTGTGGGCCAGGACTCTGCCCCTGCTAGTGTGTCCCACAGAGGAACGACTGCAAGGTATTGAGGTGGGTTTTAAAGTCGTTGTGTTGTCGGCGGGCCCCTCACGGGTCTTTCCCTTGCTTCTGCCTTTACAGTATGCTGGGTAGGAGATTTGTGAGCTGTGGGCTTGAGGGCCTCTCTTGTCAGGCCGAGGCTTATGTAGGTTGTGCCGCACAGGATGCCCGGGCTTTCGGCGACTTTGCAGTGTTTGAGGCACTTGCTTCCGCTTACCCACCTTTGGCACAATGTCAGGATTCTCAGGTTTTATCATAGCTTTGCCATGCTGCAGGTACGGGTGGAGCGGTACTGCCGTAGCTGATCTCTGTTTACTGCGCTGGAGTTGGGCAGGTGGGATAGGAGTGTTGGATCTGCTGGCTATGCGAGTCCAAAAAAAAAATCTCGGCATAACTTTTCAAATCTGGCTTCGAAGCCCTCTGCCCAGTCCAGGCTATCTAGATTTGCTTGTTGCCATGAAGGCCTCTGCATGGCGGCCATCTTTAATCCACCATGCGGTCTGAGACTGTGCCGATTGCTGGCTATTTAGGTAAGTGGTGTGCCCAGTGGGGACTGGGATATCCCCCACCGGTCCAGAGGGGGGGGACAACGGGGTGTCTGTGGTTGTTCTTCAGGATGCATAGTCCCCAGCAGGAGATCGGCCGCCTCTCCCAGCCGTCGTGCCCGCAGTCCTGGTAGGCCGCAAGGCCAGAAGTTAAAGTACGCTTTCAGGAACTGGTAATTTGGGATCCGCAATATCCCTGTCGTTTAAGGTGCTTGTCAAGCTAAGTTCTGATCCTTCTGCCAGTTCTTGGTGTAGGTTTAGTCGATTTAAAGTTTGTGCTGGCAGGAGCTCTCTGTAAACATGTCTGGCCAACTAGCAGGTCAGGCCCCGCCCCCTCCTGAAAAGGTGATTTTACTCAAATTTTTACTGGTCTCGCAGAAGCTGGCTCCGCCTCTGTGGCTGAGATCAGCAATTTTGATGATCTCAGCCTATCCAATGCTTTACAATAGTAAAGCATTGGGAGGATATTGCACATGTGCAGTAAAATTCCACTCTGCGCCAATCAGCATCTCTTCACTTCAATCCCTCAGTCCCCCATGTGTCTCATTTCCTCTCCTATCTCCCCCATGTGTATTACCTGCCAGTGTAAGTTTTGAAGGCAAATTTCGACTTACTTTTAGTCATAGTCGTTTGACTAAAAAGCCATTTCAGGTTTAGTCGTATTTTAGTCATCTGAATTGTTTTAGTTTTAGTCGACTAAAATTACACTGGTAGGTAATTCTGTCATCAGGTTGCTTTGCTGGATCTGATATGTATTTACATTTACCTGTTCATTTTGAGGGAAGACACCCGAATGCCAACATGAATGAGAGTAGAGCATTATTTTATTAAGAGTGGGTCCTTAATGCAAAAGGGACTTTGTACTACTGTCACTATCTATTAGGGAGGAAGGTCTGTTACCCTGTTTAGTTCCCCTGTATAATAGAGTGCAATGTGACTCACAAATTCTGACCCATGCCCACTATTGTTGTGCTTTAAAAAATAAAAATGATTGTCAAAGTTTTAGAAGATTGCTATCAGCATGTATGTTGTGTACAGATAACCTTCTTCTCATGTGTTTAACATTTAACATTGATTTATTTAAGAGTAAGCAATGATTTGTTGCTATGGGAACCTACTGCTCCATCTCCTGTGGAGACCTTTGAGAACCTGTCTTATGGGATCGGCCTTTCAGTCGCCAGCCAGCTAATTAACACCTTTACAAAGGATAGCAGTCACTTTAAATCAGCAACTCATTATGGTGAGCTTTTATATATGTTTTAATTATTATTTATTTGTTGAAAGCATTATTTACCACATTTCTTAAAGAGTGGACGCCAGAGTGATCCTCGTTTTTTGTCCATCTGCTTGTTAACGGTTTGGCAAAAATCTGGGGGATTGCACTCATATAATATTTCCAATATCAACAGTACACTGAGCTATTCCTTTAAAGGGACATACATCACTTGACAATTATTTCTTGTACATACAAACACTTTTATGCAAATATACAAAACAAAATACATAAAGAAAACATTTACAAAGAATGTAATAAACGTTTATAAATGTACTATAATCAGGGCCGGATTAACATAGGGGCTGATGGAGCTGCAGCTCCAGGCCCAGGCCCATGGAATAGGCCCATTTAAAAAAAAAAAAGTTTTACTTTTTTTTTTTTTTTTTTTTTTACACACTACTCTTAGGCTTGCCACCTGACTGGTATTTTAATGGCACAGACGGTATTTGAGGCTGCCTGGCCATGCCGGTATTGCAGTAATACCGGCAATACAAATGCAGATAATTTTCTCAGAATAATTGACAATTACTCTGCAATACCAGCACCGGCCAGTAGGGGTCACTGTGTGTGGAGAGAGGCAGGGATAGGAAGTAACAGCATATCCCTCCCTGCCTATCTATACTCACTGATCCGTGGGGGAGCAGCTACACAGCACAGAGAGTCCAGACAGCAGCTCTACAGCTCAGGTAAGTGAGGGATGGGGGGAAGGCAGCAGGGACACATGGGGACACTGAGACACTAGGGGACATATGGGGACACTAGGGGGCATATGGGGACACAGACACTAGGGGACACATGATGACGCATACACTAGGGGACACTGAGACACTAGGACACAGACACTGGGAGACCTGGGAACACTGAGACACTTGGGGACACTGGAAAACATGGGGACACTGAGACACTAGGGGACACAGACACTTGGGGACATATGGGGACACAGACACTAGGGGACACATGGGGACACTGTCACTAGGGGACACTGAGACACTTGGGGACACTGGAAAACATGGGGACACAGACACTAGGGGACACATGGGGATGCTGAGACACATGGGGACGTAGTGAGACATAGGGACATTGGGAGACATTGGGACACGGAGACACTATGTCCCCCAGCCAGTGTCCCTAGTTTCTCAGTGTCCCCAAGTCTCCCAGTGTCTGTGTCCCATGCCTCTCAGTGTGCCTAGTGTCCCCATGTGTCCCAGTGTCCTCATGTCTATGTCCACAACTGTCCCCATGCCTCCCCAAGTGTCTGTCTCCCAGTGTCCCCTAGTCTCCCAGTGTCTGTGTCCCTAGTGTCTTAGTGTCCCCAAATGTTTCAGTGTCTCCATGTCTCCCAGTGTCTGTGTTCCTAGTGTCTCAGTGTGCCTGGTGTCCCCATGTCTCCCAGTGTCCCTATATGTCCCAGTGTCCACATGTCTATGTCCACAACTGTTCCCATGTCTCCCAGTGTCCCCAAGTGTCTGTCTCCCAGCCAGTCTCCCCTAGTCTCCCAGTGTCCCCTAGTCTCCCAGTGTCTGTGTTCCCATGTCTGTGTCCCTAGTGTTTTAGTGTCCCCAAATGTTTCAGTGTCCCCATGTCTCCCAGTGTCTGTGTCCCTAGTGTCTCAGTGTCCCCATTTCTCCCAGTGTCCCCATGTCTCCCAGTGTCCCCGGGTCTCTCAGTGTCCCCAGCATCCTAATGACATGGGGACACACTGAGACATTGGGACACTGGGAGAAATGGGGACACAGACACTGGGAGACTAGGGGACTGGGCGACATGGGACACTGACACTGTGATACATAGGGACACTGAGACACTGGGTGACTTGCGAGACTGAGACACTGGGAGACACTGGGAGCAATCCATCTATACAGCAGAATCAAACTGTGAGTAGTTTGTTGGTGATTTTACAGAATTTTCTCTGATGTCACTCCTTGTGATTTACATCATGTGATGTCACGCATAACTAATTAATTATACAAATGATTAAGGCTGGTATTTTTTTCCAAGAAAGGTGACAACCTTAACTACTCTTCACATACTCTTGCTTAAAGGAGCACTATAGGGTCAGGAACACAATCATGTTTTTCTGACCCTATTATGTTAAAACCACCACCCTTGCCCCTTCTTGCCTCCCTAAATATAGTAAAATATTACTTGTATTCAATTCTGTAGCTGCTGGCTCAGAAGTGGTGGTCTGAGCAAATTACAATACTTCCCCATAGGATTGGCTGAGACTGTCAACTAGGCAGATCAGGGGCAGAGCCAGCACAAGTCCAACATAGCCCTGGCCAATCAGCATCTCCTCATAAAGATAAATTCAATCAATGCATCTCTATGAGGAAAGTTCAGTGTCTGCATGCAGAGGGTGGAGACACTGAATGGCAGAACTGCCCCAGGAAGCACCTCTAGCAGCCATCTAAGGAGCGGCCAGTGGAGTTATTTTCTCTGAAAAGACAGTGTTTACTGCAAAAAGCCTGAATGGAATGATTCTACTTACCAGAACAAATACAATAAGCTGTAGTTGTTCTGGTGACTATAGTGTCCCTTTAAGTTTGGAAGCTTAAGAGGGATGTATTGGAATAAAAATTGTATGCACTGGCTGACATTAAAGTTAGTTTAGGTAATGCAGACTTTGGTCTCTCTAACACTGTGGCATGTTCCCTTTCTTCTACACTCACTACATACAGCTTTTCTCTGTCCCAGACTATATACCAGGAACTTCTGCCTGCTAGTAAGTAGGTAAGGAGACAAGTGGACCAGTAAGTGCTAGGGGACAGTCCTTAGAAAGAATGGAGTGAGCGCATCATTAGACGCATTTATGTCAAGCGCAAGGTGCTGCCTGCATAGTATGCCCTTAGTTGGACAGCCTGCAGGATTGGCAGGCAGCCTGACATGCATTCATGCCAGGCTGACCTTCCAATTCTTTGGACAAACATGCCCCTTTTTGGGCATGTTCACCCCTTTTGGCAGGTCTTGTCACGTGATTCGCGCCAGGCACACCCTTTTACCCCGCCCATTGACTTCTTGCTTCACTGGACACTGCTGTTAGGGGTTATGGATTTACTTGAAAAATGAAAGCATAAATTAGAGAGAGATTAGCATAGAGTATGTGTTTTCTTATAACTGCATCCTATGAGTTTCCATCCAGCACCATCTCCATCAGATACATGACGCTTGGGAGGTATGATTGTTTTAGTGTTTTTGGTCAATAAGATTCTGTAATTAGGCCCATCATAATTGTCAGCACCAGGCTCACTGGGCTCTTAATCCGGCCCTGACTATAATCTTGTTCAGATTGCATTACTGGGGACCCCTGTCAGCTAGGGGAGTTCCTTCAGCCTCTCCCCCCACGTTCCCTCTTACTTAACTATCTCAGTTTCAGACCAGTCCACTAATGACAGAAACAGGGCATCATTGTGCAGTATCAGGAAAGAGAAACCTGACACTAGAATATGCTTTACTTAATTAGACTGATCAGACTCCTTCTACTCTTCCCCTGTCAGGATGCTGCAAGGTGACGAGATTTTCCACCTGCACGTATGTGACTCTTTCAGGCATGCCAATGCATTTTTCCAGAATTCCTAGGGTTAGGACACTGATTGGTTACATTAGTGTCCACCCTGGCATGGATGTGGAATGCATAAGAAAGAAGAAGCAGATACATATGCAAAAAAAAGCTTTCAGAGTGAGGCAACTGTCTCATTCAAAGCTAAAGCCTTTGAGATAGTTGTCTCAGAGTGATGTGTGTCCCTTTTAATGGAACTTGTAACCTAAGTTATGGCATGTAGACTAGCTTTCTAGCATGTTGAAATGTTTTAGGATTTAATCATTAAACCAAAAATTGGAGAATTGCAAACTTTTGGTCAAAACTCACTATTTCATAAATTGAATGGAAAAACTACAGTACACAAAGAGTCAGTGCATATGATTACCATTACATCCTGTGCGTGCTTACTGGACTCTTTAAAGTGGATTTACTTTTTTCTTGTATGCATTATCAAACGGATGCATTACATTCATAATGCATTAAGATGTTTTCTGCTCCATAGTAAGGCCTCTGAACCTTCTCCTTTGATGTACACTTATGTCAGGAAGCAGCTGGAATGATGTAGGAAATAGCGCTGATATCCCAGTAGCAAATTGGAGGCCTTACAGCACAAGCTGTGGGATCTTATGCCTGCTATCTGCAGTCCCTGGGCAACCTCAGTAAAGAACACACAGCTATACACTCACTGCTGCCTTCCTGACAAAAGTAAAGTAATGTCAAAGGGATGAGAAAAATACTTGTGCTTGGAAAGTATTCCTTTACTGTGTTAAAGTAGAGATTGTAGCCGTATTAGTCCAGTGATGGAGATGTAAAAAACAGATGCAATTTGTATCTTGTAATACCTTTTTTATTGGACTAACAGAAATTTTTAATGACAAGCTTTTGGGAGAACCTCCCTTTCTTAGGAATTGAGAAAGGGAGGTTCTCCTGAAAGCTTGTCATTAAAAGGTCCAACAAAAAAGGTATTACAAGATACGAATTAAAAACTGCTTTTTACCTTTACTGTGTTAATAAAGACATGTTTTGTTTCAGTAGATGAGGATAGTGGCTCTGAGGAAGAGCCTTTGCACTTTGATCACATTCTGGATTCAAACTACCATTGCCGAAGAAAGAAAAAAATGGACTCTCAGAACAAACCATCTCAGAGCTTCCTGTCTGTCCTCATCAATGTCAATCGTGGCCTGGCCTCTTTGTTCACAGATGTCAAGGTAAAATGATCTGCCAGTTTACAGCCCTGGTGCAATGTAGTAGTTTTGTGTGAAGTGAATTTGCAGGATTTTTCTTTTTGTTAATCTTCTTTGCCAAATATGGAACTAATTTGCAAACTGGACAGATGTTGTCAATTTCAATCCTCTAGTCCCTAACAGTACAATATCCAATGATCTTCTTATATGATTTCAAATCTTCATTGTTCCATGTGTGGTTGCAGGAGGACGTTTAATTAACATGTTGGTGTTGTGTATATTTAGGGCCAATGCTGAGAAATATGCAATCTTACACTTGCAAAAAAACATAGTTTTTTTTTAGTTTTTTTTTTTATGCCATTAAAAATTGTGGAACCACATCAATATAAACACATTATACATACTCCACCATAATATTTTCATTATATAAGTTAAATAGATTCCGAGCAGATGAAAAGTATTCTATAATGAGCATGGAACATTCCATGAGTTCTCACTTATTGTTCCTCATGAGCATCAGAAATGGGACAAATACTTTGTACTCTCTGCTTCTCTTGGCGTTCAAATACTATCAGGAGAGCTGGAGTACACTGGGCAAGGAGCTGCTCCCCCACTTTCCCTTATCCTCCTGGTATCCTAATCCTATCACAAGAGACAAAGCACACCTATCAAAGTTTTGCTTCACCCCTTAGTTAATCATACAGTGACCAGAGGTGACTGATCCACTTTCATTTAGTGAGCTAACGGTTAAGTTCCTTGATTATATATGATGTTAAAAAACATAACTTGCAGTTTTTAGAAAAAGTCGACTGCTCTAAAGTTGAATAGAAATAAGAGTGAATTAATTTCTAGTAAAACTGTTTAAAAGGGCACTATAGACACCAACACCACTACATTTAGTGGTTTGGATCTCTAGATTATTTCCCTTTTCTTTGGTAGATGAAAACATTGCAGTTTCTGCGATTTCTGTGCATGAACATAGGCTGACAATGCTTCTCTACGAGAAGCATCTGATTTGACCAGAGATCATCAAGCATGACTTTCTTACCATGGTGAAGCGAGGAGACTGTCTTGGTATTGGATTACAGGATATTTTTTATTTTTTTTAAATTCTTTATTTTGTTCGTGCAGTTATAACAGTACAGCAGGTCTCGCCACAACAGCGATAAAAGACATGTTAATGAACATAACAGATAACATTGCGACTGTAGGATAGCACATTTTATAAATTTTTATATTAGTGTAGTTAGGACTGTCATGCGTGTAGTAAAAGAAAAGTGTTGCTTCTTATATCCTTTGAAATTGAGGATGCATGTCAGAGAAGGTTGCCTGGAAGGGGTGTAGCCTGTAGTCTGTCCCCCAGGGGGATGTATTCTAGTCTGGAGAGTGTGTGTAGGGGGCTAACGATCCCACTGAAAAGGTAGTGTTTTATGTGGTATCTTGTTAAGGGTCAGTGGGGGGGGGGGAGATAAGGGCGTTTGGGGAGGTTCGCCATCATAACTGGGAAGAGTGCCTGTCAGGCATAGTTAAAGCCCATTTACCCGCCCGAAGCTATAGGTCATAATAACCATGAACATAAAGCAAAAACTGTTAAGTCCTGTGCGGTTTGAAACATAAAGCAAAAACTGTGAAGAGCATATAGCAAGAACTGTTAAGTCCTGTGCGGTTTGTAGTCCGCTGGGAGGTTTTCAGTGCCCCGGCTTAGGTGCAGGATTCCCTCTGTGGGCCGCTGGTATGAATGGTGTGACCCTCTCTGGGTCCCAGAGTGTCGGTGCCGCTTGGGTCGCGGTCTCAGCGGCTGTCGCGGTCACTCCCATTTGTAGCAGGATGCTCGGTATTTCAGAGGCCTCCCGGACTTTCACTATTCCCGTTTCCCGGGTAATGAGTAGGCAGCGAGGTGAACCCCATTTGTATGGTGTTTTGCTTGCCGCTAGCGCCTGAGTGAGTGGACGCAGGGATCTGCGCCATTCCATGGTGGCCTTAGATAAGTCCGGATAGAAGGTGAGATCGTGATCCTCAAATCGTAATGGCGTTATGTGGCGGACTGCCGCCATAAAGGCTGTGCGGTCTTGCCCCTGTTGGAACCGGAGGATTATGTCTCTAGTTGGCCGTTGTATTCCTGTAGCGGGTCCCGTTATACGGTGCCATCCGGCTAGTGTCATAGCCTTGGCTTGTTTGGCGGAGAAAAGCTTAGTGAGCAGCCTGCGGATGAAGTGTGGGAACTCTGCCATCTCCATGGTATCAGGTAGGCCGCGGACCTTGACATTCTTCCATCTCCGCTTGTCCTCGAGAGCTGCCATGTGTTCCTCGGAGCGTGTTTGGGAGTGATGCAGTTTGGTCAACGACTGCTCCAGGGTCGCGATGCGGGTCTCGTGTGCTTCTGTTGTGCGCCTGTTGTGCGCTCTGAGTTGTGGAGACGGGCCGCAAACCCGTTCACCTCCTCCCTGAACTGTCCTATGTCGGCCGCGATGTTGCGGCGAAGTTCAGCCAGCATGCCCCGCAGGGACTCCTCCGTAACCGGAGGCTTGACCGGTAGTGTCTGCGGAGAGGTCTGCACCTTGTTGGGGAGCTGGGCCTCAAAGGGCGTCCCGTCGTACAGGGATTCTTCGCTGGTAGTGCGTGATGGGGCATCCATCACGCATCCATCACGACATGACAGGCCTCTGTGAGGAGTGCGGCCTCCACAGCAGATCGCCGATATCGGCCGTGGATGGAGGTCGATCTGGCTTGCATTTCTTATTTTTGCGTCCCATGGTATGTGGGAAGTCTCCGGCTGCAGAGGGTTCTGTTTGTTAGTCGTTATTTTTGCTTGTTTTTGCCTTTTTGGTGCCGTTTTGCTCGGAGCTGCAGTAATGTGCGTCTTGCTAGTATGGCTGTTCGCTCCGCCCCCGGATTACAGGATATTTTAATGGTCTTTTTGGCTTTTATTTTGTTAATAAAGTGGAGGGCCCTACATCTAAAACAAGTAAGGAGTACATGTAACTTGAAAATAAATATATAACCAATCATTGTTGGTTTTTTTGTTGTTTAATTCCAGCACGTCGATGGAAAAATCATGGAAGACAAACATGGTGAATTCTGGCTTGAATTTCGCAGTGGTTCATTGTTTAGTGTTACTAAATACGAAGGCTTTGAAGATAAAAGCTACATCTGTCTTCATGCAAACAGTCTGAGCTTGTACCATCAAGGTAAATAGTTATGCTTTGTGTACAACTGTTTTAAAGGAGGAATTTTTCCACCTATGTTGAAAGAGTTGATTTAAAGGGTTAGTGTTGGTAAAAAAAAAGCACCCTATTTTTTTTTTTTTTTACTATTTATGGCTGCTGTAAGTTTATACACACTGGGCAACTGAAGATCACTTGGTGACACAAAACCATTCAGCATCCCTGTGACATTGCTACAGCCAATGCTACAGTGGTAGCATTCACTTTATTATTTTTTCTAGGTATCCCCGCGTTGTTCATCATGTATTGATTGTTAGCATTAATCTGCTATATGTCAAGGTGTGCATCCTTGGTCTCAAATTCCATTTGTGATAACTGCCTTTTAAAGGAATTGTCCTCTTTGTGGTAGTTTGGATGATGTTATAGTTTAGGTTTCTGGAGCAAAGAGTGTTTTCCATCTCTTAAAACAAGAGATCTCTAGTTCAAGAACCAAGTAAACCTCTCCTAATCAATTTTTTAGTTTTTTGGTGAAATACTTTTGATTCAATATGTAGATCCCTTTTAAAGATGCGTGCCCCCCATTTGATATCAGTCAGGGTGTTTTAGGGCTCACAAGACTCACCTTAGGAGTAGAGATTGTCAATCTGTGTTCTCAGGCTAGATTCTGAACCTATTAACAAAATGATTTTTGTTTAACATATCTGAAAGGTAGTACACTTTCAGCCAATATTTGATATTTGTACAGTTTTATTTCTGCTTGCACAACATTTTATAGGAAAGGTCAACAGACAGTTGTTCTTATTTAAATACCTATATTTTAATTTTGTGGGTGTTGGTACCAAAAGATAAGACATTTATGCAATGAACCTATTAATAATAATATTGACATTTATACTTATTACTTGTGCTTTTTTAAAATTTTGATATATATTCATATGGTGACGTTACATGAAATTTGCACCGTTTGGCTGAAGATGTCTCTCCTGGGACTTTAAGATCCAATTTTCCTGAGTTGATTCCACTCTAAAAATTCCAATACTAAATTTTTTTTTTTTAAATTAAAACACGTACTATTATCTAACACCTTCTTCTTTAATGTCACAGGGATGCTGAATGGTGTTGTGTCACCAAGTGATCTTCGGTTGCCCAGCGTGATCCGTCCCCTCTGGTTAGAGCCAACCATCTACTCATCTGAAGAAGATGGGATTGCAAGTCGTAATGCCACTAATGGAGTTGGAGTGGACACTCTGAGCATGCTGACTGTAGCAGTTAAAATCCAATCCGATAAAGCTGAAAGTAACACAAAGGTTGTTTCATTGTTGTAATTCAATTAGATTAACAAAATCTAAATTCATAAAATGTCAAATCTGGATTGCCAGGGGGTGAAGTAAAAAAAAAAAAAAAAGATCTGCATATATGTCCTTCTGCCTACTGCCTTAGGTAGCGCGTTATGACAATTGTGTAAACTAACGTATCTAATTTTACTTGTTCATCTCATCTTGCAAGGTAGATACTGCATTTGTTGTGGTTTGTAAGAATACGTTAAGGGACCATAGATGTTTATTATGACCATTGTCTTTTTAGTGGGTATTCTTGGGCTATGCAATAAGGGACCCTGGATGTTTATTATACCCATTGTCTTTTTAGTGGTTATCCTTGGGTTGTATCCACAACATTGACAGTCTTATTCACCAAAGTGCAAATCATCAGGACTCAAGATTAAATGATAAATTTAAAGGACCACTGTACTTACTACTTCATCTTAATTAAGTGGTTTGGATGCAGTAGCCCTGTCTTTTTGGTCCTGCAATGTAAAACATTTCTTTTTTGGAGATACGGGAATGTTTAGCAGGGCTAAGTACCCCTTTATTGGCTGTCTTCCTTGCAACCACTAGATGCTACATCCGTACCTACAACCAAATCAGCTTTTTTTTTTTGTATTTAACGTCTGCATTGCATGATGTTATTCACTCCCTCTTTTGATCAAGTGCACATAACTTTATCCTGTTTTACATTGTGATTTCCCCCTCAATGTCTTCTAGGAATTTCTTGTTGCCGTGGGATTGCGTGGCGCCACTCTCCAGCACCGTGTCCTGCCATCCGCTCTCACTTGGCATGAGCAGGTAACACTGTTTCCAGTCTGACTCACTGTTTAAAGTAATTTGTTTTCCTATTAACATATTTAACATATGTCCTTTTTATTCACTACAGATTTTACAGTTTCTGAATATTTTGGATGAGCCAGTTTTAGGGTACAATCCACCAGCCTCCATAACAACCTTTCATGTTCACCTATGGAATTGTGCTCTGGATTACAGGTATTTGTGCTTGTGTAGCGCTCCCATTATTGTTTATCCTCAGATGGTTTGTAGTTGTATATACATTCTTTTAGGATTTTATGGGATAAGGTTCTACGTAATAATGTGTAAATCCTGGTGTCCTACATTTTTCTTGTGCGTTATTTTGGCACCTGCGATAATCTATTTGTTTAGATGGATATGCTACTTTATGGATCTTCTCAAATGGTCAACTTTTCTTCATTAGTGCAATTAGATACTGTAAAATTATGTTTTTACAGATTCTTATGTGTGAATACAGTGCCTGGTCACTCTTAATGGAGCCCAACTTTGCTGATGGGGTTAAAAACAAAATCATGGGGAAGAAAAGTGGTAACGAGTATAATATAATAAAAGAGAAAATAGGCTGTTGGTGAAGTGATAATTAGAGGGGACAATCGGGTAGATGTAGGACGAGATGAAAGAGATAATGATAGTGGATAAAGAGTGATGGTGATGGGGAATGATGAGAAAGAGAGTGAATATGGGGAAATAACATGGAAGGCAGTGCAATGGATCAGTTGGTTATAGAAATAAATAATGAGAGTGTATGAGATATGAGACACATGATAGGACAATGGTGAGATGATGAGAGGAGTGACAGAATGTAGGGGTAGTAGATAATGAGACACAAAACAGATGGTGATGAGTGAGATGATGAGAGAGGGTAAAGTGTTTAGTAGCTTATATAATGCTGCGAAAGGAACATTGATGGAGATAGGTAATGACAAGAATGACAGTGTGGAGATATCGGGGATACTCGGTTTGATTAATGATGCGCCATAACAGGTTACACACATACCATATGTCTATCTGTGTGAAAAAGTCAGTTCCCCTCGAACCTTTGTCACCTTACTCAAATGGCTGATGATATAAGCTGCTGTTAGTGTACAAATTGAGGGCCATTGCAAATTCCCTGGACTATAACCACTGCTGAGCTTTTAAAAAAAGAAAGAGATTTATTCAGAAAACTTTAATTTCCTTTACTTTATTTTAATGACTAATCCGTCCCATTTTCTTTTCCAGGCCTCTATTTTTACCCACCAGGGCTCTGTTGACTGTAGAAACTTTCAGTATTTCTTGCAGCGTTGCACTGGACAAGTCTTCTACTAACCTCAGGTAAATCATATTTATTGAAAAACTTAATAATTCTCGTTGGTCTTCGTGTCTTGATGCAATGCTGCTTATCACCAGCAGATGTCATATAGACCACGAGCTATGAAATGTTCTCTCACACACTGAGAAGCATGGTTGTTGTTTTTGCCATCTACAGTTTTTATTGATTTTCCAGAATAAAAAACAAGTGTGAAGCATGCCATTATATAGACTCCATAGCATATTCCAATCCTGATAGTTTCAAGTAGATCATTTCAGGTTTAACAACATATTAAGAAAGGGAGAACTGTAGTCGCACCCCAAGTGGTCAGCTTGAAATTTAGGAAGTTTGGTTGCATATTCTCTCAGCCATGTAGTTAGTGTTCCAGTCACCTGCTAATTGCTTTGTAAGTAAAGTTGGTAAATGTCTAATGGTGGGAAAATAGTAGCATTAACACAATAAAGCCTTGTTCTGGTTTTATTGTGCAAACCTTAAAGGGTTACTTTTAATAAAATACTATTTCTGGTTAGAGTAACCTTTACTGGCATGGTTCCCTTTTACCTCTCAAAGTAAAATAACTAAAGTTAAAACTTATCTATACTTAGCATCAAGACCAAGTTCCCCAAGCAGTGTGATCTTCCTCCAGTGCCATCACTCCCCTCTCAATGGAGGATGAGGGATGTCTTAGAGGGAAGGCTTAGGCAGCATTGCGGGGGGGGGGGGGCAGGTCATCATTGGTCGTCAGTCACCAGCATTTTATGCAATGTGCACAGAATTCACTTTAGCCAGTCTAGGCAAAAGGAAGAAGGAGAACCTATAAGCTAAATTATAGGCAATAGGAAGAAGGAGAGCCTATAAGCTAAATTATTGGTAATGACGATAAGGAATGATAACAGAAATGTAGTTGAGCAATCTGCCCCAGACAGGTTATTAGATATCAGGAAAACCTATAAGTGATATTACAAGTAAATAAAGAAAAGGATAACCTAGTAATGAAATTAAAGATTACAGTTAGACAAAATACAACTAGACAGAACTAAACAGAATATAAAGGTTTGAAGTAATACAGATTAGTTAGACGTTTAGTGGATTAACCTCTTTGGTTTGGAGGTAGTACTGCAGGTTTTAGATATAGTTGCAAATATCATGAATTTTTGTAATATCCAGGTTAGTTGCGTAGTTTTCGGTAGGTGTACAGTAGGTTAGAAACAAAGTAATAAGGAATCAAAATCCAGTATGGAATTAAGCAGGTACAAATTGTTGTAATGAAACAGAATAAAAGAAACATAATTTTTGCTGATAGCATCCTGTAAGACTCATTCCTAGTAAGTTCTCTGCAGTGATTTGTGCGCCTTTAGAAAAGGAAAGGAAAAGAGGGGTAGCATCATGATACGTGATGACATAGAAGATAATGTACTAAGATGCTGATGATGAAGCAAGAGCTTTTTCTTTTCACCTTAAAAAAAATAAAAAATAAAATTTAAAAATAAAAGACCAAATGTACTGTATTCATTAAATGTAAATTTCAACACCTTCTGTTTGTGCAAAATAGATATCTTACACCCCCCCAAATAAAAACACACTCCTTAGTGGCATATTAAAAAGACATGCTTGTGTTTCTTAATAAAACAAGGAGCATATGAACAATGCCCCTTGTTAGCAGAAATTCAAAAGGTACTGTTTAAGCTGGTTAATGTCTGCTCTCAATAATCCATTGAATACATTTTTTTAGATCTATTAAATAAAATAGATACAATTAAGCAAAGTGCTCTTGGCTGGAGATTTTAATCGTATATTAGATGCAAGTTTAGATAGGAAAAAAAACTAGAATGAGTGGGTTAAGAACAAAAACACTAGATCTCAATTAGCTCATTTTCAGTGCAGTATTAAAAGACTTGGCCTGTTGGATATATGGCGTTTATATCACCCCGGGGTAAGAGATTTTACATGTTTTTCTACATTTTTTTTTTTTTTATATTCAAGGATTGATTTATTTCTGGGAAACAAGATAATGGCAAATAGGGTCAACAGTGTTTTCTGATTGATGAAATTATGTGGTCAGACCACAATGCTTTAATTATGGATCTCTTACCGCATAATAAAAAAGCCAAACTGAGTGGCGCCTAAACGATAATATTCTTTTAAAAAAAAGAAAATAGAAAATATATATTAGAGATGATGGAAAAGATGTATCCCTGCCAGAAGTATGGAGCGCCTATAAATGCATTTTAAAAGTATATCTTTTCAAATTGGGAACAATCGCAAAAGCTAGAGGAGTCTCTCTCACTGAACTGTAAATAAATTGTTATAAGCTCTCTAAAGAAAATAATCTTACCAAATTAGGAGAAAAGTATAAAACTAGTATCAAGATAAAGTAAATGAGTTATTAACCCCTGCATGACACATGACTGAAATATTCCATCATGATTCCCTTTTATTTCAAACGTACCTTTTTCCAGCACTGGGTGGAGAGCTCTCCCCCTTCGATCCTCCTTCTCTCCTCCCCGTCGGCTGAATGCGCACGCGCAGCAAGAGCTGTGTGTGCATTCAGCCGGTCACATAGGAAAGCATTCATAATGCTTTCCTATGGACGCTGGCGTGCTCTCACTGTGATTTTCACAGTGAGAAGCACGCAATTGCCTCTAGCGGCTGTCAATAAGACAGCCGCTAGAGGAAATAGGGGAAGGCTTAACCCTCTGAAACTGCTATGTTTATGAAAAAATGGGTTAACCCTAGCTGGAACTGGCACCCAGACCACTTCATTAAGCTGAAGTGGTCTGGGTGCCTAGAGTGGTCCTTTAATAGAGGAAAAACATAGGAATCTCAAATATTTAAAAATACATTGGTATTATAAGAGTAATGGAGCAGATAGGCTACTCTCAAATAAATTAAAGAGCAGAAAAATAAAAAAATATCTATAGGATTAGAACAGAAGGAGTTATGCATAACTCCAAAAAAAAAAAATCTGAGTAGCCTTTAATGATTATTACAAACAACTATATCATTTGAACACAGATAAAAAGAAACCTCCTTCTTTAGAATATTATGTAAATAGAAGAATGCCAAAAGTATCTATGGAACTGTTGGAAACTCTTAGTACTCCTATGACACAAGGAGAAATAAAATTAGCAATAAATAAATTAAAAATAAATATAGCACCAGGACCTGATGGATATACAAACAGGTTTTATAAAATATTTAGGGATCTATAGTCCAAACGTTTCTCCAGAGTGTTCAATAAAATAATTATCAATCGCACTTCTCCTAAAGAAATGTTACGTGCAAACATCGATCCCATTCTGAACCCGGACAAAAACCCAGGAATATTATCAATTTACCGTCCCATCTCCCTTCTAAATGGAGATGTTAAGATCTATGCCACTGTCCTTGCTAAGAGGCTGAAGATAAGTATCCCAGGATTGATACAAAAAGATCAAGTTTGATTTGTACCAGGCAGACTTGCTACTAGTGGACGAAGGCGGGTTATGGATACATGCAATGCGGCACAACTTATGAACATCCCCCATCTGACCATGACATTGGGAGGGGATTTGAGATTGAGATGGGATTTTCTCGATAAAACTCTGATGGCATTTTGATAAAATTTGGATAAATAAAATAAAGTAATAAAAGAAATGCTGTATTTTATTTCAGGATAATTTTGGATGAAGCCACTCTGCATTTATCGGATAAGTGTAACGCCATAGCTGTAAATCTAAGCCGAGGTGAGTAAGCAGAGATTATAAAGTGATGGATGCAAGATAAACTGGTTATAATTTCAGGTCTGAAAAATTATATTGAGAGTGATGTCAAGTAAGACCCAGCGTAAATCTAGTCTCACACTATGTAATCCCAGATTTGATTTTATCACTATGAAGGATAACATTGTACTTATCTCATGCAATATTCAATTCGTTTATCAAGTTATAATTTAATACTTGCATTTCTAATAGTGAAAAATAATGATTATGGCAGGGCTGTAGTAGCCAATAAATAATACATTTGCTGGCAAAGCATCATGGGATTTATAGTTCTGCAAAAACTGATGAACTGCTTTTTGACAATGCCTGAAAACAGGTCTTAAAATGAGATGGATACTTTTTTGATGCGATTTCATCTGAAATAATTTATTTTCCAGATTATGTTCGAGTTGTGGACATGGGACTCTTAGAGCTGACTATACAAGCTGTAAAAATTGGAGAAAAGGTGCCATTTTAACTTAGTTGTGTATTTTGTAAAAAAGTGGTTATATCTGCCTTGCCCAGTAATTTATTTTAAAAACAATATACATTTTCCAGGCTCCATGGGTCCTAGAGTATAGATATAAGTCATTTATTCTAAAAACAAAACAAAAAAAACCTTCCGGTATTTTATTTATTTATTTTTTAATTATTAGAGCAGACCAGAGAGGTGCCTACCTGTATATAAGGGATCAGTGACGGTTTCACATTAGTTATTTAAATTGTATGAATTGGCTATATTCAACCAGTAAATGCAGCTTACATTTTCAGAAACGTAACTAACCATCTTCATCTCTATAACTAAACGCTACAGACCTCATTTCCTTTGTCCACGTTGCATGGAAGCTTAGTACAAAGATCTAAGCCATGCAAGAACTCATAACATAGTTTTATGCTAGTTACACGATCTTTATATCGGCTTACATTTTAGTCTCAGCCCTAAAGGTATAACATTTGTGGAATACCAAGCATCATTATTATTAAAGTGAAGAAAATCATAATGCTTATATATATATATATATATATATATTTTTTATTTTTTTATTTTTTTTTACTGTGTTTTTTTTTTTATCATTGAGAAGCTCCCAAATTTAGGCCATTTTAGCAGAGTGGGGAAAACAATCTTCCATCTAAGTATAGCAGGATATTTTATTCTGCAATTCTTCTATGTATGTAAATTTTGGCAGGTTGGTTTTCAACTCACCACAATGCTTTGTTTAATGAATAAATTCCAATGTGTTTATTCCTCAATATTTTAAAGGAACAGGCCAAACATTATAACCACTACAACACACTGTAGTGGTTATGGTACCAGGAAGGCTTTGGCATTATCCTAGGTAAGATGTCAAACCATTTTCAAACAGTTTGGCACCTCATCTGGGATTTGCCAGGTGCCAGTCTCCTCCCCCAAAAAGCCAGAAGCCCTCTGCATTGAGCTAGCCCAGCGGTGGACCCCACTTAAGTTGTCAAATTATTCGCAAATGGCTTATCTTCTTACCCTAGGATAGTGACACCACAGCCACTAAATTGGCTAATTGAGATGTTTATCAATGTTTAACCCAGAACTTCTAGAAGGCAAATCCATTCTTTACTGTCATTGTACAGCTTTCTGAGCTTACTAGGAAACATCTACAGTAACAATGTACCCCCCACTCACCTAGACATTATTACTGAGGCTGCAGCAATGTGTATTGGAATATTATTAATTTGTATCTATGGATTTTCAGACAAGAGGTTTTAACTCATAACCCTCTTTGTCAACACTTTGTGATCATTGTCCTCTTTTGTTCTGTAAACTCCCTAAAGACTCAAAAATAGATAAATCTATCATTTAAAAATATAGGTTATATGGCAAGATTCTATACAACTGCTGATGAAACAAGTAGGATATCACTATTCCTTGTTGGTAAAGGTCCAGATTATGATAATGATAAGGAGCATCACTGATCTTTAAAGCAGAACTGTCTTTTTCCTGGAGGTAACTGTATTAATAATCCTCAGCTCTCCACAATAATTTCCAAGAGTTTATTTAACTATATAATAATAATAACAACTAGTATTTATATAGAGCCTTTCTCCCAGTGGGCCTCAAAGCGCTTTTCAGAGCACGCTCTCGGAATTAACCAAATCGGCAGCTGAATAGTAATAGATGTTATTTTTACCCAATTGATGGTACTCATTTTATTGACCTCGGATGGATGAAGGGCTGAGTTGACCCTGCCGGGATTTGAACCTGTGACCTTGCATTTTTGGGCAGGCTTGTAGTCAGGGAATTTGCCAGCTTATTGATCAACATTTCCTTATCCCAAAGTGTCTCAAGCCTCATGTTGTCAAAAATATCCTACTATTTTGGATACTTGAAGAAACTTCACTTGGAAATCATTGCAAAGTGCTGAGGACTATGATTACTGTTAACTAGTGATGTCCTGAACGGCTCGCCGCGGACGGCGAACATATGCGCTGTTCGGTCCGCCACCTATTCGTCATCATTGAGTAAACTTTGACCCTATATTTCACAGTCAGCAGACACATTCCAGCCAAGCAGCAGCAGACCCTCCCTCCCAGGCCCTCCCACCTCCTGGACAGCTCACTAAGAATGCAGCTTCACAATGAATGTAAAATGGATGCTGTCCAGGAGGTGGGAGGGTCTGGGAGGGAGAACCGTTCGGCGAACCATTCGGGACATCACTGCTGTTAACTAAACTGAAGCTCAGAACAGAATCTTTAAACTGTGTGCACCCGCGTTCAGATCTTGGGAAATTTCCATAGTGGGTGCCTGATACTTGTCACATTGTGACTTCCCTGAAAGTGACACATCCTCATTCTCTTACACTAGAAATTATATTGAAGCAATTTCTCTTGTTAGTAGCGAAGCAGAAGTGAGTTAAACACTTAATATTACAGCACTGCCACATTCAAGGTTAAGCAGGTTTTCTGCAGAGTAAATGTGTGCAAGCAAATGCATTTTACATTCCTTCCAGGATGCCATATGCATACATACATATTTATGTATGAAACAGTTGTTTGCTTTGGCTGTACCTTAGCAACATAGTCATACAGCTTAAATAAAGGAGAATTTTGAAAAAAAAGGGATCCATTAGTTGTGCAATAATATTGTGTAACAATTCCGCTTTAAGGGTCGAAGTGCCAGACGAGTAAGTTGTGAATTGCTTTCTAACTTGTTTCTTTTAAATATGATGTTTATTATAACTGGTTGGTTATATAGTTGCTAGCTGGTTCTAACAACTTTTCTCACTCCCTGGCAGTATAAACCACGTTTTCAGATGCATTGTTCTAGTGATGTCATACATATTCGCACATGTTCCGATTCATGCGCTGCCTTAATGAACCTAATCCAATACATTGCCAGCTATGGTGATCTAAACCCACCGAACAGGACAGAAACGTCTTCTGGGGTGCACAAAAAAAGTAAAAAGGTGGGTCAAGTATTATAGCTGCTGGTAATTCACATATGAATGAATGCATTATTAGGAGGAAAATAGCTCGCTATTCACAATAAAGGTTATCACGTTACACTACAAAACACTTTTTCATAAACAAACGCTTTTGAGAACAGATTATAAACAAAGAAAAAAAGGGGCTCTCCCCATTCACTGAGATCAACCCTATTTAACCAGTTCGGTAATGTAGAACCTACACTTCCGCATTATCATCAGTTCTGTCCAACATGGTATTTTCCGGCGGATAAGACGACTGGGCGTATAAGACGACCCCCAACTTTTCCAGTTAAAATATAGAGTTTGGGATATACTCGCCGTATAAGACTTCCCCTCTTCCAATGCACACCAAATAAAAATTAGCCATGATGTACAGTGAGCAGACAGAGCTACACAGCAAGACATTAAATAATGATATTCTGAAATAGCATTTAAAGCCCAGGTATGTGCCAGGCTGTTTGGGCATATAATCCATGCCTGCTGGTCTAGCACACAGGCGGCTAATTGCGATATATTCTTTTTCCTCCCCCCCCAATCCTCCCTACGTTCTTCTCATCTCCCCTTCCCTGTGCAGAGTGGGTGGCCGAGCTCCTCTTTGTCCTGTCAGTCCGGCCGGGTACCGCACGGTACAGGAGATTCAGTTACCTATTCCCGACTGGACTGAAAGGAAGTGAGCACTCAGTGTGCACTTCCTTTCAGTCCGGCAGGGAACAGGTAACTGAATCTCCTGTACCGTGCGGTACCGGGCCGGACTGACAGGACGAAGAGGAGCTCGGCCACCCACTCTGCACAGGGAAGGGGAGGTGAGAAAAGAGGCAGTGCGGCAGCCATCTGAGCGCTCTCCATAGAGCGCTCAGGCGGCTGCAGCACTAGAAGGGCCGGCGATGGGGGCGCAGGGCGCCCCCGGCAGCTATTTAGACCCTATACCCGGCGTATAAGACGACCCCCGACTTTGGAGAAGATTTTCCAGGGTTAAAAAGTCATCTTATACGCCTGAAAATACTGTAAGCACAGAACCAAATTCTACAATTCAAGTCCCCTAAAAAGAGGACGCATTCTGTGTGCAAGGGAAAGCCCTATTTTTGTGTTGGTGATTGATGGAGTGTACTCAAAGTGGGTTGGCCAAGCCTGTCGATGATATCCAGATTGGATGAAAGTGACCATAATAATGCAGCATTTTAAATTGACCTGTAGAGATTTTATTTCAGAGTGTCCTTTTAAATACAGCTTAACGGAGGTGATATTTTTTTCAAGACAGGTTATACAAATCCTTCTTGTATCTTTCTTAATTAGAAACCTTTTAGCTTTGTGAGGCTATGAAATAATCTTTATAACAAATATTTAATCCAGATATATCTGGGGTTACAACAGGGATAGCCGAAAGGTTGGTTCCCCAACTGTTACAGAACTACAATTCCCATGATGCTTTGACAGCTGCAGTGTTGGCAAAACATAATGGGTGTAGTGGCTTTGATAAAGCTGGAGTACTTCTTCAAGACTGCCCCTTTTCTACAACTTGTACTTAAAAGGGAGTTTTACCTTTTCTAATAGTTGATTTCCATTTCAGGCACTCCAATAAGTGCTATTGATGTGTGTACTGGAGTGAATAGGAAAAGAAATAAATATATGAAAACACTTTTGCCTCCATAGTATTTCTTGGTGCTGGCACAACCATCTTTATATAATGCAATAGACAACTTCTTGCACAGTGCACTCATGCTTATTAATGTGGGTTTGATTTACATAGTATGCCAGAGTGTGCCTTGACATTCTTGCATATGATGAAAATTTATATATATACATATATAATACATTTTTAATTATTAAATAACCAATCCTTTTCATAATTTCATGAGTTTTACAGTTGTGTAAATGTGAAATAAATTACCCTTCTCCATTAATGACTAAATTCAATGAGTGTGTTTGAATGTTAAATACATACATTATTAGCCTACATGAATGTTCTGTCCATTGCAGACTGATAAAAGTGATGGGTCCAGTTCTCAAGGTTCTGTGCTGGCTGATGCAGAGCAGCAGATATTAAGTGACTTAATGAGTGATGCTATGGAAGATACAGACTTGCAGCAGGCTGGCTCTCCAATGAACCTTCAAATGAATGGTAAAAAACAGTCACTTAGATATATTTTAAAAAGTTAGCATTTTATTAGCTTGTTCTGTAGGATGGTACCACTAGTTCATAGTTAGAAACTCTTCTATACCTTTATTAACCTAATTCCCACATTAAAGGCATTTTACCACCAACATAATTGACCAAGCCTTTCAAATGTCTAAAAACAAGGGTGAGAAAATGAGTGAGAATGTGTGTGTGCTTGCACACTGCATGCCTACTTGGGTATTGTATAGAAAATAGTTTCAGCTCGTACCACCATTAAATAATAATTTTTTATTTTTACCAAGTCGTGTTAGGCATGACCGGTGCATTTTAAATATAGAATGATCTCCATAACTTATTTATCCCATAAAATTGCAGATGTTGCATCTGTCTGTCTTACTCCGTTCTTTATCACCTCCTATCCTTTGGCCTTGCTCACATTACATTACTTGCTCCTTATTCTTTGTTTAATTGTCTTCATCCAACCGCATTAATTTCGGACTACGGCCTATTGACATCTCTGCAAAAAAAACAAACACACACACACGAACACACACACTGTAGTGTTTGCTATTTGTCCTCCATTTCTATTTTAGTTACGTGATAGAATCATTATTTATATATAAAGAATTAAGCATTCAGACCTAAGATAATGCTCTACAGAACAAGACTTTAATGAGCAGTTATGTGGGAAAACTCATGAATACAATCCATGTAAAGGAGTTTGTTGAGGTTGTTGTACATTTAATTTCTGTCTGTATTTTAATTAGTCACATTTGCTTTATTAAGGAATTTCTGGGATTAAATCCGAATCTTTAGAGCAGCCGTGCTCAGATCTCTTCCTGTTTCCTGATGAAAGCAGCACCATGTCTGAAGAATCCAGTCCTGCATTTTCTGCCGCAACTCCCCACCTTCTAAGTGAAGCGATAATGGATGCTCATTCAGAAAGTGATGACTTCTGTATTCTTTATGCACCTAAAGCAGCTGTTTTGGTGAGAATTTTAAACGGCCCTCTTGGCCCTCGGGGAGAACATATTTTTGAAACAAGAAGTATGAACATACCATTGAGTAAATGGAAGTAAATGAAAGGTTTTGCTTTCTCAGTATGATGAGAGCACATGCAGAGATCTTTCTGAACTTTTGTGATATTAGGCTCATCACTCTTGGAAAGGCAGAGCACAATCACAAACCATTGCCCTTCTAGATCCATAGTTCTGGGTCTGCCCTTCAAGGGAGATGTAAGAATTGACATCTTAAGGTTTATATTAAGGAAGGGGTAACCCTTAGAACTATTATCTGCTGCTACAGGTGTAATATTTCAGCATGGTTGGGGGAAGCTGTGCCTCCTTTCTTGCTACCACATAGAAAAATGTTCTCCCTCTCAAGCCACAAGGCCAGTGAGCAGATGACAGGCAGACCTAGTTGACGTTCAACTTGAACTGGCAACAGTATTAAGACCCTAGAGCATCATCTAACCTAAGTGAACTTTAATTTTTTTTTTCCCATGTAGGAACACACTGGCTTATTACCATATTTTCTTATAGTAGAACTTTCGAGGAGTATGGAGATCCCTGACCAACCCTACTCTTCTACACATATTTTTGTTTTTTGTTAGCTGTCTTTTGCATAAGAAGTACTGCAGTAGTGCTTGAGAAGTACACTTTTTTTAATGCGAAGTTCACACTACATTATATTAAAGAGACAAATTGGTGTCTTAGCTCTTCCATGAGTAACTACAGTGCTTCATTTGTTTACACTTTATTAGGGTTTTTGGACCATTTTATGCAGCTTCCGCTTGATTCACATTTAATAGTTTGAGAAGCTTAGCAATAAAAAAAAATTAAAAATTATTTTTTTAAATCTAAAATAGCCCAGAGTGACCTCTCACAAGCCAAAAAAGCTGCGGAATGTGATAAGAGAGAGACATTGAGTCTTTTTGTATTTAGTCTTCCGTGAATATTCCTGTCCTCTGTCCTCCCTGTAAAGAGGGTTCAAAATTTGAGTTTCACGCTGGAAAGGAAAAATAATGCACAGACATTGCATGACGTTTTGGAGAGTTACTTTGATAGTCATTCAGATCAGATCCCTGGTGCGGAGATTCGAGGGGAGATATTGTCAGCTAGTGATGTGTTTACCCAAGTGTATTGCTCCTTCATTTGGAATACCATTTTGCAAAATGCTTACATTCCAAAGTTGCAGGATACTGTTATGGCCTTCATGTTCTAGTAGCAAGTCTGGTCTCTGATCATCTCAAGATATTTTTGTGCAGTTGTTAATAACTTGCTTAGAGACCAACAGGGGCTCAGGCATGGACATATTAGATAATTCTATGTGTTTTTATCTACCTCTGTAAGAGTTAATCCAGGAAGTACTTGTGGGAGTTGGTCAGGATTTGTACTGTTTGAGTGTGTTATAGCTCTTCAAATAGGATGCAGTGAATAGTGTGATTGCTAAGGACTATCTCTTCATGTGCTGTCACTATACAGAGTTATCGGTGAATAAAGATCTTTTTATGTCTAATGTTTTGCCTCTAAAATTCCTGTCTCAAAAGGATAACTAAAATCATCATAACATTTCTTCCGAGGGCCTGTCAAATCCAAATTGCATAATCAAACATGTATTTGAAGTTTTTCATTTCTAAGTTAATGTTGGATCTATTTTTATATAATGTGTTTACTTGTCAGAAAAAAGATGAAGAGCCATCTGTGAGGAAGTTGGTTGAAGATATAATATTAATAAAAGAGAACCACTTCAGCTTCCCTACACAAAAGATGGACAACAGTAAAGCCCCAGTCAATTTTCCAATACCCGTCATCCGTTATGTGGTTAAGGAGATCTCATTGGTTTGGCATCTTTACGGGGGCAAAGATTTTGGCCATGGTTTTACTCCTGCTTCGCCGGCCAAAAATTACATGTAAGTAATCTCCGTAACAGTGTCCATCCATTCACACACTCACGTTCTACTTCTCGTTATTGTGTAGGCATGCTAAGGACTGTACAAATTCAAACAAATTTTAAATGTTTTCTGGCATAAATGGTGATACTGTCATATGTATGGTAGGCAATATTTTGTAAATAGATAGATTAAATAGGAGACCAGACAGTGAACACATTAATTAACTTTTAAAAAGAGTGTCTGTACACATGAATTAACTTTAAAAAAAATGTTGGGCAAAGGCCATGGCATTTTATTTTCATAAGAAGGGCATAGCAAAACTCTTAATAAAAATGTAATGTAAAACCTCACTTTAAAACATCACTAAACACTACAAAACAACACTGTGAATATCGGAGAGACTAAAGATAAAGGGATTGAGTAGGCCGCAGGTCTGTCCCAAGCAAAATCCTCCAAACATGATCGGATCTGCAGCTAGAGTAACTACACTTGAGCTCGCAAGGTTAAAGGATAGCATCTGTGTTTTTTTTTAAATCAGTAGATGCAGACAATTCTGAAAAGAGAGAAAAAAAGCTTAAATACCAGTTTTTCACACAGCTTTCAGGAGATGCAACGGAGTAGGGCAGTCAGGCCCCACCCCTAAAAACGTTACTTTTAACTCTTCTTTACAGACTCTACTAGACTATAGCCAGTGAGTCATTTAATAATCTGACCACCCTAATACATATAAACAAACATCAATCCTGTATAACTTACAAACCACAATTTTGCACCTCTTATAATAGCCAACAAAAGAGCAACCATAATAAAAGAAAAGTAATTAAAAATGTTATAGCAATTACCCCACTTTCATTGTGCCAGTGATACAATGGATCATATTCCATTTTGTAAAGTTTCAGTATGGGGAGAATATTGACCTGAGTTGGGGCATATTATATTTTATTACCAATGTTTGTTTCCTTCCCAAGGAGTCCCCACAGTTCACCATCAAGCACCCCCACACGGCGTGGAAGTTCCTTAGTACGCGGGGGCCGTGGAAGGAATCATGATCTTTTGATGGAAATACAGCTTACCAAGGTAAAATGTAACTTCTGCTGTTTTGTCTGGAGCTTTCTGCTTCCTTAGACACGTATTTAAAAATGAGCTTGTGTTGATGGGTTTATTTCTATAGATAGCATCTCATTGAGAAATAAATACATAATATATTATACATTTCATTTCTTTACCAGAGGTTAACTCAATAGTCATCTTCTCATCATGACTGTTTACATCATTTTGGGTTTGTTATACTAATGTAACACTCACTACCACTTCCATGTAATTTTCAATATTCTGCATCTTGTAGCCTTCGAAGTCCTGCTTAGAAAAACTTCCCCAAGAAGCTGGCACCACGCTATGATACTCTTGTCCTATATTCCTATAGTGAAGTGTAGTAGATGCTCATCAGAGGAATAATCACAGCAGCTGCAGAGCATGGAGAGCCTAACTACCTTTAGGAGAGTGATTCTACTTTCTTCTGTCATTCTGCTCCTGGAATACTCATCTGTGCCATAGGGAGGGATTGTTTATTTTTTTTCCTTTCTTTCTGTTGAAGTATTGAAAAATCTAAACATTTTTTTTAGCAATTTTGCACACCAGATAGATTAAAGTTTCCGCAATCTTTTAAAATATGGTTACGTGTTCTATGACAGGTTCACTTTAATGTTGATCTGCATCACAGCTGCTGTATATCCGTTTCACAGAACACTCTGAGAGACCCGCATTGGTCTTATAAATCCTTGGATCTTTCAGCTATCGGCTATCAGCTGCAGAAAAAAATAATCACTTGGCTTTATTTTTTACCTGACACTATTAGCAGGTAGTTTTTCATCTTAATGTAGTCATGGCCCACAAGAGCCATAACATGTGGGATGATAAGAACTTTCTGTCTCCAGTCCAGAGGATCCTTATCCCATATGTTGGCTCCTGCAAACCGTGACAAAACAGATAAAAAGGAATTTAGAAAAAAAATTAGAGCATTTTCTTAAATTTTTGTAACTTAAGTATAATAGAGTCCCCCTCTCTATTTTTATTCTTTTAATCAAGGTAAATGAGAGTGAATTTGATATGCATTTGTAATGCGATGTAAGCCAGATTCCAGATTCATACTTCATGTAAGCCAGATTCATACTTTGCAAGAATAAATTTTTGTAAGTGCAACATTTGAGCTTAAAGACCTATATGTTTAATTGATTCTCGTAGAGCGATTTCATCACACTTTCACTTTTTCTCGGCCTCTATTTATGGCTGATTCACTAAGGATAATATTCTCAGTAGAGATATATCTGTACAGATGCTTAATGAGCAGACTTGGTGAGTCTCTTTAATAATTCAAGTGCAAATAACAATGTAAATACTAGCCTATAACCTACAGATCTATATTCCCAGACACCGTGAGTAGAAAATATTGTGTGAATAATGACTCTGGGGAAAAAAAACATTCTATGGATAATTATAATTATGCTAGTGATGTTACCAAAGCCTGTGTCATCTGCTACTGATTATGTATCTTGCCATTATCCCCAAATCCACTCCTTACTTTTAAGTCACACAAAGAATTAACTTGTATCTGCCCTGTGACCATTATAATAAATGACACATACTTGAATGAGTAATTGTGCTCATTAGTACAGTGTGAAGAAGAACATGATGGTATTTTCACAGATGATCAATGCTCAAATTGTTTGTGATCTCCGCTCACAGGTAAAGTTCCAGCATGAAGTTTATCCCCCAGGAGGAGCCTCTCACGAATCTCATGTGGCAGAACAACTAGTATCACGGCAAGTGTTCATAGTGCAGGATCTGGAGATCCGTGATCGCCTGGCTTCCTCTCAAATGAATAAATTCTTGCATCTTTACAGTAGCAAGGAAATGCCCCGAAAAGCTCACTCAAACATGGTAAGTATGTTTGTCTATGTGCAATGCTTAAAAAGCACCAGTATGTTAAGGGCTACCTTAACCCCTTAAGGACCAAACTTCTGGAATAAAAGGGAATCATGACATGTCACACATGTCATGTGTCCTTAAGGGGTTAAAGGAACACTATTGTGCCAGGAAAACATACTAATTTTCCTGGCACTATAGTGCCCTGAGGGTGCCCCCACCCTCAGGGTCCCCCTCCCGCCTGGGCTCTGGAGAGAGGAAGGGGTTAAAATCTTACCTTTCTCCAGCGCCAGGCGGGGAGCTCCTCCTCTCCTCCTTCCTAGCGACGTCATGGGCTGAATGCGCATGCGCGGCAGGAGCCGCGCGCGCATTCAGCCAGTTCATAGGAAAGCATTTATAATGCTTTCCTATGGACGCTGGAGTCTTCTCACTGTGATTTTCACAGTAAGAAGCACGCAAGCGCCTCTAGCGGCTGTCAATGAGACAGCCACTATAGGCTCTAGAGGCTGGATTAACCCTCAGTGTAAACATAGCAGTTTCTCTGAAACTGCTATGTTTATAAAAAAAAAGGGTTAACCCTAGCTGGACCAGGTACCCAGACCACTTCATTAAGCTGAAGTAGTCTGCGTGCCTATAGTGGTCCTTTAATTAGTGGTTATCCAAAGATAATCACTAATCATTAGTATTGGGAATAAAAAGGGTTGATCTTAACTAGGTGGGCCATGGCTCACGAAACGTGTAGATAGGACACAGCTTTAGAGGTAAGATTCCTGGAAGGACAGCTGGAGATATGAGACATTTTTCATTGATATTTGTGTGCCGATTAGAGCACTTTGCTTGTGAGTACCTTATTTTAAATAATTCTAAGTCCGTTTTCATAAGTGGACCTAAAATGTTCACGTTTTGCACTTAACTTTCAGAAAATATTGGAATTTAAGAAGTGTCACTGAGAGGACTCTGTGTGTAGCAGCATTTTGGGATATGCCATTAATAGTTTTAGGTCACAGAAACAAAAGTTGCAAGTGAAGCTTTGTATATACCGTACTTTGACAAGTATAAGAAGCCAACCCCCCCCCTTTTTTTTTTAGCCCAAAATAAGAAATAAATATTTTAAACATCAAATAGAACAACATTGATATTTTAGAGGTGACTTCTGAGGAGAACAACACACTTCTGATTCTCATGCCTCTCTGTGCTATGGTACTCTGTGAAGTTAATGGCTCCATAGAGCATGCTGGGAGACTACAGCTCCAACAATACAGCAGGTGGTGTGAGGGCATGCCTGGACATCACAGCAGTATTCCCTCTGTTCCCTGATCCCCATTTCATCCCCTATAAATATAAATCAAAAAGCATGACCTACCTGAGGTGAAGCAAACCTTAATATGGCTGCTCATTTCATGGTGTGACATGTCTTTGGAGCTCCGTTGGTGGTAAGTGTTGGCGTCTGCTGCAGCTCCCACGCATATAGGGACCTCCTTGCCACAGCATTCAGAAGCGGATTGGCGGGAGGGAGAACAGGTATGTGTGTGGGCTGTGGCACCGCTCACAAGTGATTTGTTTTGTTTTTTGTTTTTTTTTAACCCCTGCAGTGACATTCCGTGTATAAGACGACCCCCAGTTTTAGACTAAATTAAAAAAAATAAAAAAAAATAAAAAAAAACAGTCTTATACACCGAAAAATACGGTATGTGTTTTAGGGATTTGGAATTTAAGTGGATTATTCACTACATGTTTAAACATTAGGAAAGATACAATCTTTTCATTAATTTATACAACTCATGTTAACATTTGAGGAGTGTTCCTATTTAGAAGTTAAAAGGTAGTGGAGATCATTGGTGCAGTGGATAGAAGAAATCTCTTTAATTATTCATTCCAGTTAGAGTTCTTTAGCTTTAGTTTTCAGGCAGTTTCACATAAATCGTAGGGTTTTCTACATGTTTGGTAGCAGGTAGAAGACATTCCAGCTATCGATTCGTAAGAATTACCTAGAAATATCAAAGTGAAACCTAAGAGTTTACAGAGAGAAAATAAGCAAGAAAGTCGCCCTTGCACGATGTGTAGGAGAGTGATGCCTTCAAGCAAAAATAACCAAGTACCACATTTCTAGAATTGTATTTGATATATTGTACTGGATCCAGATCAGCAATGTCAAGAGCAGAGAAGCAGCTTTTATACTATCAGTCTGGGACTTAATTAACTCTAAATGGTATCGCACATAATTAGGGCGAAGGACAATGTGGTGTCACAGGTCTCTCCAAATTGTGCTACTTTAATTTAAAGAATAGAGAATACAGGCATTGGAAAAAAGGAATTTTTTTTATTTTTTATTTTACTTTGAATTTCTTCCAAAACAAAAAAGTGCACGTGTTTTGACTTTTTTTTAATTATACCATGTTATATATAGATTTATTTTTTTTCTTCAATCAAAGCTTAAATGCTTTCAAGGATGGCATAAACCATCCTTTGATCCCATATATAAAACTAGTACAGAGATAATAGCATTTCCTCCTACAAGCAAAGTTTAATGTACACGTAACATTGTCTCCAATCAGTTCTATTAGTTTTAGAGCTAGAAACTTGAAGCGCTCTAGGTCCCCAGATATATTTCTCCCGGAAGTAAGAACAGTACACAAGCAATTTTGTATCTACATAGAGGGAACTGCTGAAGTATCACATTTATTTATAAGAAAGTGGTGCATGATCTGCATGGATTGTGGATTTGCTTTTCGTACTTTGTAATCTTTAACCTACAACCTTTTTTCAAGTTTCAGCACTTCAGACATCCTTAAATAAAATTGTCCACATTACACACAAAAACAAAGCTTTCTGCGCACTTCTTGTGTAGTGGAAACCACAGCTTCTGCTACTCCACAAATGGTTTTTCTGAAGTCATTATCTGTTTTAATTTTAATCTGTTTGTTTTGTCACCCATATCTTGCAATCGTGCAAGTTTCAGTTCCTTTTCCATGTTTTATGACATTATGGATAAGGAGAAATCATTATCAAAAGTGTGACTTTCACTAGAAACTGCAAGTGGTATTAATTTACTAACCTCACTGGAGACTCCACCAACCTCATCCATATACTTGTTCGTTCCCCCACTACCCCGAGTCTGCCCCTCCATCTTCCCTAGTGGATTGATGTTTTTGGTCTGTTTGCAGTACTCTATTATTATTATTACTATTTTCTTTACCACTTTAACTGGTAACTTACTGGACATTGATTGTACACTGTGTTTATTGTTTGCATTTGACAGAATAGATACTTGGTTACATGTGCATAAAGCTCAATAAAATGATTTGAAGAATTAAAAAAGATCGAAAATTCTAGAAAGCTCAGGATTGGCAATCTTAAAAAAAAAAAAAAAACTTGGAAAATCACAGTGCTGGATGAGCAAAGAAAGTGTACATTTGTTTAAAATAAATTATCTGTGTCAAATAAAGTACCAGAATGAGAAGTTTTGAATAGCCAATACCACACTGGGGTTATCACTTGAGGCAAACCACATGTTAGTTCACAGAACAGTGTGGCTAAAAATGTACATTAAAAGCTATAGTGTTTAAAAACAAAGTTCCTGTTGACAGATTAGTAAAAGATTAGCCTGTACCTAAGTGGTAGATTGGTTTATTCACCAAACCCAAGACTTTTGAAGAATTAAGAAGGCTATTAAAAATTTTTTAGGCCCTAATAGCAGCGTTGAAAGTACAACTTTTACTGTGAGCTGTCAACCCGCAATTCCTTTTAAAATTCTTCACGATTCTCTGTTTAGCAAACAACCCTGTTTCTGAAAAAAAACCTCATAGATGCCATGGGTTGGACATATTTGACTGCCATCAATTTTTCTATGTCTACTGTGAGCTGTCAACCCGCAATTCCTTTTCAAATTCTTCACGATTCTCTGTTTAGCAAACAACCCTGTTTCTGAAAAAAAACCTCATAGATGCTATGGTGTGGACATATTTGACTGCCATCAGAACTGGCTCACTAATCCTTATTGAGGACCTGACTGCAGAAGCTAGAGGAATTCTCACAAGTTCAGAAACATAATTTAGACAGACCCAAGAAATACCTGTTGAGTACTAAGGCCTCAATGTAATGTCAGCCAATAGGTGCCATCAACAGTTTTTCTGCTCCTTATTAGCCATTTAGCGGTTCAAATTGTTTGAATCCCCGCCATTAAAGGCTTATCGTAATCTGAAAAAAATTGTTCAGAATAACAAAACTGAAAGCACTATAATGCTGCACTAGAGGGCGCCAGTTCTGATGGTAGTCATATATAATGTTAAGAATACAGATATTGAAAACAATTCTCACCTCCATGATACCCATTGGAAATGGATGAGACAGCTGCTATCCTAATCACCTCACCCAAAAATGGCTGCTGTATCAATTAGGGTTGTCCACAGATGCATTGTTTGAGGCTTTATAATGCTTAGTCTAGTCTGAGGAGGTTATAAAACTAGGAATATCAAAATAGATTGCACTGCGTATACATAAAATGTCATAGTTATCTTTTATACTTAACTTTTCAATGACTATATGCAAATCCCAGGCTAAACTAGCCAGGATGTGATTGTATAGCCAAGTTAAAAAGAAAATTCCATACTGGCTATTTTGCCTTCCATTTTGCAAAATTAACAATACTGATAATATAAGTACTTTTCTAATATGTGTGTGTGTGTGTGTGTGATTATTTTTCTTTCTTTTGTTATAACTAGTGTTTAATAAGGTTATTTATATTTTCTAGCTCACTATCAAAGCCTTACATGTGCGTCCAGAATCTTCACATTCGCCACAAGAATGTTGTCTGAGAGTAACGCTGATGCCACTGCGCCTCAATATTGACCAGGTTTGTAAAAATCATGCATTTGTGTGCATACACAGAATTCTGATAAAATAATGGAAACACTGAAAAAGGAGTTTAAAGAAAAACTGTTACTTGGCTGATTTTAACATAATGAAATAGCTAACTACTGTCTTTAAATTTTTTTATTTTTTTTACTTAAATTTTTTGCCAGAGGAGGTCAGACAAAGTATGCAAATTAACTCTTGCAGTGCTGTATTCACAACGCATGTGTGAACACTGCATTGCTGGAGAAAATTCCGAGCTTGTGTATGGAACTTCATCATTAGATGTCCATGCTCGAGGCATCATGGCTGCAACATGGAAGTACATCGGATAAAAGTTTTTTTTCACTTTCCTCCGCTCAGGGCCGTCTTTAATATTGATTGGGCCCTGGTAAAGCATTTGCTTGGGTCCCCTGGACCCACTCCGTGGAATGCAATCACGCCTTCAACTCCAAAACTGTGGTGGAACTAAAGTAGAAAGACCCTGGTGCAAGAATTTCATTGGTCCCCCAATTGCAAGGTTGGAAAGAAGGTAGAACCCTATCTGTCGTACAACTCCAACAATGCTTTGACAGCTGGGGCTCTACCAATAGCCCATGCTTGCAGGCTTGTATTTAGCACTGTGTTTGTGTGTTTGAATGTAAGGATGTTTTTGTATGGAGTATATTTGTGTGAATGTGTTTGTGTGTGGTGTTAGAGTTTGAATGTAGGTGTGCATTTATGTGTAGTGCTGGTTTTTGAATGTAGGGGTGTGTTTATATATAATTTTTGTGTTTAACACGGAGGTGTGTTTGTATGAAGTGTTGACTTTCAATGCAGGAGTGTGTTTGTATGTAATGTTGAAGTTTGAATGTAGGGGTGTATTTAAATTTAATGTTGGTGCTCAGATGCTCAGGCACACAGGTACACACGCTGATACACATGCAGATACGCACACAGACACATACAGATACACAGACAGATACACTGAGACATACTGACACACACAAATACATACAATGATAGACATACTGAGACACACACTGACATACTGTAACACAGGCATATACAATGACAAACATACTGACACACAGATACATATACAGACTGACATACTGACACACACACTGGCACAAACACTGATATACATACTGACACACACACACAGGCACGTGTACAGACATACTGACACACAGTATGTATATCAGTGTATGTGCCTGTGTGTGTGTCAGTATGTTTGTATATGTGCATGTGTGTGTCAGTATGTCTATCAGTGTATGTGCCTGTGTGTGTTTGTGTCAGCGTATGTATCTGTGTGTCAGTATGTTTGTCATTGTATGTGCCTCTGTGTTTGTCTGTATATGTGCATGTGTGTATGTGTCAGTATGTATATCAGCGTATGTGCCTGAAACAAACACACACACACACACACATATACAAACACACAGACACACTGATAGACATACTGACACACAGGCACATACACTGGCAGGCATACTTACACACACAGACACATACACTGATAGACATACTGACACACACACAGACACTAATAGACATACTGACACACACACAGACACATACACTGATAGACATATTGACACACACACATTGAGAAATCTCAATGTCTCTTTCCTGGTAAAATATTTTATTTTACTGGTTAGTATAGTGGTGAGTATCCCCGCCTGTCACGCGGGAGACCGGGGTTCGATTCCCTGACGGGGAGTGCTACTTTTTGGAGGAAAGACGAGACAGGGCGATATGATAGAAACATTTAAATACATAAAGGGAATCAACACAGTCAAGGAGGAGACTATATTTAAAAGAAGAAAAACTACCACAACAAGAGGACATAGTCTTAAATTAGAGGGACAAAGGTTTAAAAATAATATCCGGAAGTGTTACTTTACTGAGAGTGGATGCATGGAATAGCCTTCCAGCTGAAGTGGTAGAGGTTAACACAGTAAAGGAGTTTAAGCATGCATGGGATAGGCATAAGGTTATCCTAACTCTAAGATAAGGCTAGGGACTAATGAAAGTATTTAGAAAATTGGAGAGACTAGATGGGCCGAATGGTTCTTATCTGACGTCACATTCTATGTTTCTATAAATAAATATACTGTCAGACATACTGACACACACTCTCACACACACACACTCCCCGCGTTAAAGACGGCCCTGCCTCCGCTTCATTTTTCAACCCAGTAAACGCTGAAATAGTGTTCTGGGGTAAATGAGCAAGAAATGTCAATTTCTACTCTTTACATTTGACTAAATTACAATTACAAATACAGAAACAGACATGAGTAATATAAGGCTGATTGTCAGTTCGTAATATGCGTCAAGTACTATAAAAGCCATCAGACAAGCCGCACTTTTACATAGGACTTTTACAGTAACATGAGGCAACTAACACTGGCTTCGATTGCATTCTAACTTTTTATTGGTTCAAAACGATTACCACTGCTAAAGACAGGAGTTGATAAATATCAGTATGAATAATATTGAATTTAGAAATATATTAAAAACCGATTCATATACTTGTAATTTAAAATATCAGGTTTGGCATTAATTCTTTTAATATGGAACATAATCCTTAATAAATATCTTTTAAAATCTTAACTGTTTGAAAGATGTCGATTTATTATTATTATTTTTTTTTTTTACTATTTTGCCAAAATGACCACAAGAGGGGGAATGTCTGCTAAAAAGTAGTGACTGGGAAGCTATTATAGCCCAGTTGATAACAACATACTCAGTTTGGGTCGGTGGTTCAGATTACAGAATGGGGGTGGACAGATTAACAATATGAGTGGAAGGTGATTTTGTGTCTCGACCAGTGGTGACGGGTGGGTGCTGACCAATTGTTCCCCCAAGCACCCAACCATAGGCGGCAGGTGGAAGCTCTAATTTCAATAACCCAGGGTGGGGGAGGGGTGGGGGGTGTAGGAACTAGTATTTAATATTTATACTTTTTAATATACCAATTTATTATGTTGTGTAATATATACTTTAAATATGTTTTACTGTACAGGGAGTGCAGAATTATTAGGCAAATGAGTATTTTGACCACATCATCCTCTTTATGCATGTTGTCTTACTCCAAGCTGTATAGGCTCGAAAGCCTACTACCAATTAAGCATATTAGGTGATGTACATCTCTGTAATGAGAAGGGGTGTGGTCTAATGACATCAACACCCTATATCATGTGTGCATAATTATTAGGCAACTTCCTTTCCTTTGGCAAAATGGGTCAAAGAAGGACTTGACAGGCTCAGAAAAGTCAAAAATAGTGAGATATCTTGCAGAGGGATGCAGCACTCTTAAATTGCAAAGCTTCTGAAGCGTGATCATCGAACAATCAAGCGTTTCATTCAAAATAGTCAACAGGGTCGCAAGAAGCATGTGGAAAAACCAAGGCGCAAAATAACTGCCCATGAACTGAGAAAAGTCAAGCGTGCAGCTGCCACGATGCCACTTGCCACCAGTTTGGCCATATTTCAGAGCTGCAACATCACTGGATTGCCCAAAAGCACAAGGTGTGCAATACTCAGAGACATGGCCAAGGTAAGAAAGGCTGAAAGACGACCACCACTGAACAAGACACACAAGCTGAAACGTCAAGACTGGGCCAAGAAATATCTCAAGACTGATTTTTCTAAGGTTTATGGACTGATGAAATGAGAGTGAGTCTTGATGGGCCAGATGGATGGGCCCGTGGCTGGATTGGTAAAGGGCAGAGAGCTCCAGTCCGACTCAGACGCCAGCAAGGTGGAGGTGGAGTACTGGTTTGGGCTGGTATCATCAAAGATGAGCTTGTGGGGCCTTTTCGGGTTGAGGATGGAGTCAAGCGCAACTCCCAGTCCTACTGCCAGTTCCTGGAAGACACCTTCTTCAAGCAGTGGTACAGGAAGAGGTCTGCATCCTTCAAGAAAAACATGATTTTCATGCAGGACAATGCTCCATCACACGCGTCCAAGTACTCCACAGCGTGGCTGGCAAGAAAGGGTATAAAAGAAGAAAATCTAATGACATGGCCTCCTTGTTCACTTGATCTGAACCCCATTGAGAACCTGTGGTCCATCATCAAATGTGAGATTTACAAGGAGGGAAAACAGTAGACCTCTCTGAACAGTGTCTGGGAGGCTGTGGTTGCTGCTGCACGCAATGTTGATGGTGAACAGATCAAAACACTGACAGAATCCATGGATGGCAGGCTTTTGAGTGTCCTTACAAAGAAAGGTGGCTATATTGGTCACTGATTTGTTTTGTTTTGTTTTTGAATGTCAGAAATGTATATTTGTGAATGTTGAGATGTTATATTGGTTTCACTGGTAATAATAAATAATTGAAATGGGTATATATTTGTTTTTTGTTAAGTTGACTAATAATTATGCACAGTAATAGTCACCTGCACACACAGATATCCCCTAACATAGCTAAAACTAAAAACAAACTAAAAACTACTTCCAAAAATATTCAGCTTTGATATTAATGAGTTTTTTTGGGTTCATTGAGAACATGGTTGTTGTTCAATAATAAAATTAATCCTCAAAAATACAACTTGCCTAATAATTCTGCACTCCCTGTATAGATTGTATGTTTTATTGTAACTTTGTTCAAAAAACATTTATCGTAAAATAAAATAAAAAATTAACAAATGATAGGTGCATACTACACAGATAGTCCACCTAACATCTGACTATATATATTTTTATGGCTTCAAAAATATTGCAGAAAAGATTAATAAATAAAAATGTGTTTCTAAGTGCGTTGCAGATGCTCCAATCAGAAGCATGTCATTCTGGTTTATAGGAACTGATTTTATTCCATTATACTTTGTCCTGCAGAGTTTTATGGAAAAAAATGTTAATACACACAGAGCAGTTCCAATCATCACATCGGATGGTTGCAACTACCTGCACTACATACTATACTATACTATACTATACTATACTATACTATGTGTACTATACTCTATAGTATATTACATGCACAAATAGTGACAAAATTGGCATTTGCAGTGCGTAACTCTATTCACTATATTCTAAGTATTAGATTGCCTGATTGACAACTCATGTGAGCAATCTTTTTTTTCATTTTTTTTACAAGCCTGTGGGATCAGGGTGCTCTCAACACTTTCTAGTAACGCAAAATGATTATGTTGTTTATACTGATCCTTTAATATTTTGGTGGTAGCATCCCTTTCTTTGCTTACCTCTGTTGACATAGAGATACAAATAATGCGTATTATTGAGTGAACTGTATATGCCTAATGTGCCTAGTATAAAAATAGACTATCTTTTGATGTGGACTTTTATCTGCTCTCATTTCCGCTGCAACAAAATATGAATTGTATGAATGCCAAATTTTTTTTTTTTTTTTTACATATGTCATAGTAATATCATAAGATACATTTTATGTTTTGTCTATTCCGCAGGATGCCTTGTTTTTCCTGAAGGATTTCTTTACAAGCCTTTCTGCAGAAGTTGAGATGTTGGTTACGCCAGACCCTGAAGGTAACTTCTCCTTAAACAAGATTTTCAGTTGCCGGACTCTGATAAGACTCACTGATAAAAAGAGCAATCATAGAGGTTTATTAAATAATCATCAAATTAATGAATTGACTCTCCGAACTTCTAAATTCAGGGAAAATCTGCCAAGTTGGAAAAATTTATCAGTGTGATTGTCAGTTCATCTAAATTTACTATGTAGAAAATAAATCTGTTATTCTTACTATTTTCATCAAATTCTAAATAAGTAACTTCTTTATACAAAAAAAAGTGGTTCTGACATAAATTAATAAAATATATGAATTGATGTCAGCTGCAAAAATATTAATTGCCTCATGATACTTTTCATAGAACTCCCGCACAACTCTACAAAATAACGCTAACTAATGCTTTCCCTTGAGTAGCCCGACACGGCATCAGCTGCCACTCGGTCCTTACAATAGAGGACACGCAGTGGGGGGAAAGGTGCTCATATTAAGGCTCCCTTACCTCATTTACTCATGCGACCTGTTGCGGATCGGGGTAGAGAGGCGGCCGCTCTCCAGATCCAGCGGTGCCTTGGTGCTGATAACGATACAGGTTATTGTGCTCCAACACCTAAATTTAAAGGAACACTCTAAGCACCAAAGCCACTTTAACAGTTATGATGCCAGGAACTCTTACTAGATTTAGCAGAATTACAAAATGACAAGCAAATGAGAGATCTGCTTTTTATCAAGGTTGTGTCCCTGTTGAAATCAAATTCAATGCTTGTTGAACAAAATCCCATTTTGTTGTCATCTATCACAATGACAAATGACAACTTATAATTCTAGTGTTTATCATGCCAATTCAGTGACTGAAGTGACTTTCATTTATCTTTATACATTACCCATGGTGTCTTTGCCCAGATTCTAAAAGACTATGTCAATCAAATGGCTGAATAAAGTTAATTTGCCATTAAGGTCAAAATGTTGCCAGGTCCATTTATTGATGATGGAATAAAAACATCTTCAAATCTTTTTGGAGTTGCTGCCCCATTTAATTGGTCTTTGGATTGTTCCTTGAATTGTACTATTTTGTGTATTCTTTTAACAATGTATTTAGAGTTTGCAGTCATAACTTTGTCTTTACCTTTCTCTGTGGTGTCAGTTGTTAGATGTCATGTTTGTAGCATGAAAGTGTCTAGTAGTCACGTACCTTCGAAACATATATTTTATCCGTTAGCAACTTGTTGGCAATAATTACCATCAACCATGGAAATTAGGCCTTGTTTTGAGATATGTCTCCTTAATACCATGTCATTATATTTGCAGTAAAAAGATCCCCAGGCTCCGATGTGACTTGCAGCTTGCCAAAACATCTTAGTTCTCAAGAACCCAATCCAGTTATTTCATTTCTGGGTCAACCTCAGTGGGATAACCATGACCAGATCAGTTTTCCAAACAAGGCGCATGGTGATGAGGCAGAAATTCAGGAAGAGGTCGCGTCATTTAGTGATGAGCCAATATTTTTCCGGTAAGGATCACAATGCCATTTTAATTGAGTTTACTTATCTGCTATTTTTTATGAGTGTATATTCACGTTAAGTGTACTGTCTCCTCGTTATACTCTGTAACAAACATTTCTGCATTCAGATGTTAGAAATCAGTTGTACAAAGGACTGTCATTCTTGGGCAATGATCAGGAGAACAGAAAAATCCTAATAAGATCAGCATTCCAAGTTGAGACACAGGGAGATGCTTTTTGAGATGAGAAGGACCTAAATCTCAGAACTAATGTACTGTCATGGGCAAGGCACACCATACAGAAATTTCTTTGTGATCATTGTTGCCACTCAAGGAAGTTAATATGTTTAATCCACTGCTATATTGACTTACTTTACTTAATTCATTCAATAAGTTTAATAAAAAAAGGACCTATATTCTGAAATCTTTGATTATATGTTCACAGACATGTCTTCAGTATGTATATCCTGTGTCTGTGGACCCCCCTTTTTTTTTTTTTTGTGCATTTAATAAAGTGCACAAATGATGCAGATCCTGGAGGCATAATCTGCCAGGGCTGGAGACTACAATATCTTTTGTTCCTTTGAGCATATTTCCCCTTTTTCCATTCAGAATCACTATACATACATGTCATTATGCAAATACAACACAAACATCAAGAGACAAAGTTGCTAAGAAGGCATGTCCATCCTCGCGAAATTAGAATAATTTTTTCCTTGATCATCTAATTAATAGTTTCTTATGTACCTGTATATTATGTAGGAATATTACACAAAAATCTGCAATGCAGTTTTCCTGAAAAGAATGTTTAACATCTTAAGAACCTAATTATATTCCTTGCTGTCCTCGCAATCTGGTCCTTAAATGCCAGAACGAGGTGTCCTGCTTATTTTGTATTTGTAGATCTCTTTACTAACTGTCACAGTTAAATGAGTGCAACATTCGAATATAGGATCTTTAAAGGCCTCTTAGATATGAAGGAATTATTACAACATTGATCCGTAAAAAGTTAACACATCACAACATGAAAAAAAAAGTACAATGTTGTAGATTTAGATTTGATCGTTCCTGTGCCTGGTAGTATTGGCTATTTTTTTTTCTATACTGTAAGATTTGTGAGTATATGTTTGCTGGGTTATCCAGATGCATTTTAACATATTATTTATCTTTCTTATTAGTGAATTTCGGTTTACCGCTGAAGTCCCAATAAGGCTGGATTATCATGGAAAACATGTATCGATGGACCAGGTGGGTACTCATTAACCTATAATATATAATAAAAGTCTATTCACCCCACCCTTATATGCTCAGCATAGTAATGGGAGTCTATTGAACTTTTCCTGACCATTAAACACTTACAGGGTTATTCACTTCTAATTTTTGAAAGTTAAATCCAAATGGCAAAATTGAGGTAAAAATAGCCAAGTTGTGAGCTGAGTTCATCTACTTTTGATTCACTTTTTCCATTTGGATTTAATTTGTGAAAAATCTGAGTTTAATGAATAACCCTGCTAGCATTCATAATGGGACTCTAATCTACCCCTCTCCAAAATATACAATATTTTACAAGAAAAACGCTGTGTTTGAATTGGCATATCATTGCCTGAAATTTAAAAAAAAAGAAAGTTATGAGGAAAAAATAGCATTCAGTTATAGCTCGATTGCTGATTATTTATGTTAAAAATAAAAATTTTAAATAAATCACTATTCTCAGGAAATTCATTTTCCTCCCTAATTGCACTTTGGTTAATTTTCTTTACACTGAAGTGAAGTCCTACTAAAAGCCTCAAAGAAGCATAAAGTACTGAGAAATGTATTGAACAGAAGTATACGACTAAAATATAACTACAGTACTTACTTTATCCCCCTCTCCTGTTTTGTAACCTGTACAGTTCAAAGGACACCTGTTATTGCTATATAAATAAAGTATACTTACTTACTCTACCTCTCTTTATATATACAGTGAATATCTACTGTTATCTAATCTACGACATGAATATTGTGACGTTTACATCCAGTATTATTTTTTTTTTTTTTGTTAAGTACAAATTCTCACACCCCCCAATATTTTGTATTTTATTTTTAAGGGAACATTTACTGGAATTCTCATTGGTCTTGCTCAACTGAACAGCTCCGAGCTAAAACTGAAGAGGCTCTGCTATCGGCATGGGTAACTGAGTTGCTTCATTCTCATGACTAACTTTAATCTATAAAATGCAGATGTAGTCTGTAAACAAGGTCACATTCTGTTGCAGTCACAGTCAGGCAAAGATCAAATATTTTTAGCGTTTTTCTTCTTGAAGCACCTTGTCAATCTTTAATATTCTAGTTTTTTTCAGTATCCCTATTAGTAACAAATTTGGGACTGCCTAAATGTTGAACTGTTAGTGTGTCTTAAGAAATTGGTTTAGAACCATTGCTCTAGTGCCTAGTCACCACCAATGGTTCTTTAGAGATGGGTGGATATAGGTATCATACAAATGGGATAGGTTTTATACAAGTATTAATGTAGTTGTTCTTGTGAGTATAATCATTGCCTTCATTTGCATGCAAACACTGCCTTTTCAGAAAAGGCAGTGTTTACATTGCCCCTAGGGACACTTCCAAGTGGCTACTCCTCAGATGACCACTGGAGGTGCTTCCTGGGGCAGTGCTGCACAGTAGGCAGCACCGACGTTCAGCGTCTCCACGCTCAACATGGGGATGCTGAACTTTCCTCATAGAGATGCATTGTTTCAATGCATCTCTATGAGGAGGTGCTGGTTGGCCAAAACGGCGTTTGGCACCGCCCCCTTGCCGATTTTCGCCAATCCAATGCTTTCCCCATGAGTTTTAACCCATTCTGAGGGGGGTAAGGGGGTAAAAGCCATCTAAATGGTGGGTTTTCACTATAGGGTCAGGAATACATGTTTGTGTTCCTGACCATATAGTGTTCCTTTAATATAATTATTATTAATAATAATATCATTAGTATTATTAATATATAAACACATAAATATATGTTTAAAAGATACAGGCTTTGTAACTGCCAATCCCCCATGCCTTCTGGACACATTGCTGTGTACCCCACTTCCTATAGACTGTAAGCTTCTTTGAGCAAGGCCCTCTTTACCTTAGTGATAGAAAAAGAAAATGTTCTCTGAGTGCTCATGGACCAAAGTAAATTTTTGCGACCATGAATGCAATGGATTTTATGAGGATACATTTCATGATTAAAGTGATCAACAGACGGGGGCGGGCCTGACCTGCAAACTGAACAGAAGCATGTTCACAGAGCTCCCGTTGCATTTGCCAATTTCTATGAAATACTCCTGAATATCTAGCTTGCACACTACCCAAGCTGGGAGTACCTTGGTGAACATTTTTACTTCTTACTCGAAAGTTTCAGAACGCAGGAGCCCAAGATGGCTCACTGTGTCCTGCGGTTGCTAGAGCTGGTGAGAGGCGGCCACTCTCCTCGTCCTTGCACCCGCTGAACTCCTGCTCCCCTCCCCAACCCCCCTCTATTCCCAGGAGGCAACCCGGCCTTGTGAAAGGTATAACTCACTGTCGAACAACCAACATGCAAACTCAGAGACACGTATCATGGCGGATGCCACGTGCTCCTCTATGTGCCGTGCTGAACAACCAGACTTCGCAGCTAAGCTTGTTATTCAATGCCTTCTGGAGAAGCCTAGCACTCTGACAAAACCAAGCTGCAGCCTCCACATCGGGTAAACACTTACCTCTGGGGTTGCCTGCACGCTCCCATCACAGACACCCAGAGCTCACAGCCAAAAGAGCTCAAAAATGGCGGCCGCGAAGGAGACGTCCCCGGTCCTATAATACAGCTGCACAATTGAAGCCAAAAGCAACAGGGCTTCGCTCCAAGAGATTGGAGACTCACTCCAGATCTGGCTGCCGGCTGAGGCATAAATCAACTATCCCAGCGAGTCTGTACGCCGCTCCACCCACGGACTCCACGCCACAGTGGCTGATCTTGAGGACCTCTGAGGGCCTACCTCACTTGCATGATCCTGCCTTCTACTTTCAGCTAGGTGACCTGCGGGGCCTTATAACAGCAGTATCATGGCTGGGCTCAGTGTTCCCACAACAGGGTAGTGGCTGATCTTGGAGGTGGCTCGCATCAACTATGGCATTATCTACACCAACAGTATGCCAGACTTACCTCCATGTTGAACTGACAAACTCCTTTTTTTTTTTTTTTTTTTTTTTACTTTTTGATTTTTGTTCATTCTTCCTGAATGTGAGACCTGCGGCCTGCATACCTTGGGGGACCTCCTGGAGCTTTTTCTACATTATGTTATGCACTCTTAGCGCATGTAACTCCCCTTATTAAGGTTAAGCTTCCTATAATGCAGAACATGCTTTATATTATTCCTGTTTCTATTTTCTATATCTAAATTTTTTTGCAATAGACTTTATCTTGCAAGCTGTGCTATACTATTGATGAAAGTGTATACAGTGCCATGCTTGTTCCTTATTATGCATGTCAAAAATAAAGAGTAAAAAAAACAACAACAAAAAAGCAATTTTTTTGCCTTAATTTTGGTCACGCACATCCACTGAGTAAGCGCCCACTGTGCCATGAAACTTGTTGAGGATTTTTTTGTGGATTTATTGGCTGGATTTCATCTGCATTAGTAATGTACTAGTGTATAGACTTATATTTGGACCAAGTATTAACATTTATTTTTACAAAGTTCTGTTGGTCCCTTTTTTTTCCGCATATCATGTAAACCGTCCCATTTATGGACAAATTATTTATTATTCTGCTGAAATACTGCGTACAGAAGACACTTGTATTGTCAGCTAGATTTGTACCAATTGATGTGTTTTCTCTACTAACATTTTTAACAACATTATGATATACAGCAATGTATTTGTCTACAGATGTGAACTTAGAGTTACTCTAAGCACCAAAACCATTTCAGGTTGCTGAAGTGGCATAGGCCCTGTCTCTTACCTTTTAATTGGAGCGTGTAGCTACACCACCGCAAGTGTCAGTTAGGGTAGACATATGAATTTTGTACAATTTGCGTGTGCTGTCTGCATCCAACACTGAACCCAGGAAATCACTTTCATGACTGTTAAAGGACCACTATAGTCACCCAGACCACTTCAGCTTAATGAAGTGGTCTGGGTGCCAGGTCCAGCTAGGGTTAACCCTTTTTTCTATAAACATAGCCGTTTCAGAGAAACTGTTATGTTTATGTTAGGGTTAATCCAGCCTCTAGTGGCTGTCTCTTGACAGCCGCTAGATGCGCTTGCGTGCTTCTCACTGTGATTTTCACAGTGAGAAGACGCCAGCGTCCAAAGGAAAGCATTGTAAATGCTTTCCTATTAGACTGGCTGAATGCGCGCGCAGCTCCTGCCGTGCATGCTCATTCAGCCAAAGAGGAGGAGAGGAGGAGGAGAGCTCCCCGCCCGGCGCTGGAGAAAGAGGTAAGTTTAACCCCCTCCTTTCCATCCAGCCCAGCGGGAGGGGGACCCTGAGGGTGGGGGCACCCTCAGGGCACTATAGTGCCAGGAAAACGAGTATGTTTTCCTGGCACTATAGTGGTCCTTTAAAGTGACAACCACTAGAGGTGATAATAGGCAGTATTGTATTTAATGGCGAGAAACACGGTATATAATTTGTGTGGGTACAGTAAATGAGTAAGAGGAAAATTATAGCTAAACACAAACACTGTAAAAATGTAAAAAGAGCCCTGGTCCTTAACAGTAAGAAAATTGAAAAAAGGTCTGCTCACTAAGGGGTTAATCATTTGTTAGGTCAGTATTTATAAAAGAAAACAAACAAAGTAGTTGAATTTGTAAAAGTTGACGTGTGCTCCTGATTTTAGAATATGAAGTGTAAATGCATATATTTAGCTAATCTGTTACTTAAATGGGATTAATGCTAAGAGCAACTAACCTGACCTTAGATACCCTGAAGATTAACATTTTTCTAACCTTAACTCTGTATAACCTTTTTAATAAATGGACTGCATTGAACTGGACTGCTTTATAAAGTCAACAATATCTCAGCAATACTTGTGACTGTACTACAAACACAGCAAAGCGAATGCCTTTGCTGTATTACATATCTCAGGATTTGGAAGGTATTTGTAGCATGCTTTTGATCCTTCCTGTGTAAGAATCCTGGGATTTCTGTAGCATAATTCAGGTTAAAAAAAATAAGATTTAAGACTGCCAGCACCAGTTCAGTGCTTACAGGGAGTGGAACCATGTTTTATAGCTGTAGAGCAAATATTTCAGATAAAATCCTTTTTGGGTTCAATAACAGATTGACCATTGGAGTCTACTGGAGCATATCTGACAATTAACTCTATCAACCTTAGTGAGTGATTGCAAGTCCCAAAATGGAATTATTGTAAACGTCAGAAGATATTTTTGTTTCTTAGTTTTTACCAAAAATGGTCTTACAGACTGTGTGAAGAGAACCCTTGTCTCTTTCATTTAATCTTGTCCTAGATAGAAAGTCATTTAGTAAGATATTCCTGTTTTTAAACCTTGATTACACATCTCACCATTTCATATGATGTGGGTTATGATAACTATTCACTAAACAGTGTTGCAACATTTTGGCCATTATAGCTGTTAAAATAGTCTGTAGTCTTTAGCCTAAATTAATTAGGAACAATTAAGGCACCAAAATACCTTTAGCTTAATGAATCACTTTTGGTATATTGATCATGCCCTTGCAATCTCACTGCTCAATTACCTGCCATGTAGGAGTTAAATCACTTTTGTTTATGTTTATAGTGCCCTAGCCACACCTCCTCTGGCTGTGACTGACACAGCCTGCATGAAAACAATGTGTTTTTTTTTTTTTTAAGTAACTTATGTTAAAAGTTTTTATCTTCTGCTCTGTAAATTGAACTTTAATTACATATAGGGGTCTCCTGCTGAGTCAAGAAAGCCATTAACAGAGCAGGATATAATACATTCTATATTAAAAAGAATTTGCAATAAAGGAAGTTTAAACATTAGATGACTCTTTACCAGAAGTGACTAGAGCTGTATAAACAAAATGATTTAACTCCTAAGTGGCAGAGAATTGAGCAGTGAGACTGCAGGGGCATGGTCTATACACAAAACTGCTTCACTGAGCTAAACTTGTTTTGGTGACTATAGTATTCCATTAATTAATCATTTTGGTGGATTAACCCCAGTTTGTTCACTTGACAATGTAGGGATAGATTGCATTCAACTTGCTTCCTGTGTGTTTCTTACAGGTTATTAGGAGTGGATAAGCTATTCTCTTATGCTATTAACGAATGGCTAACTGATGTCAAGAAGAACCAACTGCCAGGAATTTTGGGAGGAGTGGGGCCAATTCATTCTGTGGTCCAACTTGGTGAGGCATTATTTCACTAAAGATTTCTCTTTGTGGGGTTGTGTTTCATTATCTGTTATTTATATGATTGTGCTTTAGTTCAGGGTCTGAAGGACTTGGTGTGGCTTCCGATAGAACAGTATCGAAAAGATGGCCGCATCGTAAGGGGTTTTCAAAGAGGGGCTGCATCGTTTGGCACATCCACTGCTATGGCTGCTCTGGAGCTGACCAATCGAATTGTCCAAACCATCCAGGTAATACTCATTTTGATAAATGAATGCACATTGTATATTGGTTCTTGTGTGCATGATTCATCTATTTTTCTGTGTCTTCCTGGCATTAAGTAAATCAAGAGCATCTTATAGCTTTGCCATTGGACGCTTTCTTTGCGCCATCATGTATGGTAGCACTTAAGAAGCTATGGTAGCAGTATACCCTATTTTTTTATTATTAATCTTTTAGCAGGATTTTATTGGAAAGTCCAGGTTATTTACCAACAACTGTATTCCAATGGCTTGGTGGGCATACTACATCAACAGGCTCTTCAGAATTTCTTCTTCTTCACTGCACAGTGGAATGTTAAATTAATCAGCTACGTTCTTGTAATGCCAAGTTCTTTAGAGGATTTAAAATTGCTGTACATTTCCAAGATAACCATTGCCACTTGGAAAAAAAAAATAGTGGTAATTACTGTAGAACTAGTAGATTAGTAGATTAGTTAGATAAAAATAATCTGTTGGGAATATGCTTTTTAAATTGATTTACAAAAATACAGTTTAGTTAATATTTATATACTAGTCGTGGGAACAGGGGAGACATCTATCTTTCTCTAAGTGGTTGTTTAAGAAACGTTGCAGGTACCATAACCACTTTAGTGAAATTAATTGGTTATGTTGCCTGGAACCGTGGATATCTTACCTCCAGTTAAGACATGATGGAAGCACAGCTATGTTTTCGCCAAGCACCATACCAATTCATAAAAGGTATTTGGCCAAAGACTAGCTGAGATTGCTTAGCTCACTCTCTCGGCCTACTACTACCCAGTACCCCTAATACAGAGTGAAGCGGTGCATAGCTCCATCTCTGCTATTTCATCATTGGAGGCTGAGCTGCAAGCTGACGGGAGTCGGTACTTTTGTTCATTCGTATGAGGGGAACAATCGCTGCTAAGAGCCAGGTGGAACCGTTCGTGGAATTATTTGTTTTTGCAACTTTACGAAATAGACCGGCAAAACTACCCAAACTCGTGGAACTGTTTTGGGCAGCAACATCGCGGTTAGCCGGTCACAAATGATGAGTAACATGCTTTGCAGTGATGCAGGACCCAGCACCTATTGAAGTGGTTATGGTAAAAACAGTGTCCATGTAACTCTGTGTTGGGACCAATATTTTTTTGTTTCCATGCTATTTCAGTGGGTCTATAGTGGTTGGAGCACTCCCATTGAATTCATCATCCTCCATGCATCTGTCTACTATTGTTGTTTGCACTCATGGCATTGGCTTTCGCAGTGTAACGAAGACTCCCTCTGACACAGGGAAGAATCTAGTTAGTGATTTGTCAGTTCCTACAAAAAAAAAACACTGCTCTTTGTAAAGCAAAAGCTAAAAACACATTCCAAGTATCATAACACTCTAATGAGATATGCAGGACCATGCTGATTGGCTCTTGTCTTGTATCAGCCATGAATTCATGAATAGAGACATCTGGCTTCTGCAAAAGAAGCAGTGTGGATGCCTGAGGTGCCCAGGTAAGTTGTCAGGTTTCTAAAATGGTATGACAAACAGCAGCCTGTAGTGTTGATGGTATATGGAATAACAATTAAAAAAAAATTTTTACCTGAATTTCTGGTGTGTGTATATCTTGGCTGCTATCAGAAAGGACAGATAAACCATACTGTTTAAATTGCACTTTAAAGGGATGGGAACAGTTGGGGGAAAAAAAAAACGTGTTAATATTAAACAAACCACTACATTTTCTTTTTTTATGAATAAAATATTACACATGATTTCATTAAGGGGGTGGGCCCAGCAAGTTTAAACCTTTTTGTTTGCTAGATCTATGCATTTTCTTTAATTGTAAGCGCCAATCCCACTTTTGTGTGATCTCTGCATTGTTGACCACTCTTCAGCTTGCAGTCCTTTTAATATTTTATTATGCATGCTTTGACCTCTCGGTATATCTGTAAAATGTTTAAAAAAAAAGTAATTTCTAATCCATTTCTTTTATTAGGCTGCTGCGGAAACAGCTTATGACATGGTGTCCCCTGGTCTAAGTCCTGTGGAGTTGAAAAAATCAAATAGATTTTCACATCACAGAATGTTGCATCAACCAGTAGATCTAAGGGAAGGTGTGGCTAAAGCTTACACTGTTGTAAAAGAGGTAAGATTGTCTTTTTCTGGTAGGGAAACTGTGTTACAATCTTCATGAAACTCTTTATGGGTTATACGCTAAAAATGTAGAAATGGCAAGGAAATTTCTACTTTTGGTTGAAAAATCTTGAAGTCAGCTATATCTTAGTTTAGTGAAAATACCTGTCTGTCAAAACCAAAACATGCGAATGACAGTCAGCTGCAGTTAGGTACACATATCTAAATTATACACTGAGCTGGCAGAATCATAAAAATGTTTGCTTTGTTTGATATCATACAAGAACTGGTGCAGGCACATTGATGTTCAATACAATAGTGATAAGTAGTTAGTTTTTTGGGTAATATAGCTAATGGGTGATATATCTATTTGTGAAGAAATCCCTCTTTGTGTTCAGTATTTCTCCTATTTTTCATTCGGTACCGAACAGAGACCACCCCTGTGGCTCGTTAACTTCAATTGAACCCTCTACCTGTGCGGCCGTCGTTCGTATTGCCGAACGCCGTGTTGCTGATTAAACGGCGGCCATCTTTTTCTGTGCAAACAACGGCAGCGGGACTTGGTCGTTGAGTGTCTGGAACTAAAATCAGACACTCGACTTCCTGAACACCAGTCCCAACATACGAACGCTGGATCTTTATTTCCCGAACAGATAGAAGAGCGCTGTTCGGTACTTTTGTTCATTCGTATGAGGGGAACCGTTCGTGGAATTATTTGTTTTTGCAACCATACGAAATAGACCGGCAAAACTACCCAAACTCGTGGAACTGTTTTGGGCAGCAACATCGCGGTTAGCCGGTCACAAAAGACTTCCATACTTTTTGCGAACCCCTGAACCGATCTGGGTGAAATTTGAATATGTTGGTCACCCAGATCGGGGCTAACAGGGGACATATTATTTGTGGGGATACCATATGCATGAAGGGGTGTTCTAAATATTGGGTAAAACTGTATTTTTTCTACCTGGAGATAATTAAGTTATTACTTTCTCAGACTTGATTATCTCCAGGACTAGGGAAGGGAATTGTATGTTTGTGCTGGGAGTGTTTTATGTTTTCCTTGTAAATGATTGGATGTACCATGTCCCTCCCTGTGGGATGTCCCCTTGCACCGGGACTTGCATAAAAGCCAGTGTGTGGTAATTAAAAGCCAGTTATGTTGCACCCTTCTTCTAGACTCCGGATGATGTTTGGGTATTCGTATGCTTTACTAAGGGAATCGTCTGGTAAAGCTATTGCATTCGTATGGGAATCGTTTATTTTATCTGCCGAATGGAGAGTTATAATCACTGATACTCTGGCCGTTCGGAAGGAAACTACCGAATGAGGATTGGATATACTAGGTTTCCTTACACTATTAAAGGGACACTATAGTCACTGGAACAACTACAGGTTATTGTGGTTGTTCAGGTGTCTATAGTGTGTCCCCACAGGCTTTTTAATGTAAACACTGCCTTTAAAGAGAAAAAGCAGTGTTTAAATTGGTGCCTAGTAACACCTCTAGTTGCATTCACTCAGACGGCCACTAGAGGTGCTTTCTGTGTCAGTGATGCACAGTGTGCAGCGTCTTCACGCTCTGCATAGAGACACTGAACGTTCCCTACAGAAATGCATGCGCAATAGCCTCCCAATGCTTTCCTGTGGGAAAACATTGAATAGACTGAGATCATCAAGTTTGGTGACCTCAGCAACAGGCAGAGCGAGGCGGCGCCAACCTTGGCAAGACCAGCGTGGCATTGGAAAACAGGTAAGTAAAATCACCTTTTCAAATAGAGACAAAGGGGTCAAGAATCTAAACAGTGAATTTACCATTATAGTGTCAGGAATACATGTTTGTGTTCCTGACACTATAGTGTTCCTTTAAGCTAGTAGATTTTGTTGCTATGTGTTAGGAATGTGGGTATGGGGGATAAAATGGGGCTTTAGAATTTAATGTCAGGAAGGCGGAAGCATCGCTTTTGAGTTATATATTCAGACTGTGATGTGATAGAATGTAGAAATATTGAAATTTGGGTGAAGGGAAAATGGGTGGGAAAGTTAAAATGGACAAAAAAGGGATGGTAAATTCTATTGTGAGTGTAATTTTAAGAATTTTGAGGATGCAGTATGGCGGTGGGAATGGAAATTATGAGTTGGCAGTTTCGCTATGAAAAGGGGAAACTGAGCATGCATTTTGGCTGTGTAATGGAGCAGGTTCTATGCCATTGAAATGGTAGTATGGCAAAAGAAAGAGAGAAATTAGCAGGTAGTATAGCTGTGGGAGTAGGTTTTTTATATCTTTAAGATGTTGTTTTATGTTTTTTTTCTGATTCTGACAGTGCTTATATATTTCATTATACCAGGGCATAACAGACACAGCTCAGGCAATCTACGAGACGGCTGCTCGGGAACATGAGAACAGAGGCTTAACTGGAGCAGTAGGAGGAGTCCTCAGACAGATCCCACCTGCAGTGGTAAAACCTTTAATAGTTGCAACAGAAGCAACGTCAAATGTACTTGGTGGAATGCGGAATCAGATCAGACCTGATGTGTGGGAGGAAGAGTCTCAGAAATGGCGTTTAGAAGAAGGTTAGGATGCCAAGTACAGTGTTTAAAGGGACTTCCATCAAGGATCATTGTCTTTACAGCAGTTTGAAGCAGCTATCCTGGATAGGTTTCAGGGTCTTTCTACGAAAGTGGCTCAGGAATTCTAGACGTTCTTAGCAACAGAAGTCAAGAAAACACTTTAAACACTACATTTTGAAGCTTCCTGGAACTCGACATAGTCTTCTAATAGACCTCTGGACAAATGAATTCTAGATAGAAATAAGAACTAGGACATCCTATTTCCTGTTACTTGACATCTCCCTGCTTTGGCTGCTGTTCTTCTGGATTCCTTCCTAAGTGGTGATGTTTTTTTTTACTTACAGGATATCCTGACCATGGTTTAAAAAAAAAGCTCCTTTGAACTTTTTCTGTGATTTGGCTTCAAACATGTGGAAAATATGCCTGTTTCCACAGTTACATGTAGTCAATATACAAAGCTTACAGAATTTGTACCTTTCTGTTTTTGTAGGTTTATTTGTTTGTTTGTTTTTCATTTTGCAACACTGCTATTTGTTGAAAAATCAGCCGTTCTATGTTGTCAGTAATTTGGCGGCTGAATCCTGCAAGCAAGGATCTTGTCTTTCATTTAGTCTGTAAATTGTACATGTTTAAAGTGTGAATAAACCTCTTGTGTTCTGGTGACTTTATGTTCTTTTTATAGAAAGACATTGGTAATGCAGTTTGCAAGAATATCCTTTCCCTCGCACGCGTGCTCATATATGTGCTATTTTCAACTGCTTGCCTACAGCCGGGGCACGGTTAAGGATTTTTGCCACCCTAGCCAAAGACCCTTTTTGATACCTTCTCATAATTCTGACTCCCCTATGGGATTTAATAACTAAATCAGAAATTATAATCAATTGACCACGTTTTAGGCCAAAAACGAAATTTCTTGGACACTGGTCTAAAATGGACATTTGCCTTTTTATTTCTCCACACGAGCAAATAAACGATACGATTGCTCACACTTGAGAAAATGTTTTTGTTTATTTCGTTCTCCTTTCTGCAGAGTAAGAAATGACTGATTTTGGATTCTCTTTTAAACACCCTTAACCTCAAAGGAACACTGTACTGTAATCTAAATGAAGTTGTTCTAGTGCACACAGTAGTTCCCTCTTTAGTGGTCCCAAATTACTGGATTCTACTAATTAGAAGACTTAGAAGCAGTTTCAAGCCCTTGGGGTATGAGAGCCAGGACTGTTACTTCTTGGCTCTCGCACCCTAGCAAACTGTGACATCTCGCACGCATGTGCAGTGCTGACACTTTCTGTAATAGAAAATCAATGCATACAATGATTCTCTATGGCAGAACCGTCGTAGCATGCACCTACTATCACTAATGCTCCTCTATGAAGAGCATTTGATTAGACAGTCATCCTGAAGGCATGAAATCGGGCAAGGAGGGAGCTGTTTGCAGTGCCGAGAAAAACTTGGCACTGGAGATGAGGTGAGTAATTTATTTCTTTTAAATTTATTTTGTTTTAAAAGTGCAGGCCAGGGTCCCTGAAACTTACTATGGACATTAAGACTGAAGCAAATAAAGATATATTTTCCTAACGCTAGTGTCCCTTTAAATCCCTCTCTAAACCTACACTAAGTCTTTCTAATTGTTAATTCTCCTAATTCTTAGCATAAACTAACTCTAGCCCCTCTTTAACCCTAAATATGTACAAGCCCTAACCCCCATTCCTAACCTTAATTCTTCCTAACTCTAAGCATTCGATAAATCTAATCCTCTATCCTTAACCCTAAGGATAACTATCCCTAGACACTCACCAACACAAATCATATTCCCCATTCTCAGAGAAGGATTAACAACCCACAGGGTCCTAGGCAGGATATCGGTTGCCACCTTTTCTTTCATTCTTCTATCCCCTTTGACCTAGGTGAATGCCTTGGATCACATTATGGTTGTTCCTGCCCTGGGAACGTGCTTTAATATCCCTATCCCTAAATGAGCACCAACAATCATTAACCCTAAACCTTTTACCTTAAACACTGACTATCTCCATCCCTGCAAAATCCATCCCTTAATCTTAGCCTTGTTTAGTCAGTGTGTCTATTATAGACCTCTTCTAACAACACCCAGTAAATGCCAAACCCCTTCTCCTTTAGAAGGTAAAAATTCAAGGTGTATTCCTAATGAACTTCAAATTTAATGTTGGAGTATCCAAAGAGAAAGCATTCCAGTTCGGCTAATCTAACCTTAAAGTGGCTTTGTCATCATCTGGGGTATTTAGCATCGCCGCTGGGGATTCGGTGGCCACGACTCTCCAGTTATCAAGAGCCAACGTCAGCACTATACTCTCGCACAGTTGCTGGAGATCAACATTGAGGTCTATGGATCCTCCATAGAAAGAGCTTTGTTTCCCTACGATTGTAACTGGTGATGACCAGAGGAAATGCCAAGCTCTGCCTACTTGGCAAGTGAAGTTTAAATACTGAGTGACTGCCAACACAGACAACCTAAGTCTATTCTAACTAATTCATTTGAAATTAACTCCTATAGGGAATAACTCTGAAAGTGTATCAGTCAAAATTGGCATTTTGAATTCTAAATTATCTTTGAAAAACTGCCTGTATGTTTATTTTTGATTTATTATTTTCTAGGAAACGTACCCATATTTCTTTCTGTTTCCTTTCCTTTTTTTTTAATTTTTTTTTGTTTAAATCATCATATTGCACGTAACGCCATAATCTTACATGACTTCAACTACCAACTGGTGTATAGAAATATGCATACTTGTAATGAACTGCTAACATCAGCCTTCTGTTTAATCTAGTGCAATCATCCGTTGTAAAGTAGAAATGTGAATGCATAAGAATTTGTGATGGCAAAAATTAGATAAAATACAAATGTTCTGACAAACGAGGCATAGGATAGCACCCATAGTCCCTTTTGCAACGTAAGCACTACACTGAGCTGTAGTAGTTCTGAAATGTACAATTTCTTATTACTAATATTGTTCAGGGTAGAACTCGTTGTTTATGACTTGAGCCAAAGCTGAGAAGAACGTGGGTTGAAATATGTAAAAAAGATGGTAAATATGTGGCAAATGGATAAACCCGTGCTCGATGTTGGAAGAAGTAAGCATCATTGCTCCCATCCATGAATTGAAGAAGAACTATAGAGTCTTTGAAAATGATACCATTGAATTATATCAACTTGGTTGAAATGGTGTTCATTAAATGCACACTCTAAGCACCACAGCTGCTGCAGCATGATCTATTGGATATTGTTCCTGATGTTCCTGAGCACCATTTCCCAGGTAACGGTCAAACCATTTCTGAACAGTCTGGCACTTAAGTGTGTCCCATGGTCTCCCCAGCCAGGCCCCCTCTTTAGATCGCACATTCTACATTAGTCATGTTAATTCTACTTTTGTTTAACGCTGTCAGCCAATGAACTCTGTCTGAATAGGGTGTAAATTGATATATCAAATACAGAAGGGAATCTTCCTCTTCAGCTATTCCTGAAGACCAGGTAGGTCAGTGTTGCCCAGGGGAGTGATAGTAAAACCTCCTTTTTTTTTATGTATGGTAGGAAATATTTTGCATAAATAATTTAGACCACACAATAAATACAGACACAGTTTATTTATATTTTAATGGACTTGGCTGTGGTGTTTATTTAAAGCTTAAAAGGGGCGTACCACCATAACTTGATAACAGTAGCATATTTACATAACCTTTTTACTTTACTTCCAAAACTTTTTTAACTTTCACTATCACTTAATTGCCAGTCAGTCATAGTTAACCTGACTACCTTTTAAAAACAACTATTTAACACATCCTTCCTCAGAACTTGAGGATGACTTTGCCCCACCACCTCACCTGAGGTAGAACTACCCCAGCTGAGGCCCCCCACAGCCAAGGCTCTTTCTATCATGTTTCTCAAATCCACATGAAAATGTCCAGACAGATATATGACAAATGAACCTGGTCCTCACTAAACAGGTCCTGTTTTTTTCTGATCCAATTCTAAATGCCTGTACGAAAACAAGGCAAAATCTTGACATTGCTAACTTCAATTCTTTTGTCACTCTCTCCCTCGCCTTTTACTTGGTTTACTAGCCATCGCCATCGCTGTACCATCTCAGACCAAACTAGAATGGTGTAAGGGAATAACTTTCTCAATTCCAAACAAACACTTTAAACATGACATAATAACTTTAAACATGATTTAACAACACCTATATCATGATCCCCTATATGAATTATTAAACTATCTGGAGTACGTCAGTTGATGCGCACTCTAATCTGAGCTCCATTAACGGATGAATTCGCAGACCACCTACACCTTTCCAATATAGTGCGACATCATCACGATTGAAGTCCAAATTCAGGCCATATATCCTTGCTCCTGCTCTTTGCTTGGCCCATTTTACAAGGAATGACCTACAACCTAAACATTTGTTACGATACCTGAAGAAATAAGAGTGAAAGGAGGAAAGAAAACCAATATATCATGTCATCTCACACATTTAACTTAAAATGTTTTACTCCCACCTTCCAATCTTCTTACTTGCCTCTTTTCCAAAACCTAATTTAGCCGCTGCAGTGTCTGCCCCAAATCTGAAAGAATGTGTTGGCAAATATGCCTTTATAACCAAGCCTTTCGAAGCATAACTGCAAAACCCTCTGGAATTCAAAATGTGATAGAGGAGAGCCTGAGATATGCACCAACAGAGGACCATGTACCACAAGGGAGACAGCTAAATAAGCACACAATGTCTCCACTGGGCAAAACTCTGCTTTCATTGATACTTTACAAATTAATCCATCTGCCTTTCCCCATTCGATCAGCTTTTGAAGATTGCAACTAAATATCTACCTGTGAATCCCTTATAACATTCTTAACTTGTAAACCTCACAGTCTAAATCTACTGAAAGAAACCAACTCACTGATCCTAAATGCTGCAAAAGGCTAAAGAAAATTGTGAATTGTAAATAACATAGTTAAAACATCAAGCAACTCTCCTAACACTGAATAAGCTATGGGTCGCATAATGTCAGCAACTCGAACCCCTTTAAAATAACCTTATAACAACTGTTTAATCACAAATGCATTCCCTACTACTGGCTTACCTGAAAGCCATAAAATTATGTTACACCTGCTAAGTGTCTGTAGATGGTGTGTTTAGATATAACATTATTGATACATTGAATCACAAAAGAGAAGGCAGCTTCTATATTACCACCTACCGGATCAACTTGTCCAGATTAATTGCCAATGGAATTTTTGCAATTCCACGCACTCTTCTTCTGTGTTCGGTAATAAACTTCTGAAAGCGCTGAGCTGACAACGAGAGATAGCATTAGCTATTTTATTCTCAATTCCTGGAATATGCATAGCCTTCAACCAAATAATCTGTTTAAAACATAACCATACTGTTACGGCTCCCCCGGTAGGATAGGGGTTACAGCCGTATAGGACGTTCCCTTACCGAACGTAGAGGTAGCCACTGAGCGCTCCAACTGCCGAACAGTAGCCGTACGGATCAATTAGTTCCCCAAACAGCCGAACAGCAATCACACAAATCAAGTATTTTCCCAAACAGCCGAACAAGCGAACTCCATACGAATAATCCCCCCAATGACGAGACAAAGCTCCGTGTTGAGGGTCAGCAGGAATCTGGTTTAATGAGGGCTACATGCCTGGCTTTTATGCAAGTCTCCCATCTGGTGGACACTCCCTTAGGGGTCCAAATGGGGGACTGTGACAAGGACATTGTAGCAACCAATCACAGGGTACACACTTAGCCATTCCCCTTTTCTTCCCCAGACCCCTCTGCTCTGCTCAGATAGATAATTGTGAAGTAATTCAATTATCTCCCAGGACAGAGCCTTAACGCCATTTTAAATGAAAATAACAAAAAGGCATGAAAATACATAACTGGTACATTTTATAACATTTTACAGGCATTCAACAGGTCCCCAGATAGCTGGGATCTGAGCGCACCAAAGTACCAGCTCA